GACCTAGAATTAGTGTTTCAACGGCTAAGAGAGGCGAATTTAAAAATACAGCTGGATAAGACAGAGTTTCTGAAGAGAGAAGTCGCTTATCTTGGACATGTCGTAACAGCTGAGGGAGTGAAACCAAACGTCGAAAAAATCAAAGCTATCCAAAATTATCCCTTACCTAAAACTCTTAAAGAACTTAAGGGATTCCTAGGTTTACTCGGCTATTATAGAAAATGTATAAACAATTTTGCTGGTATCGTATCAGTCAGAATACTAATGGTTCAGATCTTCCGATCGCTTACGCATCTAGGTCTCTGAACGAATCGGAAACAAGGCTGTCCACTATCGAGAAAGAATTATTAGCTATAGTCTGGTCCACTAAGTATTTCCGGTCGTACCTTTTCGGGAGAAAATTCAAAATTTATTGCTATCACAAACCACTCCAGTGCATCTTTTCGCTAAAAGAACCCAATTAGAAACTATTAAGATGGCGTTTACGGTTAGAAGAATTCGATTATGAGATTGTCTATAAAAAGGGGAAGGAAAACATAGTAGCGGATGCTCTATCCCGCATAGAACTCCACAATAATGAAATCGACAAAACGGAGGCAGGTGATGAGGAATCGACAGACTTCTCAGGGAATTTTGTGAAACCCACCCTGAATGTTTTGAAGATGTACCAGTAGAAATGGCATCAAGTAATAGGAACGATTCGATCATAAACTTAGACGTTTTTGATGACGGTAAAGAAACGGTAGCAGTAAATGTAGACGATCAAGAAAACCGCGAATCGCCCGAAGACGAAACCGCTACAGTCCTATGAGGGAAATTCGATTGTTTCTATCCCAATTCAAGAAGGACCTGTAAATATGGGAAAAATCAAATAATAATATCCGAAGTAAATTTTAATCCGAAAAAAACAAGAATTACTAAATTATTCGAATCAAAACAGAGGATTACTATAGAAATTTCAAAAAATAACTTTGAGCACGACATTGTTGATTTTGTAAAAACATTCATAGTATCTAAAATTAAATTTTGAGAATGAAATTTATGAGAAATTTACGAATGTTGTAATGACCTATTTTAAACACTCAGAAATAAATTTTATTAGATGTACGGAAAAGCTTATTGACGTAGTTGAACCAGACGAAATTTTGGAAGTAATTGAAGATTAAAACATACTGGAAAGAGAAACCACAGAGGTGTTGACGAAACATATAATGGAATTCGACAAAGATATTACTGGCCGAATATGAAAAACGCTATACAATCCTTTATTAATCAATGTAAAATCTGCCTTGCTTAAAAATATGACCAAGTCCCACTTAACTTAGAGCTAAATATAACACCTACACCTAGCGCACCTTTTGAAACTTTACATTTAGACGCCATTATCCTTGAGAACACAAAGTGTTTAACTTTAATTGATGTATTTTCAAAATACGATCAAGCTTATCCACTAACATCAAGGCTTGAACAAGGCTTGAAAATAGCCGACAAATTGGTGCAATACATGACCCATCACCCAATTCCCACACAAATAACAGTGGACAATGGTCTAGAATTTAATAATACCGTGGTAAAAGATATTTTAAACCTTCATAAAATTTATTTGCATTTTACATCCACACAGCACCCAGAATCAAACGGCCCAATTGAAAGATTAATCATATCCGTGAACAGGAAAGGTTCTTCTCAAATTGTAATTTATGTTTAACTAATAAAGTTTTTTTTAAAAAGACTCTCGATTAGTCAACACACGTAACTTGTATGTACTTGATTCTAACTCACATTGTGTGCCAAGGATGAAGCAGCTGTTGTTAACCTAAAATTTTTAACGATTGTTGATTTTTTGGTCTCATTCCATTTACTACGTAAAAAAGTGAGCTTCTAGTCTTCAAAATTCCGGTTTTTATGTAAGGTCTTGGTTGATATGAAAAAGCTAGTGACATGAGCGAAAGTTTTTTCATCTCAATAAGACCTTAGATAAAATTGTATATAGTTAATTTAAATAATTAATACGGTCAATTATGACTACTAAATGCATATATGGATACCTGTTTTTATTGCAATTTATTTATATGTATTTATATAGCAAACATTAATTTTTTTAATCATCTTGTCACCTCACTTGAATAAAACTTTCTTGTAACGAAAGAGAAATAAGATGTATAGAATAAAACAATTAATTAGTTTAAATTACCAATTAGTCTAAAAAAACATAACAAGATTTTTTATTAAATAACATGCAAATAAATCAATTTACCTCACTCAAATAAACAAAGTTATACAAAAAGCGTGGATTTCTTATAAATATTTTATTTCAACGGTTATAGAAAGCAAGTCTCAAAGAACAACACGACAGGGTTTCCAAGTTCCGCAACTTAGCTTTCCTCCGATTTTAACGCCCCGGGCATGAGTCTTTCCGGAACAGGGTGAAACAGCTTGGCGAGAGGGTTAAGGGCTGCTTTGTATAGAAGAGACCCAAGGGAGAAATAAAACAGCTTCACCGCACTGCGGAAATTATCAAGTTCTAATTGTGGCTTTTCCTATTTGTACGTTCACGCGTGTTTTTCTTCTTGTCGATCCAAACAAATTAAAATGTGTAGAATTAAATCAAAAATCAGATCAGGCGGACGTTTACTTAAAACTTGAACCAAAGGGGAAACGAATAGAAATTTCATTTTTTTTTTTAATTATTATTTTAACTTAAAAACAAGTTTATCGACAAAATTGCACGTATTCGTGTTTATTTTTCAGCCTGCATTTACCTATTGTTATCTTGTTTTGTCGTTCTGAAATAGCGTTGGTGTTTTGTAGTATTACATAACTTGTACCGTTTATTTTTTATTTAGATCATTCCGTTTACATTTTTATGTTGGTCTTTTTTTATGTTATCAATATATGTTTTTGCGGTTGTTTAACTTATTTGGCGTTGAACTTGATGTGCCATTTATTTTACTTACAGATGCAAACAACTGAGTGGGAAATTGTAGATCTCTGTGCTGATATTGATAGTTGATGGTAATTAGGAAAGCCAAAGAGGTTGATACTGTTGAGTCAAATGAAAATTAATGGCGGTTTATCATGCTGGAGGTATCGTATCATAAATGTCATGAACAAACTAATTTTAAAATGAAACATCGATGAATGTTTTCATTACAATATGTAGTGATAAGCCTGATGATGTTAGTTTCTGAACCATCATTGGTGGACTAGTATAAACGCAAGGACATAGATGGCCTGGTGTTTCGCCTCGCCCTGCTTATAGTCCTGATTCTGTAACGATTCTGACAGACCTAAGCAGCGAAGATACGCAATCCAAAAATAATCAGAAACTACATGTATACTAAATATAAAATACATCGTTATTATTAACTTTGTACTTATCCAATGTATGCTAAAATCGCAGGAAGTGGGTTCGAATCCCGTGACACTAGCTCTTTCATCTCAACCTAACACAAGACCTTAGATAAAAAGTACAACTAATGTATACGTATATGTATGTATAGTATTTAATCAAGACAAATTCATGACGTGCTGGTCATAATTGTTCCCTTTACAAAATATAGATTAATACATTTTTTATTTAAAAATTCGTTTATTTGGATTAAATTTGGTATTTTGTTGTACATTGGCCGTAATGTGACTGAAATTAATATTAAGCATAGGTGCTCAGCATAAGAATATTCCCTGTTTTCAGCTATTATAAAAATATATTCCTTACAGAGTACTTAACCCTTTTTGAATTTTGTTTTGCTTAAAGAAATGTCATTTTTCTTTTTAAAAAAATATATAGGAATCGATATATAATATGTAGATATACTAGTAGTGTTTGAAAGTAAAGAACTTCTTATTTATTCTCAAGTGCTAAAATGCGCCTGAGAGCGATGTGCATGAACAAAATATATCTAACATCGAAAACAAGCAATTATACAAAATTGCAGGCGTTTATATCTTCCCAAAACAAAAACAGGTGTAATTAAAAGTTTCTACTCGCTCTCTATACAGAGCCAATACATTCAATGCATATCGATAGGGACATAGTAAGAGGTATTCCGATATAACCCTATACTACCAACTGAAGTAGGTTATTTATTAATCTTAGGGTGAACCTTTTCCCTCTTATATACATTATATTAATTAATATATTCACCTTTCAAAAAATTTTGTAAAAAATCTACTTAAGGCCTATATTTCTTACATAACAATTCTATTAAAAACCTGTGCTGCTCTGCTCAAAAACAATTTTATTAGGTATTCCGATACGCTTCCTATAAAGAGCCAATTCATTATACCGTTATGTCAAGAACAAAGCGAACGACCCTTCTCTACTTCACACACGCTCATATCTGTGACTGTTGTAAATAAGTAGGTAATCGAGTTAACCCGTAAATTAGTTATAGTTTGCCTGTAGTTCGTTAATTTTAAAGCCTCATAGAATCTAAGACAAATCTAGGGTTGTTCTCGTTCATTCATATGCTTTTGTCAACATCGGATTAGCAAGTTTGTCAAATTAAAAAATAATATATGCCAAAAAGTAGTTCTGAGTTCTTAAAAAATTAATAGATGTATTTTCACATATTCTGAGTTGTTCTCAAGCATCAGAAAAGATAAATTACATAGAAGCGTATTGTATTATTTTATAGAAATGTTGGCAAATTATTGAAAATTAAAGTTTCTAATAATAATTTGGCACTTTCATTCCCATTTTTCTATTTAAATTAAAGCGTTGAAATAATGTAAGCCATCTTAAATTTAAGATTTGTACTTGGAATGTGAAGACAGTAAAGTTGACCTTACTAAAAACTATAGTTTGGCCGTTTCCAATCATTTTGTGTTGGAAACAAGAACTATTTGGGGTAATTATTTTCCCTAAACACTGTTGATCATGAAAAGCCAAAACATTTTCCTAAACAATCGACACATTCACCAAGGCCCATACTTTCATGACGTAACGCTCTTATGAATGGGTATCGATTTTTCTTTTGACTCAACATAGCGTTTGCAAGTAGCATTCTGCAAAAACCGGAAAAAATAGAGAATAGAGTCATAGACGTTGTCCTGATTCCGGCTTCAGTAAGAAGTAAACAGTGCTACTTATTTACTAAATATGGCTAAACATCATCCAGATTTGATTTTCTGCAGAAAACAACCAGGAGTTGGTAATAACTTCATTCTAAACAACCGAATCTGCATTTTATTTATGTTCCTCCTATTTTCACAGCTATTGGAAGATTGTGCGAAAAATGCGATGGAAAATGTGTCATCTGCGATTCTTACGTTAGACCTTGTACTCTCGTACGAATATGCGACGAATGCAACTACGGCTCTTATCAAGGGAGGTGTGTCATCTGCGGAGGACCCGGCGTTTCGGACGCCTACTATTGCAAGGAATGCACTGTACAAGAAAAGGATGTAAGTATAGAACTAACTTGAGACTTTTCTTCCACCTTTATATAAAAACTTCAAACATACGAAAACTATTATCACTCTCTGACTCGCTGAGAGAACTTGTAGTCTAAGTGGTCAATAAATGCTATAATAGATCATAGACTAGGGATTAGACTTGTTAAGTCAACTGTAAGAAGCATACTTCAGTGTTATTATCGATCTGGGGTTAGACTTAGGTCTCAGCCCTCAGCGCATGCAGTTTTTAAACTAATCACAATCTCTCTCATTCTTAACATATTCTTTCTTATATACTATTCAATAAATTAAAACAACCAAATTTCAATATATTATATACCCAGTATATAAAAACTATTCATGTAACCAAATTGAGGGTCAATGGGATACTCAATTTTCAACCATCAGTTTTCTCCCACTCAATATTGTCGCTAGTAAATACACTATCTCATGATAAATTGAACAAAAAATTTATTACATATAAAAGATCCTAAAGGAAAATTCACTTTCTATGTGGAATTCCTTCAATTACGTACACAAGCTTTGTCCCTAAAAGTAACTGTCCCCATGTCAACCGTGTATGTCCTATTTTTATTTGGGTCACAAATGATTTATCTACTATTCATGATTCAGATTTTTCTTGGACCACCCATCAACTTTGCTCTTGAGACATTATGAGTCTTAGCCACCTCACCCTCCATTTGTTTTAACCTCCTAATCTACTAATCATCGCAGGTAGGTTAAATTTAAAAAAAATTATCCAATTCATGATAAGGGATTTCACAGAGAACCTGTCACAGATAGACATAGTTGTGTTCAGGGAGTCAGTGCAGATATAGATGGCAGAAATCTCTTCTATAGCTACAGACTTTCTCAGTTGTGCAAAAATTCTCAGAGAGTTATAAAATAATTTTGTTTTTGTTTTAGAGAGATGGCTGCCCAAAGATTGTCAACTTAGGAAGCTCAAAAACAGACTTGTTCTATGAACGGAAGAAATACGGTTTCAAAAAAAGATAGTTATGGTGTCATGTATACATATTATATATGTATGCATGATTTATTTTTTTAGTTTTATAAGTATCAACTTATTTTAAGTAAACATGGTAATGTAATATTTCTGACAAATTTATCTAAATTCTTCACAAGTTTTTGTAAGTCTTATGTTTTTCATTCAATGTAATTTTAAATGTACCTCTCTTCATTTCATATAATAAATTAGTTCATAAATTATTTTTTAGTGATTTCATTCAAAATTCTCTGGCTTACAAAAGTAAGCCTCGGCAAGGCTTCTTCTACTTCGTGTTGGTCAGTTATTTCTGCATCGAATATTTGCATTTTATTAGACCCTTTCATTTTACCAGTTACCCTTCACCAAAAAAAAATTCTTCACATCAATGCGGGCATGCATTAGTTTATATATTTTACTATTTTAAGAATCCTACCTTATGAACGAACCACAAGGGAAATCCGGAAGATCTCGATCAATGTTGTAAAAAACGCACTGCAGAACTTGCCCGGAGTCTCCCTTCAGGAAATATAGTTTCTGAACGCCCTTACTCATCACGTGTTCTAGAATACCTACAAAAATATCACTTTTTATATATTATGCTCATACTATTTATTTCTTATGGGTTTATTCTGGTACAAAATACCTTACCTACTATTTGATAGATAACGATGTAATCAAAGTCTTTCAACTGCCTGCACCAACGAATAGCATGGTCGACTTTTCCAATCAAGTACTTCAATTTAATTGGACTGGTCTACAAAAAAGGTCTAAATTAAAAAATTGGGAGATTTCTCCATCTTATCTGCGGGGAAAAACCTTTGGGTGTTACCAATCATATTTCTGTGTGGTACACAGACCAGAATTATTGGTAACAACCAAATTTCAAATTAAAAGAAGAACTTCTTTTAAAAAATTTGTCTTTGCACCTTTTTTTCAATAAATAATCTCCTGCTGTCATCACGAGGTGTTTCATTAATTATATTTTTTTGTTGCCCTTCAGTAATATCGTTGTTGGGGAAACTATTGACAGCGGGCTGGTTTGAAGGACCAGTTTTAGTATTTTGTTTGTACAAGGGTATGAACTTTGCTGAGGAGGTCGTTGGTCCAGTCGACTGTTGGAATTGCAAAAGGCTTTCATTTCGTGCTTTATTCTTATCTCTATTATGTGACTGTTCGCTACAAATCAAACCTCAGGTAGTAAATAGGTAACAATGAATATAGAAGTAAAACACTAATTATACCTGTTGTTTCTGGTTGTATAATTAAATTCCATTGTAACTGAAAAATACAAATATTTTTAAAGGATTATAAAATAATTGTTATATAGATTTTAGTTCGCCCTAGCAAGAGTGCGTCAGATTAGAAAAATTTATAGCCAAATTTTAAAATTAAAAGTAACTTGTTTATATGCTTATAAAACAAAAAAGAACAAACCAGTTTTGTTTGTTCTCTGTCAAGTTAAACAAAAAGTTTTTATAGTACATATTTTAAATCTAAATAGTAGAGGTAAAGGATCCAAATTACACTCTAGCAAAGTCCTTCGGTTTGGTTCCAACCTGAGGTCCATGCAATCCAACTCTGGGCACAGGAGTTGATAAAGAAGACATTGAAAGGTGAATATATCTACATACTTTCGGACAGACAGGAATATATGAGGCACCAAATGCATATGCTTTAACCCCAAATTAGTCTGGGAACAGCTAAATTGCCAAATACCCACTAAAACAAGATAGGTATAATAAAGGCAAAAACAACTCTGTCAAGAGAAACCATAGACATCGGTGAATATGAAGTACTAGCTCAGATAAGGTATAAGACAATTATGGCACCAAGGGAAGTGCTCAAAGAGGAATCGAGGAAAGTGCTTAGTTTAGTGGGAAAAACGCACTCTTCTTTTTGGTTTGTCTATCCTTGCTTGTTACATCAGCAGATGTTTTAGCTTCTCATCATCATCAGTGGTTAGTTTATCATCTTTAGATCATTCAAGAGAATGCTTTAGATACTGATAATGTGGTGACTAAATTATAGAAGAGTACTTAATGATGAACTAAAGAAATACATAACACTTTAGCTCCTGAATATTCTGAAAATCTTTATAAAAACGGATTATAAATTCGAGAAGTGAGCTTTAGCAGTTAAACTTAAAATGTGATTTTTAAACAACATGATTCTGAGGACTTCAGATTGGAGGGACTGAATTCATTGAATATTGGTAGGCTTAGTGGTGCACCACAGTTCTAGTCCGTATGTCCAAATCGATTTCAATAATGTTTGGTAGTATCAGTTTGTTTATTGTTGGCATGTTAGATTTCTGTCCTAGTAGTTTGTAGATAAGTCCGAAGTGTCTGTTCAGCTCCTGTATTTTTATTTGTATGTGTCCGTTCCAGGTTAAGCGGGTATGAAGAAAGAACCAAGGTAGCATACAGTTGGTTTTAGTGTTTTGCCTTTGAGGGTAAATGTTATATGGTTGCATTTGTTTTCATTGATTTTTATCCTCCAAAGTTTGCTCCATTCGGCTATTCATTGGACGTGTAATTGCAGCTTCTCCGAGGCGATTGCTTGATCGGAATCAGAAGAAAGCACGACTGTGTCGTTTGCAAAGGATGCAAGAAGGGTAGAGTTGGGAGGTATGATGAGTAGAGGAGTGGTTCAAGCACACTGCCCTGTTGCACTCCCGCTACAATTGCTATCTTTTTTTAAGAAAGGATTGAACACCGCACTCACTCCATCTTTAATAATTTCTAGTAATCAAAATAGTACGTCCACTGGCGGACTTGAAAGAATTGTCCTGTGTGCTAGGAGCGAAGGATTATGTATAAAATGTTTGGAAGTATATGCTTTAGTTTGTATAGATATTTAGTCTACAACGCAAAGCACCTGCTGGGTTGTAGAATGTTGAGGGCAAAAACCAAATTGGTGGTCTAAGAGAAGGTTGAAAAAATTAAGTGTATGGATTAATCGTTAGAAGACGATCATCTCAAATATTTTGAGAAGACAGGGAGCAGGCTGATTGGACGGTAGAAAATGGTTTTGCCTGGCTTAGGAAAAATAATGATGTTTGAGTATTTCCAGATTAAAGGGAAGTGTGCAGTGCAGAGTATACTATTGGATAGAAGATTATGGCTTTTTAGGGATTCACATAGGATTCCGAGCGTGATAAGTATTAAAATTAAGTATGGCATAACGCACGTAAGAAAATTGGTCTTTTTTAGTTTATTTTATGTCCGACTTTTTAAAACTTACAAAACACTTTTAAACTTTGTAGGAACTTTGTTATTTACTTATTTATATTTAATGTAAATTATTATAATGTGATATTTTACCGAATAAGTTCGTCGTCGACGAATCCGTTAAGAGGATGAATTACAAATGGCGTTCGTAGCGCCCAAATTACAAAACCAGGGCCTTTTAAATCAATTCATTTGTACATTTATCAATTTCTTTTGAACAAATAAATTGTACATTTTTTCAATTTACATAAATTATTAAGTACAAATTAAATAGTAATTATTAAAGGATAACATAATATTTTGTTGTTTTTTAAATTATAATTAAGAAAAACATTGAAGAGGTTTCAATTCCTTTTTACGTCAACACGGCTATACTGCTATAGTGCTTAACTGCTTACTGCTTTACTCGACCAGTTTAGTTTGTTCTCTGTCAAGTTCGACAATAAGTAAGTTGTTATTTTTTATAGTACATTAAATCTTAAGTTCGTTTTATATTAAAACAATCTACTGTTTTTGTCTAGTTCAAAATGCAGAACGACGCCGGTACAAGTGAAGACCTGTACATCCCGAGGAAATGGTAGGCCTAACCTGTATTTCTTGTAATGACGAAGACCACGTGTTTTTGAAATTTATTTTTCAAAATGTGTTGTTTTTGTGTGTTTCAGCTCGTCAAGCAACAGGATAATACACGCTAAGGATCATGCTTCTATTCAGCTGACCATCCCCGACGTCGATCCGACGACAGGAGTCATCACGGATACCTGTAAAATGTATGCCATCTGCGGCAGCATTAGAAGGATGGTATGCTAATTTTTTCTTTCATTTTTTTAAATCTTAAACACTATTATGATTAGTAATAGCGCACCAAGCGTTCAACTTCGGTTATGTCGAAGTATTACCCCCAAAACCTATTCATGCATAATGGTTGAGGGGAAATACTGGTATGCTTTCCAACAGTGTATTGATGAGATCGGAAGTGTTTTCTTAGATAAACTTTAATATTCTAAACACGTTATTAACAAAAAATGGTACAATGTGGGAAAAAAACAGAAAAAACGACACTTCATTCATTTGTATTTGGAATTAAGGAATTATCACGATCAATAAAAGTTCTAAAAAAAACTTAAATCTTGACACATAGTTGGACGCATAAGTATGTATGTATAGTATTCCATCAGTCCTGCTATGTGACTGATTGAATACTATACATCCATTACCCAAAAAACGCTTTCGAAACCACCAGGCAATATGCACCACGTCTGTCATGGGCCATTCTCAACATAGAACCAACCCACCGATTCCACTTTCCTCTCGGTAAACGCACTGTCGTGGTTATCAAATGGTTCTTTTTTTTTCTTTTAATTTTTAATTGCTGATTAATGGGGAGTGACTTCCAAAGTAAACACGTTTAAGAGACCAATCACACTAAGGATTTTTTTCTCCTATGGATAGTGGTCAGGAATTGACTGCTAGCCTAGCAAGAAGATGCTTATGATTATTTTTGTTCTGTTATAGGGAGAATCCGATGATTGCATCAAAAGGTTAGCTGAAGCTGATAAAATCTTACCGAAGTATGTCATTATATTTTAATATCCACATTTTAACAATTTCATCAAAATGGTACAAATTAATCTTTCTTTCTTTTCTATTTCAGGTTTTAATAATCTTGACGTTTTTATTTCTATTAAAATGTAAAAAACAAAAACACTTCCAAAAAAATAAATTTTTTTTTTGGTAACAATTCTGTTTCTTTTTTCCTTTTTTCCCGTGGTTTTCCTCAATTTTGATTGATGGAATGACTTAAAACGCAAATTACGAGGTTGGGTTTCACAGTCTGAATTAATTTTGCTATAACCCTATTTAAATTTTAGCATAAGAAGTTTGCATACAGCTTTTTAACACAGCCGAATATTGGTTGGATGTCACAGAGAAAGGGTTATACCACTTTTTTCATATTTATTCAGATAACGTGAGATGCAGTGTGGTGTGATGTAGGTTTCAGAAAGACATTTTCTTTATCGTGCCGTTTCGATCTTTATTGAGCCCTGAAGATGATCTCAATAAAGATCGAAACGTTGGCACGATAAAGAAAATGTCTTTCTGAAACCTACATCACACCAGACCGCATCTCACGATATCTGAATAATTATCGATTAACGGTCACTAATCTCTACACACTTTTTTCATATTATTCTCAATTGAAAAATTGTGTGAAGATTTGAGTCCAGAACTGCTAGCATAGAAAATAAAGTTTACTTGCTAGCCCAAATCATCTGGGAGACATATTTTTATTAGCCAATCATCAACATATACTTCACTCAACAACTCTTTTCATTGAACCGTCACAACTTCCTGCTAGATGTCTGATAGCAAAACAACTGGACCTGCTCCTGACTTCACGTCGTGATAAGGTGTTATTTAGATTGTACCACGCCAAATATGTATATTTTTTATAGATGTAAAAGAAGATTTCAAAAATGAAACTGTTAACACAATCTATGAGCACAGATGTATCATCAACTGTCACTTTTAAACCAGGTTACTTACGAAGCAAATATGCTATTCAACACTATATGTCCTCAATGTTTTTGGTATATTTTTTTATTTCGCCTAACCATGCTTATATCTCTGCCATATTGATGATGGCAAAAATTTTCTTGCAGAAAAATAATCGTAGGTAAATCAAAATGAAAGGAAACAACAAATCTATAATTGGCCAAAATATACCGACGTATGATAGTGACATTAAGGGCATATATGATCATTGAACGAGCAATGATACGGCCAAATTACAGGTTAGCCACCCAATAAGTTTTCGTTTGTCTATCCTTGTTTGGTTAGTGACAAACCTACCAATGACATTTGCAAACAGCTAAAAACATGCTAAACGAGTGAGGATAAACAAACAAAAATTATCAAAAAAAAAGTTCATCAGACCATGAGAGGTACTTTTAAGTGTTCATTTTTTTATGATTTGAGTTTGCCTATCCATGCTGTTTTTGGTGACAAACCTACTACTGATGATGGCGAGAAGATGAAACATGTCTAACAGGCTAAACAAACAAAGATTAGCCGACTGAAATAATCAGAAACAATCAAACTACAACTTCATCACACAAAAGGGAAATCGCACAACTAAACAACAGTAAAAATTGTTGGATTACATTCTTTTTATCACTGGTTTGATTATCCTTGCTTGTTTAGTGAAAAAAAAAACTACTGAAGATGGCAAGATGAAACATGCCTGACAGACTGAACAAGCAAGAATAGGAAGGCAAAAAACAAAAGGTTCATCACCCTACAGACTGCAAGAGGAATTTTTACATACACCATAACAAAAGTTGTTTTTTGTCATTTTGGCTTGCCTATACTTGCTTGTTTTGGTTATAAACCTATCTCTGATGATGGCGAGAAGGTGAAAGATGTATGACAGACCAAACAAACAAAGTACGCAGACCAGGATGATCAAGAACGACAAACTGATGACAAAACAAGATCATTACACCACAAACTCAATAAGAAATCTTATATATATATATATATATATATATATATATATATATATCAAATATTGTTGAAAAATTAAAGTTGAAATAGTTAAGGTTGAAAAATAAAATGTGTACAGAACTTAAAAACTATGTATTAATTAAAAAAAAGTAAAACTGAAATACATTTATAAATCTTATGATTTTTAAAAAGGAAAAAAGTTTTCGCACTTTGGTCACATTTACACAGGGTCCGCCCTCATTAGAGGGCCTTCACAGCCTCTCCAGCGCTTCGACCATGATGACGCTGTTGCCTCTGATGACGACCATGCCAATCGGGGCCCTAGTCCCGTCTTTCCGCTCCTCCAGAGACTCGTCGACGACCATGTTCATAAACGGGTCGAAGCCGCGAAGTATGCCGACCACGTTCCGGCCTCCGTTCAGCTTGATGCACAGCTTTTTGTCCATGAACTTCTTCAGCTCCGGGGGATGGGCCTTGCTCATCTTTCAATCTGTGTCGAAGAGGTAAAGAGTAAAGACGTAAAATCGGATAACGTTGAGCGTCGTCCCGGGTTGTTTTCTTCGGTTAGAAAAGCCTTCCGTCCGTCCTCAAGCCGGTTGGTCAACAAAGAGAAGGTTACCAAACAAAAAAACTAGGCTTTCTACTAAAACAGTATTAAAACTTAATTTCAATAAAAATTATCTTAAATAAAGTTATATAAAACTATAATTACTTAAATTTATAACGAAATTAAAAAAAAGAATAAACAAACAAAATTTTGTGTTCCTTTCGATCCTCAAGGCTTATCAACAAGCCGTGCAAAAGTATAAACTTATGAACGACGTCATTGAACAAACATGGACGTTGGTAAAACTTTCTCTTATTCCTATAATTTTTTTACATTTCTCACTTTTTGTATGTAATATTCTAAATTGTGAACTCTTTCGTTTTTTTTTATTTTATTATTTGTAGATATTATAATTTTATTTACTCCATGATTCTCTAAATTATTTTAATCCCTTAGATTAGATAAATTGATACCTTTCTTAACACTGCAATTGATCAACAACATAGTTTAACAAAAAAAACCAAAACTAAAAATTTTCTTCTTTTTCCAGATCTTTATTTTAAACTCCTTTCCTGAAAAGGGTCAAATCTATGCTATATACACTATCTTTTCTTAGGCATTTGACAAATCAATTTTAATCATCCACTTCTGTTAGCCAAATTAGCTGTACATGATTTCCTTGGCACTCTTTTATGTTGGTTCTTTTCCTACCTTACCAATAAAAAACTATGTTAAATTAAAATCCCATTATTCTTTTTCTTTTCTTGCATCCTCTAGAGTCCCTCAGGGATCACACTTAAGCCCCTTTCTATTTAACAACTTCATTAATGATATTGCATCTGCTCTTAATGATACACACTTTCTACTAATTACAGACCTCAAAATATTCCACAGAATTCATTCTGAATCTATCTGCGCTTATTTACAGTCAATTTAACTAACCTGGAAAAGGGGTGCATTAACAATTATATGACACTGAATATTACCATCATCTCTTTTAACAGACTTAAATCTACTCTATCCTTCACTTACTCCATATATAATACTATTAAGCAGAGTAAAAATTATCAAAGATTTTGGTCAATCAATCTCTCTCCTTTAATCAACCTACAAGCCAATAGAGCAAACAAACTATTTCTTCATCTATCGCTACCCCATGGAATTTAATCCCTCCTCTTCCTTCCTGTACACCTCCCGCATCCATTCCTGATTAGAATACGCTCCTTAATCTGGTCCGCACACTACAACATCTACATTCAATTAACAGAGCAAATTCCTTAGGTGGATAGGGTGCAGCAAAATGGGTATATCCTATCTTGCAGCCCAATCCTGCCACTCTTCTCCACCAATTTACCTGTACCATTCTCCTATCAACAGACTGTACAGACTTGGAAATAAAATTACTTTTCAATGAAAAATTAATAACAATATTTATTATTAATTGGAGATCGTGAGATGCAGTCTGGTGTGATGTAGGTTCAGAAAAACATTTTCTTCATCGTGCCAACATTTCGATCTTTATTGAGATCATCTTCAGGGACTGGGATTTATAAACATTGTTTAAATTGTACAAATACATGTTGGATGTGAAAAAAATGAATTTATACAATGCTAGAAATTTTAGACTCGATCAAAGTATTTCCAGTACAATATTCTTTAACAACTCTCTCAAGTTCAAAAATTACTTAAAACCTATCCTCTAGAGACTCACCTTCACTACCTTTCTTTCATATCTTTAGTTATTTTTAAGAATTTTATTGTATGAGATAGAATCAATAGATTTATTTGTTATTATTATTATTATTAAGATTGTTTATTTTATTCAAGTAATTTTATTTTTGATGTATTATATCATATTTTACTTTTACTTTATATTACTTTTGTTATTACTTTAATTTTTATTTCTTCTCAATTTTATAAATGTAAATTTGTAATCATTGTACATTTTCTATTATATTATTTTATTTTAAATATTAGTTTACACTGTAAACTGGTACTTTTTACATTTTCTACATTTAAAAAAGAGTATAGCTACCCGTTAAATAAATAAATATAAATTATAATTTTTTGCCAAATACTAGATTAATTTTGAGACAGATGGTTTTTTTTAGATGAAATACCCACATAAAAAAGTAATAAAGTTCATTAAATCCTATTTTATTTAAACATAATATCACAATCATGTATTGTGGAATAAGATCTCATAAGTAGAAATAGTAAAGGTGGAATGAGTATTACTTTTTGTAAATGATAGGCCTACTCACATAATTTCTGTTATTTAAATGTCTAACTAATTAATTAATTATTTTATTTAAATGTTGAATTAATTAATTATGTTATTTAAATTATTTAAACGTTACATTTAATTCTGTGCGGAGAGCCATCATTTACAAAAAGTAGATCCCACTAGTTCGCTAGTGCTATCTGTCCACGTTGTTTGCACTTTGCTCCACACTCTTCTCGTTGGTACGAAAACAGGTAGGTTCACATTTGTTTTACTCGATAAACCTTGAATAATTTTTTCTTTACATTTTATACTTTTATTCCTTGTTTATAATATTCGTTAGAATATAATAAGTGGTAAGGCAATTTTATTCGTTTATCCTGTGACAAGTTAGAAGAGTTTTTCAAGGGTGACCGGCCGGCTTTCCTAGCATGTTATTTTAAAGTTTTGAAAGATGAAGATAGAATTGGTGGAATCTCTTAAAGGCCATACGGGGAAAGTCTGGAACGCCAAATGGAACCCTCAAGGCACTTTGTTGGCTTCGTGTGGCGAAGACAAGACTATCCGGCTTTGGGGAAAGTCCGGACAGCAGTGGAAGGCGAAGGCGGTTTTGCAGGACGGCCATCAGAAAACAATAAGAGAAGTATCTTGGTCACCATCTGGTAAATGTCTTGCTTCGGCTAGCTTCGACGGGACGACAGCAATTTGGGACAACGATAGCGGTCAATTTGAGTGCAATGCTACAATCGAAGGTCATGAGAATGAAGTCAAGTCGGTTTCGTACTCTCCTTCCGGACAGTTTCTTGCAACATGCAGCAGGGACAAGTCCGTTTGGGTTTGGGAACTTGAAAACGGCGAGTATGAATGTTCATCAGTTTTGAACGCTCATACACAAGATGTAAAAAAAGTCATCTGGCATCCGCACGAAGACCTCATTGCCTCGGCTAGTTACGACAACTCGATTAAAATGTTCAAAGAAGACCCTGCTGACAACGAGTGGATGACTGTCGCTACTTTGAATTCGCACAACTCGACTGTATGGAGTATATCATTCGATCAAACTGGCACAAGACTCGTCAGCTGCAGCGATGACCAAACTGTTAAAATCTGGAAGCAGTACAAACCCGGCAACCCTGAAGGTGTCCCAACTGTTGACAATGAGGCGACATGGAAATGTGTTTGTACCATATCCGGGTACCATGACGGATCAGTTTTTGATGTCGCCTGGTGTAAACTAACAGGGCATATTGCGACAGCATGTGCCGACAACTGCATTAGAATATTTCAAGAAGTAGAACCCTCAAATGACAATCAGCCCAATTTCGAGTTGATGGCCGTAAAACATCATGCTCATGAACAAGACGTTAATTCTGTCTTTTGGCATCCAACAGAGCCAGGATTGCTTTGTTCAACCAGTGATGATTCACTTGTTAAAATATGGGAAATTGAGAACGATTGATATATTGTATCATGAATATATTTTTAATTAGTTAAATGATGCTATGCTTATTTTAATAACCTTTTCACACTCAAATTTTAATCAACCAACAAAAACCTACTATATTATATTCTGGGAAGTATTTGTTCAACATTGAAACAGCCAGATTGTTGTGAGAATTCTTTTTATTTTCTAAACGCTTTCAACTAGATTCCTCTTTGGTGCAAGTTACGATATACCAGGTGATTAGAAAAATAGAATATGTTTAGCACATTATTAGGGTATCCACCTGATATATACTGGTATCTAATGTATGAATCTATCTACAAGTAAGAATTGAAAATGTTTTGAAATAAAAAAGTATTCTCTCAAAATCCTGGGTGTTTTTCAGTGATCAAAAAATACCTATTCTTCCTGGAATAAATTGTACAGAAAGAACTATGTATATGATTGCATGCTCCACATTATCGAAAACAAAATGCTAGCCATGAATAGAATTTTTTGAGGCCGATGTAGTCAACATGTGATCTGTTTGCCATCTGATGTATTCTACAGCTTGTATAATATTAAAATGTATAAACTGTTCTAGAATATAAATATATATATACTATACCATGCAAATAATAAATATATCAGGGTTGTAAAAATAATATTTTCTGACAACCAGGCAGCTTTTAAGACATTCCAAGACTACGAGATTATCTCAAAAATTGTCTGAAATTGCCTAAATACCATAAAAAAGCTGGAATGTTCAAATAGATTAATGCTAAAGTGGGCTCAAGGTAATCGTAAAAACGGAGCCTCAGAACCTTTTATGTGCCCAAATCGCTTTTGTGGCAAAAATAAGCCAACCCAAGAGCTGAAATCTTGGAAACAAATACTCGAAGCGTAAACCAGGCATGAGGCAAGCAAAAAGACTACTTGCAAAACAACCCAATGGAACAAACATGCTTCCATTTAAAAAAGTTGATAATGTCTAGATGAGACAAAAATGACAGAACAAATCCAATGCAACTGCCTCACTACTAGGAAAAGGCTATGGTACCTGCGAGAACCATTCTTGAGCTATGTAGATCTTGACACCATACCTTTGAGAATAATTCTTTACTTCATACTAGTAATAACTATTTAACTTAGTAGTATTTAAAATGCATATAATTACAGCAAAAATAATTTGGGCTTCCATAGAAATCTGCCTCAACCACTACACATCAGTGCTTTTCAATATTATTCCCTTGTACTCCAAACTAATCAAAATTCCTCAGAAATGACCTAGTCACATAGAAAAAGTAGATTTTACCCCTATCTTGTTCCGTCTAGGTTTCTACTCAGGGGCAAATAAAAACTGAATCTAGTAACAGCCAATATCAAGTCTATGGAGGGAACAAAAAGCTTAAAATTATAGTGAGGTATAACCCATACACGGAGGAACACAATAGTCCTATTTTGATGTATGCAGTGCTGTACGCTGCAACAGTTCTACCTTGGTCTGTACAATTACTAGTCTTAACATAATGGGCATACTTGTTTTGATTAATGTTCGACCCAGAAAAGATGTTGCCTTTTCTAAACAGAAGCAGTACAACAACCAGACAAATATAAAACCCACTAACATAAACAAAAGGCAAGAAACAAGTGAAAGCCTCATTAGTTTTGTGTTCCGAACCTTGTAAAAGTGAGATTGGCCCTTGTGCATTATGCATAAGGTCATCTATATGAAAAATATAAATTTAACATATTGTGGAAAACAGAATATTATGTGATGTGTCTTGTAGTTGGACAAAATATCTTGGCCACCAAGTCACCTCCCTTCAGTCTCATTACATATTAGATAAAAATGTCAATTATACTGTAATTAATTAATTGTAGTACAATTTCAGGAATTCCTTGAATATGTTTAATGGCTTGGATTAGAAAACTCTCCAGAGCTCAGGTTAATTTTTCTAAGCATAGGAGCTTTCAATTTTATTCCTACACAGCAAAAGAAGCAATGAGCGGAGACAGAATGGGTGTACTTCTTAGTGATGTGGTCATGGAATTGGACAGATTCGCCAACCCGCAGATGGCTGAACCATGGGATAACGTTGGCCTCTTGATTGAACCGGCGACACCAACTTCGATCAAAAATGTCCTTCTTACAAATGATCTGACTGAGGATGTAATGGAAGAAGCACTAGGGAAAAATACAAATTTAATTATTTCTTATCACCCTCCAATTTTTTCTGCGCTTAAGCGTATTACAAATACACATTGGAAGGTAATAAAAAATAAGAAAAAAAATTACAATTACAAAAAATATGTTTTATTTTCAGCAACGAATTGTATCCAAATGTCTTGAAAATAGGGTGGCTGTATATTCACCTCATACTGCTTGGGATGCAGTTCATGGTGGGGTGACAGACTGGCTCACTACAGCATTCAGTGAGAGTACAAACTCATAATAAAATGAACATAATTGACATTGAACTTTTTTGTTTTGTTTAGGGGGTTATTACGATGAAAGTACAGTACAACCCATTGTAAATCCTGTAGATACAAGTGTGAGTATAATTTATTCTCCTAGATTTTTTACATTCATTTATATATAAAACTCTGTTTTTAGATGGATGGTAATTTTGGAATGGGTCGTATAATCAAAGTACACAGCATCACTTTAAATGATTCTGTAGCTCTGTTGAAAAAACACACCCGCCTCGACCATCTGAGAATAGCTTTAGCAAAAGGAAAAACTCTAAGTAAATACAAAATAAATTTTGTGTTACGAAGTGTGGACCAATGGTTTATTTGCAGGCTCTGAAGTGAGCGAGATTGCTCTTGTCCCAGGCTCTGGTGGAAGCTTGTTAAAAGGTGTGAAAGCAGATTTGCACATCACCGGCGAAATGTTCCACCACGACCTCCTAGAACTGAACCATGATGGGGTTTCTGTGATTCTGACAAACCATTCAGATTCGGAGAGAGGATTCTTGAAAAAAATGGAAGATAAACTCAATATGTTGTTCGAAGGGAAAATTAACATTGAAACATCTGTTAAAGACAAAGACCCTATTGTATCTGTTTAATAAATGTATTATTTAACCAAAATAAAAACTTTGTTTTAAATTTTTTTGTAGGCATATACAATATACAAATTATTTCAAAATGCTTGAATTGTTGAATTGTTATTATAAAGAAATGGTTAGGCTGAATATTTATTTGGATATTATTTCATATTTGAATCCCCAAGAACAGAATTAGTAAATGGCTAATAGGAAGCTGGAGAAATATTGACATATACTAAAAAGAGAAGGGGACCTAACATGGAGCCTTGTCCTGTTGTCTATCTTTATACACATACTCAGGCTTACATTCAGAACGATACAACTGGAACCATTTCAATGCAAAACCCTGTCCGTATTCCTATATCATCCAACTTTTGAATTAAAATTTCATGAACTTATCAAAAGCTTTTGTAATATCTAGGAACAATCCAGCAACCTTTGTACCATTGTGTGTGGTGATTAGTGACCGTTATTCTATGAGATGCGGTCTGGTGTGATGTAGATTTTAGATAAACATTTTCTTTATTGTGCCAATGTTTTGATCGATTCTTTATCGAAGTATGATGGTAATCTCTTTTTTTCGTCATGTCTAGGTTGCTAAACCATGATTTTATTTTAACGAGAGAAAAAGGTATCTTATAAGCCATTTCCTTGTCAGAAGATGTTTATACAGGTCTGCCATTCTTTTGAATTTTTGTTTCTAAAAGTTGTAAAAGATCTGTGTAGGTAATCTGTATGTTTCTAGTGTTGCAAAACTATGTAGCATATTTAGCCTGTTGACAGCTTTCTCATTACCGCAAAGATCCATGTGACCTTTAATCCATACGAAAGAACCCTCATTTTTTATAATCGATAAATTTTAGACGATCTTTTTAATGTCATTTATGATACAATTTTTGATAAATGCGGATGTATTTTGCAAACATTGTATAGCATTGAGACTATGCTATACTAAACCGTGCAATTTATATGATTTTTAAAACAAGGGCAGTGCAAAAAGCAGGTCAATGAAAATTTCTTTGGAAAATTTCTGGAAACTGTTGTACACCCTCATTTTCTGGGTTAAAAAAATTATAAATATTTTAAATTATCGGTAAAAAGTAGATTTTAATCGAGTCAAAGTATAGCTTTTTAGCATGTTGACAGTTGCCTATGCTTTTTTAAAAATCATAAGGAAGTATTGTGTATTAAGCAATTAAGTACTAATTGCAAGTAAACTGTAAGCAATGAAAGTAGACATTTTGTAGTTGTTTTATTTTTATTATTTTTTAAATTTTATTTTTAATATGGCATTTTTATAGGAGAAAAAAGGGTTGATAAAAGCTTACACCTTTTGTTATAAACCCCTATTTCAATACGTAAACAATATAACAGGAATGATTTATTTTAAGAAACAGTATTTTAGTGTGTTTAAGAATGAACGTCAAAATCGATTTTTAGTTACATTCTATGTTCCAAGCAAAAGAAATGGAAAATGATACAAGTATCGATACCTGTATCGGACACAGTACCTATCCTAGGCGACTATTGCAGTTCTTATCTGGTTGTCATAACGTCAACAAGGTGTTGACTCACAATCGTCGAGTCGTTTTCCGATTTAGTCGCTGTTTGGCCGAATCAACCGAGACGGGTGCGTACTAGTATTAAGTACCATTGGGATGCCTAACAAGCAAGACAATTTGGAAATAGTTCACGAGGGCTGGCTTACCAAGTCTCCGCCCGCAAAGAGGATCTGGAGAGCCCGCTGGAGGAGGCGTTGGTTCGTCCTAAGACATTCGGGGGAATTGCCAGACCAGTATTTTCTATTTTACTACACAGACAAGAATTGCCGGACGCTCAAGGGCCAGATAGATTTAGACCAATGCGAGCAAGTCGACGCGGGCCTCCAGTTCGAAAGCAGTAAGCATAAATATCGTTATATGTTCGACGTGCGCACTCCGAAGAGGACTTATTATCTTGCAGCGGAGACGGAAGAGGACATGAACAAATGGGTGGAATGCGTATGCCATGTATGCGGTTTGAAAGCATACACTCAGGAAGAAAATGTGTGCCCTTTCGGATCTGAAGAAAGTTCTTCTTTAGCCGAGGAACTGAGTCAGGTAGCTGAGTCACCACCAGTATCACCTTCCAGCACAGCTTCAGGCCCTTATATTCCGATCAGTGAATGTATAACCGGAAAGCCATTGGTCCATAATAACTACAATGATGAATTTTATGATTCGCCGCGTAGATTACAGCCTCCTGGGGATCTTGAACTAAGGGGGTCGCTCTCGGCGACACCTCCGCTCCAAAGTCCTGGGACAGATGTCGAAAGTGTATTTACAGATGAAGAATGGCCAAATCAGAGGCCTTCCGTTAACTGGGATACGTTTCCCCACCCGTCAGACAGTTCTGTTGAAGATGTCAAACCATCTTTGATCGTTGGAAAAAGGAGGTATACCAAACCCGAAGCTCCACCACACCCTCCGAAACCACAGCATTTGGTTTTGCACGATGCTAACGACATCCATACGTATTCCAATTTGGACGAACCAGTCCAGAACGAGGTTACCCACAGTACAGAAAATGTGATAAATGAAATGTATGATTTTCCCCGATCTCATCATCTAAACGGTGAACAAGAGAACATCGATCCAGTCCCGGCTCCCAGATCACGACATTGGTACACTAATGCAGCGCCTAGTCAAGTCGGTACGGTTTTCAGGTATGATTTCGCTTATAACGACGAACCGGCCTCTCCTCACTCAGAAGCATCCAGTGCTCAATATTCCAATGTTTCGAGTCCTTTATACTCGGGAAATCCTCCTGCAGTCAACCGAGGGTTGAAACCGGGGCGTAAAACTTCAGAATCCATCTCCAACGAACCTTCACCTCTTCAACCTAACGTCGACCTGAATCTTTTGAGGAACTTAAAACCCTCAGCATCAGCGCGCGCTAAAGACGATCATGTACCGCTCAAACTGAGCGCTCCTCCAAGAAGAAATGATTACTCTAAAAATACAAGGATTCATTCTGGCCATTCACCTACACTTTTGCCATTTACTGAAAACAGTGACGCAGACACTTCACCTGAGAGTCATGAACAGGCCCTTGAAAATGCTTGTTTTTCTGCTTTCGCCCCGATGAGTATTAGAGGTGGAAAACAAAAAGAAATCCAGTATCTAGATCTCGACCTCGACACGCTCGACTCTACTAATCCTTCTACTTCTGAATCTTCCAATACGGTTTATAAAGAGGTGGATTTTGTAAAAACAGAAGCTTTCAACAGAACTAGGCAGAGGGTAGAAGAAGAAAGGAAAAATGGACCTGACAATGTACTTTGAGTTTGTTTATAATAGATTACGAATTCATTTTTTTAAATTATTTGTACAGGTAACAAAAAATTGAGCTTATTATAACAAAGAATGGGCGGAAATAAAGATACCTAGGGCTATAATTGTAATATTTTCAAACCATTTTATTATTTTTTTTTTTTAACAATGATTCTTGTTTTAAGCAGAGTACAATTTTAATTAATGAATTTCACTTCGTTACATTTTTTTTATGTACCCTAATTTTAAGCCCTATGTTTTTCTCTTGTCTCTGTAAAGTGTTAAACATGCTCAAATATAATTATAGCATAACTGGAAAACCTTTTTATTCATTTAATAAATTACTATACTAGTATCCGTTTTTTTTAAGTCAATAATATAGTTTTTAAATTTGCTTAAATTTTGTTGCAAGTTTTACTATATCATAATTTTTTATTTTGTTTAACCAGAATTGCTTTATTAGAATATAGCTGATAAAATGTATTAATTAGCTAATAATACGATTGTAATTTGTTTTATCAAAATGGATGAATGTTATTAAAAAAAAATTGTTATTGTATTTGTACTAAATTTTAAAAATCAATATAGTACCTTAGGTGTCCAAATGTTTTAATGTTGTTAGTTATAACAGAGTTTATATGCATACGAACATATGTATTTTTAATATACATGACAATATTTTTATTGAATATTATTCATTATACCAGATCATAATAATAATTATTTATTTTCTTAAAATGAAAAAAAAATTATTATAGGAAATAGTATAATGTACTTCAATGTATCAAACTTTACCTGTTAAAACAAATATATATATAAAGTTCTTTTATATGTTTTTTAATGATAATTTAATATTACATTATGGAATAGTGAAGTTTTCCCAAGTTGTATTCAGATATTATACACAAAAATAAAAGGAAATTTAGTCAATATTGATTTCATGGATCCTTTTAAATCACCATTTTTTTCTCATTAATTTAATATTACGATACTACCATCTTTTCTGCAAGCCCAGACCAGAGTGGCCTTTGAAAACTAGGAACATCTGTCCAACTAAATCGCAGGAAATAACGTTCAACAGCCAAATCATCTCACATACAATATACTACACGTCTGTTCCTCACCAGCATCCAGTATTGTCCGCTATTTGGACTTTATATTGGCAAATGACATCCCATCAAATACTCTTTAGTCATTCCATCCCATCAATTAGAGGGTCATTACTATTCAACAACGTGGTAGACATCCCTTGAGCAGAATGAACACTGTTTGGTTGCATTCTTAGTCATGAGGCAAGAATCAATCGAGTGTGGCACCTAAGCTTTAGAAACTCAAGGGCATCCTAGCATTCACTTATTACTTCATCCTAAAATCCATTTGTCCAATAGATATATTCAAGTAATGAATTGTAACATCCTCCACCCTGTACCATCCCGAAGCAGGTGTTCCTCAAGGGTTTATCCTTGGTCCCATTCTCTATTCTTTATACACTGCAGACAATCTTATCAATCACGATACAGGACTCACACAATGCTTTCAGCAAACCCAGACCCAGTAGTGGCCTTGAGAAAGCTCCAGGACCATCATCTGTCCTGTTTGGAACAATGGTTCAAGAAATTGAAAATCAGACTCAACGAAATTAAATCCCAGCAATTGTCTCTTCCCATTATTACCTCTCCTCTAATTTATTACAATAACATTCCTTTACAAGTAACCTGTCATCTCTATTTGATAATTTACACTGACAAAAGAAACCGTACTTAATAGCTCCAATATCATTCTGTCCCATCAGTTTGGGTTCAGGCTCACCAGTTTACCATTTATCAGTGCCACAGGGTGGTAGACATCATCACATCCTCCCTTGAATGGAAGGATTGCTGCTTGGAGGAATAATGATGAGAATCTTGAAGCAAGCTTTCAATTGACTGTGGAAGCCGGCCTTAAGATGGAAAATTGGAACAACCTTCTCCCCCATCTACTATGCCAAAATGGGTGACTGCAAGGCATCATCCTTGGTCCCATTCTGATTACACTGAAGATATTCCTATCAATCTCGATGCAGTACTCCCACACATTGTCCACTACTTGGGTCTTTACATCGACAAAAGACTCAGAGCCCCACCCTCAATCCAAAAGAACAGAATGTACAATATAAACTACTGAAACAGAAAGAAACCCTCACTTCAATACAAACGCTTCTTTTACACATCACTACTACAACCAAATGTGCTGAATTAAACCGTGGGGTTCAACCCCCAAGTAATCCAGTTACTCCAGTCCAAAATCTTTCAAACCATTGCCCAAGCTCCCTGTTTCATATCAAACCACATAGACCTTCGAATCCACAAGAAGTTGATACAGACTCTTCCATAAAACTGGACTCTCATCCCAACCCACTAGTCCGACACCTTTCCCGATAGTCTAATAAGACATCTAAAGCCCACTAGTCTTGCGATCCCTCCCTAGAGAGGAAAGTGAATAGCATAGGTGTATGTATGATATTGTATTCGTTCTGTTAATAAAGAAAATTTCATACTGCAGCATATTGTTCAACAACCAACAGTACAAGTGATATAACTGTAGAGTAAAGTAGCAAAAAATTGTAAATATTATTTTTAAAAAATGTAGAATTCATAATGCAATAACAAAATGAAACAATATAGTACTTATATTTAATATGATAAATCATTTTATACATAATCTGAAGAGTTGTGATCAACTGACATCCTCAGTTTTTCATTTATTAATTTTAATTTTTCCATAATTACAAGTAGTTGAATATGATTTTATTGTAAAAAGAAAAAACATGGTAGTAAACTAGGTGCCATTGAATTATTAACTAGGATAAAATTAAGTCCAGAGAAGTAAGCAATTCCCCTGATTGGGCTCATTCACTTCTCTTGAAAAAGTCAATTCAGGAAGGAACATGCAAATGCCACTCAGCCATTCCAGTATCATTCAGTGATAAAATAATGGGTAAAGCGGTCACTGTGATTTTTGTCATCAATCTCACTTTCATTTTTGTGTTTTGTAATAATATAAATAATAATACAAAGATGTGAGTAACTGTAATGTTTTTAACTATTGAAAAAAAAACTTAAAATTTTTCTCCTATTCAGGATATCAGAAAAACTGTACCTAAGAATGAAAGAGTACAGTGCTGATGATGATTTTCCATGGCTATTGACAGATATAGGTGAAAAATTAAAGTATCAGCTTAATTGTCTCACGATCGTATCAGATAATTACTACAATGATGCTTTCAGGAAAGGATTTTTTGATGTTTTTAAGAAAATACCTATTTTAAAAGTATGTTGTGTAAGTCATGCAAGTTCATGGCGTTTATAAAATCTGATATAAAATTTTTAGATACTAATCAAAGATCATGAAGATCTGCTTTCTCCAAATTTTAAAACTTTGGCAGCATTATTACAAGCCAGAAAGAAAAGTTGTAATGTGTATGTAATACTGATTGCCAACGGAGACCAAGTGTCGAGATTTCTTCGATTTGGAGATAGGTGATTTATACGCACAGGCTGGTTATAATCGTACATGAAATCTTTTAACACGTTTCTTTGTTTAATTTAGGCATCGTGTGTTAGACACGAGGGCAAAGTACGTAATGCTTTATGATTCAAGGCTTTTCAGACCTGAAGTGCAATATCTTTGGAAAAAAATTGTAAACGTTATTTTTCTGAAAAAATACACAGACAGCCGAAGGTACGATATAAGTACGGTACCTTTTCCAGAGAAAATGGAGGGGAATTACCTGACAAAAAGAATTGTCAGTTGGAAAATGGGCAAATTTCAGGTGACTTAGAGATCGAAATAACAAAAATAATACACAGAAAATAAATATTTGATATTTTTCAGTACAATAAAAATCTTTTTCAAGAAAAATCTTCCGATTTGAGTAATGAAAATTTGCGAGTGGCTGTGTTAGAACATATGCCATCTGTAGTCAAAAAGCCATTTAATTGTGACTCTGCCAAAGAGTATTTAATATCTGGGACAGATAAGAAGTTGATGAAATATGATGGTCTAGAAATCCAAGTAAATATATGTAATCGTATCTATAAAACTTATTTTATAATAATGACTGAAAATTCAGATATTAAGAAGTTTGTCTGAAGCGATGAATTTCAATGTGACAATATATGAACCTGCCAATGCAGGAGTTGAGGCATGGGGTACGAAACAACTCAATGGCACTTATTCTGGCCTGCTTGGTGAAGTTACATCAGGACGAGCAGACATAGTTCTAGGAAATTTTGTCTATACACCTTACAACTTGCAACTGATGGATCTAAGTAGGCCTTACATTACACAATGTTTTACATTCATCACGCCTGAATCAACAACAGATAATTCATGGAAGACGTTGATTCTTCCATTTAGGTAAAATTCAATTTACCAAGGACAAAATAGAAATAAATTATTGTACTGTTTTTTTAGACTTAATATGTGGCTAGCTATTATTTTGACATTGTTCATCTGCAGCATTATCCTTTTTGGGCTGGCTAAATTTCAAGATTTCTTTGAGTTGAACCGTCAAGGGAGGACAGCTCAGGGCAACAGTTTTTGGAGAGATCTTATATTATTGTGGAATGACAGAAATATTAATGTTGTCCAAGTTAGAAGCTCATTTACAGCCTTGAGAGATGACGATGGATCAGAAGGCCTTTATTTATTTGACCAAGTAATAATAAAAATTTAAAAAAAGTGTTAATTTTGTAAAATTTAAATTGTGAGATGATTGACCTGAAACTTGGTAATTAATCATACGAAATCACCACTGAGCATGGAAGAAAACAGGCCAAAACATTAAGGCTAGACAGATCCAAAGGGTCAGAAATGACCAATCTACATATTTCCTTTTGGTTAAAATGCTCTTAACATTATTCCTTTATAATTTATTTAAATATAAAGTTTATGGATAATTAAGATATGTATTAAATGTATTATTATTTAAATTAGATGGACAGTAGCCTTCTCAATGCGTACAGTATGCTTCTACTTGTTTCTTTACCTAAGATGCCTTCAGGATGGTCATTAAGAATGATGACTGGCTGGTGGTGGATTTATTGCTTACTCGTGACTGTTGCTTACAGATCCAGCATGACTGCTATATTGGCAAAACCAGCTCAGAAGTAACACTTTATGGAAATATACAAAATGAAATTTTTTCACTCAATTTTTTTTTTTTTTAATTCAAGGGTAACGATCGACACCCTTGAAGAGCTAGCCGAAAGCCCAATAGGCTGTGGTGGTTGGGGAGAACAAAATAAAGAATTTTTCACAACATCTCTGGACATTGCTGGCCAGAAAGTGGGGAAAAAATTTGAAGTTATGTATGACCCGGATGAAGCGATTTCAAAAGTTGCAGACGGAGATTTTGCATATTACGAAAACATTTACTTTCTCCACCACGCAAAAGTAAAGGAAAAGCTAATTGAACTCTCGATGAAAAATGATACTGAAGGTAATTAGTTAATAAAATTAATATAAATTAACATTCTCATTTTAAACTTTATTCTTGTTGAATATTTATGATTTAAATCAAATGTAATAAAACCACATTTGATTGTGTAATATAAAACTTAGATCATATTCTTATTTTGCATTATTTGGACTACTTTAAATGTAAAATTCATTAAATATTTTTTTTACAATAATATTGTCATAATTTAGGTAATGTGAACTCTACATCAAGCGCAGGGATGGACAAAGACCTTCATATAATGGGAGATTGTGTAATCAACATGCCCATTTCGCTCGGTCTTCAGAAAAATTCACCCATCAAACCCAAAGTGGACGTGTTCCTCCAGCGCGTTGTTGAGGCTGGTTTAGTCAAAAAGTGGCTCCGAGATATGATGATAGAAGCCGCAGTGGCCGAGGCCGCGTTGAACAAAGTCGAAATAAAGGCTTTGATGGACTGGAAAAAGTTTTATGGCGCGCTTGTCGCCTTGTTGGCTGGCTACGTCTTGGCGATTCTTGTGCTCACGGCAGAAAATATCTACTGGTATAGAGTTGTAGTTCGCAACCCATTCTTTGACAAGTACTCAAAAGGATTGTATTATTCAAGAAAAAAGGTGGTGAAAAAAGAAATAAAACCATTTAATTTTGTAAGATAAGATGTTTAGCTTGTAAGAACAAAAACTAAGGTTTTCTTTCGTAATTTTATTGTATTATTGATCATGTCAAAATCCAAAATATTAAAATATGTAATAATATTCTTTAACATCCTCCATCAACTTAAATTCTTTAACAGTTTTCTATTTTATAGTGTTTTATTGTATTTTCAACATGTGTAACTTATTAATAAATTTCTGTGTATTTTGACCATACCATAATATTTTTATTAAACAATAATTATAATATTTTTATTAAACCATAATTAATTTTATCGTTAAAATAAATTTACCAAATGAACAAAAGCCCTCATTTATATTAATAAGCTCTTGAACCTGTCTCTTCCTCAGAAGTTACTCAATTTGGAAATAGATAGCAGCACCAGCACCATGAGCACGTGGGTAAGGTTGAAAAAGGATAGGTGTTCTCTTATTGAATGATACCAGTATTTGAGTATTTTATTCGCCGGATTTTTGAAAAGTGCAAGTGATTTGATGTCTTTTATTCAGGGCCAGAGGTTTTGCAAGTACATTGGCAACTTGACCGTTCTCATAAGCAGAAATGCCCAAACCAAAGTATTCAAACAGATAAAGTCTCATAATTTCCAATACCACACTTCATCTTTGCTATCCCAAAATGTTAATCCTAAGGAAAAAAGTAATAGATATGATCATAGGGGTACCTGGCATCAGCAGGAAGACACCAGGAGTTATGATAAGTATGATCAGGAGAGCATGATTCAAGAAGCAATTAGGGAGAAACGACTTAATACGATAGATCAAATTGAAGAGTTGATGTCCCTCGTCGTCACAAAAGGCCATTACATTACTAAACAAAATTTTAACTCACACTTCTTATCAGTATGTGGCGCTGAGAAAGTTTTTGAAGTTGGAAAACTGCTGTTTGATCATATATATCAAAGCAACAAAGATGTAAACATTGGGGTGGCGAATAAATTTTTAAGATTGTGCTACAGCTGCAGGGAAAAGTGCACAGAAGAGGAACACAATGTTATATACGAAATTTATAAAAACCTTTTGGAAAGATACGAAGTATTGGACAGTAACACTTGTGAGAACGTCATATTAGGCCTGTCGATAACTGACAAATGGAGGGAGATCGCAGATGTATTCAAATTATGCCGTTTGACCGTTCCTCCAAGTCAGAAGATGTATTCAGCGTTTATTACTGCTGCATTGAGAAATGATGATGACAACTTAGCATGGGAATTAATGGACGAGGCCATGGTAGACAACAGGAAACCAACTATTGAAGTTTACGAGGCGTTCCTTAAAGAAAACAGAATGGAAAGGCTGGATGAGATAGTGCACTGGCTTGAAAAATACAATGAGCACATACACATCGAATTAGCCAATTTGCTCATGAGGAGACACACCGAGTTGACTGGAGATAGAAAACAATCAAGCCTCACATCTGTAACACCCGAGTAAGTTTTATTGTTTCGCCATTTTTACATATTTTTCAGAAATGTAGACAATTGTCAAACTTTAAACATATATATATTTTTTTTTGTCTTTTAGAGGAAAGTGCAGAAAATGCCTCAAATATTTAAAGAACGTGGAACTGACTCAAGAAGAATTTGATAGCCTGAGGGAAGCGTTTTTGAACCCTGTTCTTATCGGGAATGACATTTTTTTAAAAACTAAACCCCAAGAATTACAAAAATACCATAAGTTTTTGGACAACATGGGAATAGTTGATGTTGTACTTGATGGGCTAAACATTGCATATGGTAGCAATAAGTATGGCACACAATCATATTCAGAATTGGTAATAAATTATATTTGTACTGTAACAAAAAATAATGAGATGATATGATTAACAGAGATTAATTATAGCTAAATGGAGATTTCCAAAAAAATAAGATTTGTAGCAAAATGGTAGAGATTATTTGTTGATCATGCCTAAAACTAAATTTTAAAAATTGAATAAATATAAATATTCTGGTTTTAACATTGCTTTCTTTTTAGCTGAGAAATGTCGTGCAGCATTTTGTTAGAAAAAATAAAAAAATAATAGTTCTTGGGAGAAGGCATATGCTGAAATGGCCAGCCCAGCAAATAAATTACATCAGGTCCCATACTGGATTATTTCTGATTGATAATAAGTAATGTATCTTTTTTAACTAGCTATAACATTGAATATAGTAGTCATTGAGTTCTAAATTAATTTTGTAGTTCTGCTGATGACCCGTATTTACTACATGCAGCAATGCACTCTGGAATAGGAACGAATTTCGTATCGAAAGATCAGATGAGAAGTCATAAGTTTTTGTTGAAAGACAAAAGGCTGAAATATATTTTTTCTAAATGGCAACAAAAACACCAGATTTATATAAACCATGTAACAGATGATGGTCGAGTTTACACACGGGTATATATCTATTTGTCCTTTTATTTATTATTGCATTTCATTTTTTTTTAACTTTTGTTTATTCAGAAACCACCGCCTTATTTGATGGAAGTCCATATGAGTGAAGATGAAGGTTCATGGCATTTGCCGATAATCGAAGATACTCCAGGTGCCAACCCACTTCAGCAGGTGTTTAATACCACTTGGCTTTGTCTTAAGCGTTAATATAGTTAATAGTTGATCTAGCAAACATGTAGAAAACACTTAAGCAATTTTTAATTTTGTAAATAGCAACTATACATCGGTATAATATACTTCAAAATACAAAGTGATAATTTTCTACTTTTCTGTTTGTTCTGTTAAAATTTATCTCAACGGTCTTCACCATCCTGATTTAATAACTCACTAAAATTAATTAATTAAAACAGGATTTATTGTTAAACATTATATTTAAATATACCACACTGTTCATACAATTAATTGACTAATTGGGGGGGGGGTCATCAGTCCCAACAGGTAAGGCGTTTATAAGGTGTTCATCACTAAGGTAACGGTCCTGGATTCGAATCCAGTCGCCCTGAATTCAAACCCGGCATACAATTTTTTTTTTTTTTTCAAAACACTTGCACCCTGATGGTTCAACTTGAAGTTGAAATACCATCATTAAAACAAACTGACTAATTAAAAAAAAAAATCTTGCTGTAAAAACTTCAACAATGAAACTTTAAAAATGAAATAATACAAATCAAAAATTGCCTGAAGGCAAACCTAGCTTTATCAATGAAATATAGAGATATTTAATAAGATCATGTTGTTAAAACCCCATCTAAAATCATTTCTAAGTTAAAATTATTATTCTAGTAAATAATTCAGTACAAAATTGCAAAAAAGATTGAGAAATTTCTATGTGTAATGACAAAATTTAAGAAAGTACCATTATCTGCAAAACAATCATCATAAATATGCACCCCAGCTCGACGATAAGACCACTTGCTATAATAGCGGTTCTGGGTTTAAATACCGGCATAACCCATGCAATTTTAATTAAGAATAATTTGAAGAAAAAAAAATTGTAAACTGGTTTGCCCCCTGGTCCATTGGGTAGTTGGATGTGCTCATACTTAAATTTTAATTGGTAGTAAACAAATGGTCACCCAGATGCGTTTTGGCTTCTTGTCTTCAATGGTAGGTACGATAATGATTGACAGAGATATAAGTATGGTTAAGCCCCTATACATCCACCACTGAAGATGACAGACCCAAATGATTGGAAATGACCAAACTACCCTGTCACCACACAGTCCTCAAGAGGAAATCTCTCAAGTAGTTACACATTTAGAAAGAGGCTTTTGTTTTGTAAACTAACATTAAACAATGATAACTTATTTAGTTATCATTTATTTAACTAAAATAGTAATTATAAAGGTTAATAAGTATATGACAAAGAAAAAGTTTTAGTTTTGATTTGATGTATTGAAGTTGTTTCCTCACTTTGCTCTGTTAAATTGAATTGTTATACATTAACACCACAGTTGTTAAACTACAAAAAAACTATTAATTTATGTCAATTTTCAATAATATATGACAATTAAAATAAAAAGTAGATGATTCTTAGAGATGCAATCTACATTTCAATTAGGCTGATTTTTGTTGTTTTGAAGTGCATATTTGCACTATAAAAACCTAAAATTAAATTATTTATATCAATGCTGTATGAACAAAGAAATTGTTACAACAGGGCTAAATAGGATGATTTAAAGATATGCATACTGCTTTGTACCGGTGAAGAAGGAAGGAAGTGAAGAAGGACATTTTGCTGGAAGTTCCTAATGGAAAATGGTACTACATCTCTAAAAAAAACTCCAAATAATGAAAAATTTATAATAAATATAAGTTGTTAAAAATGGGTCTAAACCCAAAATGTCCAAATAAATGTTTAATTAAGTAAAGAATTTAATTAAAACACACAAAAAAATTATAAAAATATATATTATAAATTATACAAATTTACAACTATTTACTGCAAAAATATACTTAAATTATCTATTTTAATTTGCATTAGGTATTTTCAAGTTTTACAACTTAGATTGCATTTCTCCATTAACAATGCTCTCCCACCACGAAGGCCTACTGAAAGTATCTGGGCTCGAATACAAACATGATTTCAAGTGTTCGTAAACCTAAAATAAATAAATTTGTAAATTAAAAAAAAACATTACATGGAATAAAGCTAATGTTAAAAACAAGTAAACTTTGTAACATGTAACTTTAACTACACTTAGCAAAAAAAAAAAAAAACATTGAACATAAAAATAAATTATTTAATTTAAAAGTTTTCATAATAACTTTGAATATGCTAATCGAGAGGTATAAAAGTTTGTGAACACATAGGTTCAGTTCACTGTCTTCAGTTTGATTCTTTGTTCACTTTGTACAATATTATGTAATGCTGAAAACAGACCACCAGAAAAATTAAAAACCATTCAAAACATGCCATTCTTAAAGAAGTGACCACCAACCCATCAACAAATGCTTCCAAAATTTTGCTGTTTGAAACAGTAATTCCGTTACACCCAAGTATAAAATACTATTAAAAAACAAGGCATGAATGGAGAGAGGCAGACCCAGAAAAAAGCCCCATATAAGCATGAAAAACAGGGAAAAGCTCCTCCAATTTGCTAAAGTGCAATTAAGTATGCCTGATGTGAGGGAGGGGTACTTATTTTCACCGATGAAAGAAAATGTAATGTCTCAAGGTGCGATGGCAGAAAGAAAGTGAGGTGTAAGCCAGAAGAATATTTAAAATTAAAGAATGCTACTGATAGTTAAACATGGGGAGATAGAGTGCTTGTTAGGAGCTGTATGGGCTGAAGAGGAGTTAGCGATTTACGCATAATCAATGGGCTTATGTCATACATTGATGTTCTAAAACATAATTTGGCGTCGGGGTTACCGTGATCGCTAAAACTGAATTTAATGTAAAGCACTATTAAATTGGGAATAGAAAGGACTTTCTATCTCTAGCTTAGTGGTAATAAAAAGAAGGGGTAGACCTAGAGATTACTGAGATAAATTTCAGTAAATAAACAAATGAAAAATAATTCAGATACTTGTTTTTGCTTGAAACGTCTAACTCTATAATGTATATTATTGTTTAATTTCTACATATTGAATATTATTACATGTTATAGGGTTTTTGTTGTTGATTAAAGTTTATAGTTGCAGTACATTGAGTTGTTATTTAATTTAACCCATTATTATTTTAATTTAAAAGATTTGCTTTTATCCCACTGAAGTGTTCAGAGGCTGCTTTTGCTGAGTGTATATTCCAAATCAGCCCAACATACAAGTAGAAAAAGCTTTAATTTGATTGTCATCTATAATACTGGTATGCTCTTTCTTGCTGATGGCTGTCAGATGAATTTCAACAGTTTGGTGTTTCTCTATTGTTCATATTTACAAACATTAGTTTCTCCCTGACCAACTACTGAATGCTAAATGCCATAACATGACTGATAGACAAAACAAGTGAGAATTTGTATGCCATGACGATTTATCTTACATGTACTTACATTGCCATCAGAATGTCCCAGTGGAGAGTTTAAAAAAAAGTCAGGAATTGAAATAGCGTCGACAAGGGAGACGGCATCCTTTTTCAAATCTAAGCACAATCTGCGTATGCCTTCTTGTAAAAACTCCAATGGTGTTTTGCTATTAAAATATCCCCCTACCAAAAAAAAAAAAAAAAAATTAATCAATAGAACCATGTAAATGTTGGTTAAATTGCAAATATAATGCCTTCAAAAAATATGCTGGCATGTTTCTCAAGATTCCAAGAGCCATAAAGAGAAGCTAGTTTTGACAGAACTTCCTTTTCAGCCATTGTCTGTTCATTTACAAATTCAACAAACTTGTTAAGAACCGCATGCTGAAAATTTTAAAACTGTTAAAATTTAATTTATAAAATTTCATAAAAAACAAACTATATTTACTTCACTATAAACAATTCCTAATGTACGCCCAGCATATACTTGTATGTTGTTCCTGAGAGAAAATTGGTCAAGGCCTTGCTTTATATGTTTATCGTTAATATCATTTGTCTTGATCAGTAAATAACACACCAGCCACTTATACATATTTAATAGATCTAGAAATTAATTTATTTTAATATATTGTTGGGAATAAATAAGTTTCTGAATAGATAATTACTTTCAGGATTAAGGATAGCTTCAACAGTATCGTTAGAACATCTTTGTTTAATGATGTTTTTCCAATTTGCCATGAACGATATCGTATTCATCGGTGTGTTCCATACACCCGGATTGTTTCTCTGAGCCCACAGTTGTAAAAGCCAATTTGTAGTTTGTTGTATCAGCACGTTGTTGTCCCCTTCGTATGTTAAGTTAGCATCGTTGTCATTTCTTAAATCAACAAAACCAGCAACTGTTGAAGAAAAATCATTAATTTGTATGATAAATTTCCTTTTTGTGTGTTTACTTTTACCTTTTAAATAACCATGGCCTCCACAGGCTTCTCGGCATTCCTGGATACCGTCTCTTGCAGCCCAACCGAAAATGGGCTTAACACCGCTAGACAATGCATGAATTTCAGGTCCCGAATTCTTGGGAAAATATAAAAATGTATTAATTTAGTCCAAAGTAATAAAATTTAAAAAAAGTCTAACTAACTTCCACGATTTCCTGTTTCATCATCATATTTATTGTCAACTGTACAAAATAGCTATAAAAATAATCGGCAAAGTATTTCATAACATATGCTGTTGCTAGATATGGGAATAGACGCCATTGCTGAAAGTAGGTAAAAATTATTTCTGAGTTTTTTTAAAATGCCAATTTGTTTTTGTATAAATACCAAAAGGGGATACTCTATAATCGGAAGCTCTTCTTTCTCAGTAGGGCCAAACTGTTTTCTAACAGCTGCATATCTAACTGCAATAATAATTGCTTTCGTTAAATACACATTGCAAATCTGTGAAATTGTTACTCTTCCTGCTGACAACGCACCAAGGGAAGCACCTGAAAAATAAAAAAACATTGATTAAAAAGGCAGAAATAATATAAAAAAAATTAACTAAATTTAATTTCTGCTACATTAAAGTTTGACATTCATTTATACAAAACAAATTTATCCTAGTTTTTAACCTCATCACCTAATCTTTTTTTAGGGTCTTTGAATGGGGTAATATATTTTCCTTCAGGGGTGACATCACCAGTTTTATTAAGCAGGTTTTCTTTTGGTATCCTATAGTTTGAGAATAGAATAAACCTGCAAAATAAAATGAAAATAAAATATGATTAAAACACAAATGCGTATATTTTGAACAGACCCGTTGTCTATTCCATTAAGGCCTGCTTTTTCTCCCAAATCCCCAACAACAATGCCGTTAAAAGCTTGGAGTGTTTTAACATCCCTTATCGGCACTATAAAAGCATGAAGCCCACAGTCAGTACCATCTGAGAGTATTAATTTAGCAAAAAGTATCGTATGTGTAGCAGTCTTTCCTGAAAATGCATAAAAAATAATTATTTTTCAAATTATTTATGGTGCTTTTTTCTTTTTCTTGTTCTTGCCTAAATTTCCGACCCAACATTTAGCCGCTTCGAAATCTGGTGTGTTTAAAACAAATTCTTGCGATTTAGGATCGAAAGTCGCCGTCGTCCTCATAGCTTTTGTATTCGTCCCATGCGAGATTTCTGTCAATGAAAAACAGCCAATCCACTGAAATAAAAGTCAATAACAAATTTGGACTTAAATTCATAATGAAGAAATACCTCTGTATCTTTTCTGTTCAGTTCAAAATATATTTCCATGTGTTTTTCTTTCCCTAGGCCTAAAATGGCATTCTGTACGAAGCCATATGCTAGGGCAAGTTTTATATTAGTTGAAGGACAATATTGAAGTATCACATTACTAAACGCCATTATCTAGAAAAAATATTTGTTAAATATTGAATTGAATCAAAATGGACTAATAAATTTGAAAATGTATATTTTTGTTTATACCTTATTTGGGTTTTGTATCATTTCCTCAAATGGAAGAAGATCCCACTGTTTCAATTTTTTCATTCTAAGAGTTGCAATGTGCTTCATTTCATCGACAGACAAACTCTTGTTGGTCCTTTGGAAGAGAGAATCATTTTGAATTTTATCCCAGCAGTGCATCTAGCCACATATACATATTCTGAATGTAAATATTAATCCATATTTTTTATTTTGTCCTAATTGACTAAAGTAATTATTTAAATTTATTTATAATTTTTATGTAGTGTACTGAAATGAAAAATTAGTATATAACTTGGGAGAAAGTGGTGGCCAACTAGTTAAGGCGACACCATGGCTTTTTTCATTTAGAATACCATGAAGAAAAAAATTGTAATGTGGGACTCCTCATCTGCAACACTCAATATTGGACATTAAGCTGGGACATGTATTATTTTGCTTTTGATGTATTAAATTGTGTTGAGGTCTGCTAAGTGATAAACTGGTAACTTGATCACCTTAACCTGGTCTACCTGCTCACCAAGGATTTCAGTGCCTGATCAGGGATATAAGAAGGGTGAAGCTCCTTCTATTTATGCAAATTGCTTATGTCAAATGTGAATGAAACATACCATTAACTGATAAAGAAATATCAAAACTGCTCTGTTAAGAAACAACCTGTGAAAATGGACTAGGGTGATCTAGCATGACCAAGCTACTTTAATATTTCAAAAATAAATTAATATATAATCACAATAAAAATCGAAGTACCAAATCAACATTTATTACGTAAAGGATATTGAAAAAATTATCTTATAATAATTTTAAGTTAAATTTTGACAAAAGTGAATAGTTATTTGGTGTAGTAATATTAAGAGAAATAATTTTATTTTCACCTTGAATTTCAGCAGGTCTTCCTTTTCCATGATAACTCTCATCTTCTTCCAGTCGAACGTTGCCAGCTGTCTGTACTTTTCGAGAGGACCGCCTTTTGGCAGGTCAGCGATGAACTTGGTTGTCATGACTCTGGGCAAGAGAGGAAATTAATAAGAAAATAAAGATTGTTCCAACAATATAAATGACGAAGGGATTTTGTTATCAATCCAATCGACAGTTGATCTTTATTTTGGAGATAATGGAATCAGATTAAAAAGCAAAACAAAATGTGCCCGGGGCAAAGCAAACTCCCAAATGTTCCCACTTCAGATGTACAAGGTGAATTGGCATACATCAGAGAAAAAAATAACAAATGGATTGTCATTTTGCCCACAGAATGTATTTCCATGCGATTACAATGCAAATAATTGAATTAGGTTCTCTGAACAACATTGATAGATTCCTAAGTAATGATTTTTAAATTATTTTTTTTTATTACGATTGCACTAAATTTTTGTATACCTCTTTGGGAATTCTATCAAATAAATGAATACTTAAACAATTTATTTAAATAACATATTTAAATTAATTTATTACAAAACTACTTGTAAAGAATCAATAAAAGTTTTTGCAAGAGTACAAATTTGAATTAATAAAAAAGGTCTTTGCGCATATTTAATGCTTATTACGTGGATAATTAAATTGCCAAATGTAATAATTTTCAATTGAACTAGATACTTTAGAAAATGATTTATTTATTATTATTAAAGTATTATTTAAAAATTAATATTCATTAAAGAAATAGTAATTAGTGGTTAATGCATAATATTGGTACTAATGTGTGGTAATTAGTGACCGTTAGTCCACGATTATTCAGAAATCGTGAGATGCGGTCTGGTGTGTTGTAGGTTTCGGAAAAAAACATTTTCTTTATCATGCAACGTTTCGATCTTTATTGAGATCATCTTCAGGGCCTGAGATTTACAAACATTGTTTAAATTTAACAAATACATGTAGGATGCAGAAAAAAAGTGAATTTATACAAAAAAAATTATTTGTATATATTTTTAGAAATACTTTGATTGAATATAAAAAATATTTTTTGCAAGTAATGCGGTCGGGTGTGTCATCTCACGATATCTGAATTACTATCGATTAACGGTCACTAATCTCTACACAAAATATTTTTTGCATTGTATAAATTCATTTTGTCACATCCTACATGTATTTGTATAATTTAAACAATGTTTGTAAATCTCAGGCCCTGAAGATGATCTCAATAAAGATCGAAACGTTGGCACGATAAAGAAAATGTTTTTCTGAAACCTACATCACACCAGACTGCATCTCATGATTTCCGAATAATCATTAATACCAATATAAAAATAGCAAAATTTTATGTGCATTAGTATTAAGAAAAAATTAAAAATCTCACTTGTCTTTTTTCCACCTGTTTTAACAATGTATTGGCCAGACATGTTTCAGCATAAAATAATTACTTATATGGACAATCATGGATGATTGAACTTCAGGTAAAGTTGAACCATTAAATATTATGTCCCATAAATTAATTATAACAGTTTTACTCTGACCAGTCATCACAATTATGCACAAAATCAAAACAAACTGTATTATTGCTAAATGTATAATTTGTTATTTCAATGGCAGTTATTTTATTTTAAATATTTACAATATTTTTTTACCTAGTGACCATTTTTTTGATGATTTATTATTGGCTATTGGACCGTATATATCTGGAACAAAAATCCCCTAATGATACATAAAAACATAACATAAATTTCAAAATAACAGACACAGCATTATAAGAATCTAATATCACCTTCAACCTATTAAGAATAAGTCATGCGTGGTTGACCACGCCAAAGCCTGCACACATGACCCACTTAACTGAAGGGTGCCATCCCATAGTTCCATACAGAGTCTGTAGGAATGCCACCCGATATGAAAATTGGGCTTGAGCGTGGCAGCATGTTCTGATTTTACTGAATGAATTTATTAGTGTGAATGTGTAGTGTGAGAGGGTGGAATATTGATTACCCATTGACGCTCCATTAGAATGGTTATATAATGTGCAATAAGATGTAATAATGAATATCAAATACTCCATACCCTAATTGAGTAAGTAAACAGGAAAGAATGTATTTAAGAGTGAGTGGGTTTGAATTTAGGAACTGATTTCGTTAGGGGCTGGAATGTTGATAACTCCTGGATGGTTTAACACTAAAGTCTGACTCTGGACTGTCAACAACCAAGGTAGGTGATTCTTAAGGCTTGCCCATAATTATTGTCAATTACACAAAAGCTGGAAATCCAGTGATAGTTCTGTTCACGTATTTATGTACATTCAGAATTGAGCTTATATAAGTCAGTATAACTGTCTAATAGTTGAATCAGCACCTTGAGGAGTTGAACCTCAAAGTAATATGATGTCCAGGATATTCAGATATGATTTTAATCTCGAGTAAAATTTTAAGAAACCAAGGTTGGTAAGTAATTGTACCTTGGTTAGAGTCCAAGGTACAATTACTGTAATTCTTGTTCAGTAATAGCAATCATAGCAATATTCCAAAGAAAAACAAAATAAATTTCAGTAGATAAAAGCATTCAGCTGGGTAAAACTTTGTTTTGTTGTTGTTCCGGTGTACCTGAATTGTAATCATTGGGAAAATGACTTTTATTTGCTGTACAATGTCTTAAATGTTAACAATAACTTAAACTCTGTTTGATTGGAGATTTCAATGCAAGAGTGGGTGAGTTGCAAAAAATTTCAACTGAATTTGTACCTGGTAAATATAGAAAAATTATGTAGAACATCTAAAGACAAGGTAATAAACCATAATGGTAAAAAATTAATGGACATGCTAAATGATTTTAATTTAATAATACTTAATGGCCAAACAAGCCAAGATATAGTGGGAGAGTTAACTTTTTTTAAATAAAAATGGAAGTTCGGTAATCGACTTTTGTTGCGTTCAGGTTGAATTTATACGGTTCATTCACTCCTTTTTTATAGACACCCAAATATTCTCCGATCATATGCCCATAGTACTATCGTTGCAAAGTGATTACAGTAAAAAGAATGACCCAGTACATTTACCGCGTTACCCGAAATTGATATGGCGTGATGGTGATAAATGTAATTACCAGAAGAAATTAAAAAATTTGCTTGACTCTTCTTATTTTGGGACAGAAAGTATAGACTCCAAAATTACTTTTACCAATGAATTGATAAAACAGGCCGGTAATTACAACCCCAACCCGAAATATGGCTTTAGAACTCCTAGAAAACAATGGTTTGACAAAGATTGCGACAAATCTAGAACTGCATCTCAGAAAGTGTTAAAAAGATATTAAAAATCTAATGACTCAAATGATAAAATCGATTACATAGAGTGCAACAAATTTAAAAAACTGTGTAAAATAAAGAAAGAAAAATGTATCAGTGATCTAATATGTACAATACATAAAAGTAGAGACAGTAAAGAGTTCTGGGATGCTGTTAACAGATTCAAAAAACAAAAGTTTATGGTCGCTAATATGATTGAAATGGAAGTATGGCAAAATCACTTCAAATCGCTGTACCACTCACCAACTGAGACGAAATTTCAATATGCCCTGCCGTATGCTACAAATGACTTTTTGGACAAACCCTTTGAGTTGGGAGAACTTGAGGTCGTTTTAAGAAAAGCAAAGAATGGTAAGTCCCCAGGCATAGACTGTATCCCGTATGAGTTTTACAAAAATGCCCCCCCCCCCCCGAACGTACTAGATGAATTATTAAGCTGTTTTAATACTATGTTTGAATTGGCAAAGGTTCCCAAAGCATTTAAAGATTCGTTAATCTTTCCTCTGTTAAAAAAGGGGACAAAAATAACATCAATAATTATTGAGGCATAACATTCATTAATGTAGTGTACAAGTTGTACACAGGGCTCATCTTGGGAAGATTGAAATATTGGTCGTCAGGGAATCCTAAAAGAATTTCAGGCTGGATTTCGATCAGGCTACTCCACACTAGACAACCTATTCACTTTGAAAAGTCTCGTCGAACTGAACCTGGCAAAAAATAAACAGAAAGCTTTCTTTGTGGATCTGTCCTCTGCATTCGACAGAGTCAATAGACACTCCCTCCTGTACAAATTAGGAAATCTGGGCATTTCGTATAAAATGATACGTGCCATAGAAGAGTTGATGTCTGGAACGATGGGTTTGGTGTAGTGTAGGGAAGGTAGAAGTGCGAATTTTGAAATAACAACTGGTGTAAAGCAGGTATGCCTACTAAGCCCCCTACTATTCTCGCTCTTCCTAAATGATTCGGAAGAATTTTTGGACGGTGGTGGAGTACAAGTTGGAAAAAAGAGGATTAATGTTCTTGCTTATGCAGACGACATTGTCCTCTTAGCGACACGTCCCAACTCAGTGCAGAGAATGATAAACAGGCTCAACGATTATATGGATATGTGGGATTTACAAGTGAATCTAAGAGAATCCAAAATCATGACATTTAGGAATGTAGGAAGACCGACCAGAAGTGAGAAATGGTCTATGGGAGGAAATGATATTGAGGTGGTAAATGAATACATCTACTTTTAAAACCTGTACGCATTGGGCTGGAACGACTTAGCTGTTGACAGCCCCTGGAGCCTTCAGTAAGACCAAGGTCCGCCACGAACTGCCAAAACCCACAAATAGGTCTCATGGCTTGTCACAAGAAGTCTTTTTTTTTTACTTTGCCCTACATACATTCAGACAATGTCATTTTGTAGGTGACATCTCGCACCACCCCAACGATCCGTGCCAACCGACCTGGGCCTCCTTCAAAGGGCACTACCTCATATACTTCTCATTTGGGTATCCACCTAATTTCAGCAGCATTAGGAGGATGCGGATAAAAACCTACATGGCAACAGATGTCCCTGGAAAAGTCCACATCCTCCCCACTTCTCGGGGACCATTTGCCCATTGCATGTGGATCCCCTCCCTGGAGACAACCTAAGCCAGCCAACCCAGCACCCCCGGAATGACCCAGGCTTCTCACATCTTAATTAATTATTGGTAAATAAATAATTAATAAATTACTAATGTAAATATATAAATACTACTGTATAAGTAGCAATGTACATCATTAATTAGACAGATATTGCATTAATTAATTGGTAATTAAGCCTTAAATTTATTTTTATTTAAAAACTCAATGTTTTAAACACCACTTCATTTTCAGAACCTATTAGACTTCAATTTTAATTAAAGGGCTTCTCTACCTCTTGTATCTAAAGATTCATTCAAACATAGCATTTCTCGCTTCTTCATACTTCGGACAGTCAAACAAAATATGTTGCATTGTCTTGGATTCATTGCATGTTTCAAAATTTGGAGAGAGTCTTATACGAATTCTGTTTTGATAAGCCCCACATGTGCAGTGATTTGACCTAATTCTGATAATCAAAGAAAAAAAACGCCTTGCTCGCCTCATTGCAAAAATCTATGAAATGGGACGGGGTTCAGGGATGAAAGCCTTAAAAAAAGAACCTGCCTTATTGTAGTTGTACCACTTTTTCCATTCCAGTTTTTTTTTTTACAGTTTTTTCGTTAGTACCCTCTTTATATCAGATTTGGATATTTTGACATTCTGGACTTTCCCACTCAATGTAGCTTCTTTTGCAAACTTATCAACAACTTCGTTATGCACCACTCCACAGTGACTGTGACCTTGACTCCAACCAAATGTTACTTTCTTATTTTTAGATCTAGGTCATATGTTATGCCCTATTTCTGTCACCAGGTAGTCATATTTAGCCTTAGGAGAGAAATTATGGATTTGAGAAACTGAGCTTTTGCAATATGTCAATATTCAAAACTCAGTTCCTTCTATTGTGGCAATATAATAGAAGGCTTTTAAAAGAGCTTACATTTCTGTGCAAAATATAGTTGTAAAATGTGCTCTCCATCATTGAGGGAAGCATAATTTTACTACAGAATTGCTTAGTAGGATCATAAATGGCACATCCGACACTTATTATCGAACCATAGTTCCATACCTACCATCGTAGCCATAGTTCAATTGTATGATGAGCAGAGTTGAGCTTATATTAATCAGTAAAATCCATCAAATTACATGGAATACAAAGAAAAACCATGCTTAACACAAGCAGAGAAGTCTCTAGGAAAATTAAAACTTAATAATTAAGGTTTTTAGTTGAGATGAAAAAAAGTCAATGGTACGAGAGGGATTCGAACCCACTACCTTCAGCTAGATACACCGCTGCTCTACCACCTGAGCTATCGTGACCTCGATCCACTCGGACATCAACTCCCCATCTCAACCCCACCTTATGAGTTTGAAAAATGGCAAAAGGGGCAATTTCAGCGTTGCAGTCAAGAAACTTTTATAATTCTGGGATTTCTTCTTGCTTAAAGTTGATGGTGGGTGTCGGTGAACACATGTTGAACTGGGTCTATCTGCTCGTGAGTTGTTAGTCAAACACGTTTTGCCTTTGCACCATCTTCAGTGAGGAACTAGTAGTTCAACATTTGTTCCCTCACATACTTGAGAAGTTTTGGATGGATTGCCTGTCCACACTGAGAGTACATTTTACTTTGCCTTTTATTCTAAAAATGTAATACGCATTCTAATTCTGCATAAATAATTTGGTCAATTTTGTGGTCTTCCAGCAATGGTATTTACCTGTGTTTCCCTAAATTTTTGTATGTACTGAAACCCACCGGAAGATGACAGTTTCCGCCAAATCTTTCTGAGTACCAACAGTCTTTCAAGACATAAGATCCCATGCCAAGGTAAAAATCCTATGTATAATTTGCATATTTTTTTAAGAAGCCGACATAATAAACTAAAAGCTGTTTATATGAAGAAAGCTTTCACCTTTCAGCCATTACAACCCATAACTTTCAAAATGCAGTCTGATCTGAGAAACGCTATTACTATGTCGTTCAAAAGCTTCATGCTGAAGACACCAAACCACATTATGACTTTTTACACATCACCACTATTACATACCAGACTTTTAAAATAAATAGGGTCATGCTTTGTAGAATTACAGAAAAGCAAAAAGATTAATACAATTTTTTTTCCTACTGGTATTCTAAATATGACACCGACTAAACTTATTTAGTTGATTTTATTTTCAAGCTTTTTAATATTTAAAAATAGCAACGTACCAAGGTAAAATTAAATTTGCTTTTATTACTGGTGTATTATTGCTAATTCATCTTACAAAACGTTTTAACCTTGACAATAATGTCATTCTAAATTCCTTATCATATGATGTCAACATCGAGATTATCAGCACTTCAAGTCGATAATGTTCATGCGTGTTTGAATTTATATTTTTTCTTTTCTTTTTTAATATTATAATTTTAATTGTTTTTACATTTTTGTACAAATTGCTTTGGTAAATTGACACGCTTCCTGTCTTAGATTTTTTTTTCCTTTCTTGTATTATTTATTTATGTTCCCGCCATATGTAAATGTTTACAGGTGGTACATCGAACATACCAATTTCGAAAAAGTATTGTTATTTAAATAAGCAATAATTATTCATGCACTGTTTGCACGGCTGTTTTAGTCGATATAATAGTATTATCTAAGTTTGTTTTTTAAATAATAGTTTAAAATTAAAATCACCGCACTGCCAATTAAAACTTGGTACGTTTTGAAGTTTTTGATTATAATGCTAATACTGGTACATCGATAGTGTTTATCGTGATGCATTGGACGCCTCGTGTTTGTTGCTTTGTACTGTTATTCTCCGATCTTTCATCCTAGCATTTTCGGTTTTTTTGGATTTTGACTTTAATAAATCTTCTTTTCTAAAATGAAACTGGACAAAGCTGAAGAAATGGACTGTGAAATCACGTCTGTGCCCGGACCGTCGGTTTCCAAAACGGACTCGAAGACCAAATCAGCTCCCTGGTAAATTAAAAGCCGGTCAATTATTGAAATATTTAATTATTTAAGACATTTGTATCTTTTTTATTTAAACGATTAAACAGATATATTGATAAAAACCCAAGACCTTATACTAATTATTCTATCGTTGTGAATGCAGTACCAATTTTTCTGATCAGTCCAACTTTTCTTTAACATACACTCAGTAAAAAAGTCTCTGAATATCTTCAGGGAAATAGAAACAAATCTAACCTGCTGTTTAATTTTTTTTAAGTTGTACCAGTTTTAAGGTTCAAATTTGTTTGGATGATGGTTTTAAGTGATATAGATTTGGCTAGAATCATAGCTTTGTTGAAGAGGTAGAAATCAAGCATATGTGGCCAGAGTGCTTAACATTCCTAGGACAACTGTCCGAAGGGTTTTTCATTGATACCAAGATACTGGATAATACTCAAGAGGCCATGGATCTAATCGCCATCGTGTCATGTCTGATAGATGATGGTTTTATTGTTTCAAATGTACTCTGTAATCAACATTGTACCACTGTTGAGATCTATCAACGACTTCAACAAGTTAGAAATGTTAATGTCAGTTTACCCACTGCAAGGTGAAGAATCTCAGAAGTTGGATTACTTTCGAAAAGTCAGAACTTTTGAAAGATTATTAAGAAATCGTGAGATGCGGTCTGGTGGTCTCACGATTTCTGAATAATTATCGATTAACGGTCACTAATCACCACACACTTTTGAAAGACTTGGTTTCACAAGAAATCACATCAATTGGGTTAAAATCTTGCTTTCAGATAGTCAAGGTTTTGTTTGAGGTCTTCTGACAGCCGAGAGAGAGTTTGGAGAAGAACAGGAGGGCGATAAATCCCTGCAACATTTTCACTCAGAGAAGCTAAGGAGGTGGTGGTGTTATGGCTTGGGTATGCATTTCTATGGCAGGTCGCACAAACTTGATCCTCATTGATGGCTCTTATAGCAATGCAATACATTGAAGATGTGTTATTAGAAGTTGTTCCTTATATGCCACTAATTGGCGACTGTTTTATTTTTAAGCACAGCTAGGATCATTGTGACTACATGAAACAGGCTTTAGTTCTATACTTGGAGTGGCCAGGATGTAGTTGTGAGTTAAACCCTATCAAACGCCTTTGGTACAAGTTGTCAAAGAGGGTCGCCTAGTGATGCCAGAGAATTTACAGAAATTAAGAATAGCCCTATTGATGAGTATGAAAAGATTCTACAGCACTACATACAAAGCATCATAAAATCCATGTCTAATGCATTTGGTGATCAATGCAAAAAGAGGAAATACCGACCCCGTATGAACTGAATATTTTTTTCATTGTTTCCTTAGCAACATTTTTGGAAAAATTATTTTACTCAGTTTAATTTTTATTTAATTTTTTACTTAGCTATATCTTTTATTTTTCTTTAAAAATATCTGATAAACAATAAAAATAAAAAAATAGGGTAGCCACTTTTTTCCTCTTTGCAGTAATGGGCTAAATTGATTAATAATACTGCATGTCTTGCAACTATAAACTTTATGTGTGGTATTTAGTGACCGTTAATTAATGGTTATTTGGAGATTGGTTACCAGACTACATCTCACGATATCTAAATATTATAAACTTTATTCAACAACAAACACCAAATTACATGTAATAGTATTCAATATATAGAAATTAAACAAAACCTGTACAAGGTGATTCACTACTCATATAACATAGGTTGTCAGGTACTTCTTCACCTCAAATACAACGAAGAAGTTTGTGAAGTTTGTGTGAGAACTGATTCTCGACCTTTCACAGGTATTGTTTTTTTTACTCTACGGTTTTTGTCATAAATCTCCTCGTAGATCTTGAACTATTCATTTTTGGGTTTAAAAAAAAAAAAAGGAAAGAGTGTTAAATTTCTTTTAAGACAGCACCTCCAGGCATCTACCAACAACACCCCATTCTATGTATTAAAAACAAGTTTTAAAAATTGAAACAAAATAAATTTTGTCCCGAACAAAAAGTAGATTAACTCCACTATTTTGCACCATCATTGCTTTTTTCCCATTTAGCATAAAATTGCTGCTTAGTTCGATGTAATTAAAATTTTTATCTCAACTAAAAACTTTAATTAATTGTAATATATTAATTGGTCAAGCGGACCACGAAATTAGTTAGTGTAATTAAAAAAAGTGTATACCGCTAGAAAGCTTATAAAAACGAAGTTATGAAAATTACCAAGCTCTACTGTGAATTTTGCCCGTGGCTTGCAAATTGAGTTTTTTTACAAATTTTAAATTTAGTTGTTTTTGAAAGATTTTTTTTTTCTGTGAGTAGATTTATGACAAAAACCGTAATAATTGGATTGAGTCTGTGAAAGTGTTGAGAATTGTACCATGGTTCTTACGAATGTTTTTGTTGCACTTGAGGCGTAGAAGCACCTGACTTTGTTGTACGAGTAGTGAATCACCCTGTATATAGAGTTAAATATTTTAAAAAAAGTTTGAACACATAATTTATTTGTTTATTTACTGACATTTATTTAAATTTTATCTCAGTGAACTGTTTGTCCTGGTTTTCATTTGCCACATCCATTTGCCCCCCCTAGTTTTTTGCCACATCCGGCGAAGTATTAGTCCGCTCCTGTAAAATCTCTTCTTTTAGATGGTTTTTGATTTAAATTTAAATTTTTTTTTAGGTACTTTTCAAATAATCCCACAAGTGGTCAATAGGGTTTAAATCAGGTGATTGGGGTGGTGTCTTTAGCAGGCTTGGTACATTATATAGTAACCATTCTTGAGTTTTCCGAGTCGTGTTTAGAATCATCTTGCTAGAAATAGGAAGTTCTTTCTAAACCAAATTTAATAGTGATTTTTTTTTAAATTTTGTTTTAGAACATCAATATATGACATTGTATAAGATGTATTTGTCCATTAGCCCATTGATTATGTGTAAATTACCAACTCCTCGTCAGTAGTGTATTCTTTAATTTTAAGTGTTCCCCTGGCTTACATCTCACTTCTTTTTTCCATTGCATCCTGATACATTAAATTTTCTTTCATCAGTGAAAATAAAGTCTCCCAAAATGCATCAGGCTTTCTTAAATGCTCTTTAACAAACTGGAGGCGCTATTCCCTGTTTTTCTTGCTTATATGGGGCTTCTTTCTGGGATTGCCTCTCTCCGTTCATGCCTTTCTTTTAATAGTATTTTGTACTGGGGTGTAACTGAAGTATAATCCTGTTATAAAAAACCTACAATTTCGAGGGAACTTGTTGGTGGGTTGGTGGTCGTCACTCTTTGAGAATGACACACTTTTTGTGGATGTTTAATTTTGGCTGGCCTAAATGCCTTCTGTTTTCAGCATTATAGTATATTTCCTTTTTCACAAAATGATTTCTTTCTTTATACAATTTAACAATTACTTCCCAAGTGGACCACCATATTGAATACTAATTTCTTACTAACTAAGCAAAACATGATTGCTATTAAGATAATATTGCACAAAGTAAACAAAGAAGACAGTGATCTTTGGAAAAGAAAAGTGTTTGCCTAGGTGTTCTGAAACTTTTTTTGCCTCTCGATTGACATATTCAAAGTTATTATTAAAACTTATAACCTTCAAATGAAAATTTTTTAATGTTCAAAAGCCTTTAAATAATGTATTAAGATTTACAAAAATAATGTTTTTATATTTAATGACTTTGGAGAAATTTGTAGTTCATATTTGGGGCAAACCAGTAGATGTTTAGAGACTTTACTTACGCATTTATTTATTTTGAAATATTGATCGTTTATAGTTTAAGTTTCTATAGTTATTTACTGTTTTAATGGCTTTGAATTGGTCAATAGAAAAAGTCCAGAGAAAAGTTGTTTTTGTTAAAAATATTAGTATTTATTCACAGGATTGAGAAGTACCGCCCACAAAAGTTTGAAGATATTGTTGGAAATGAAGATTTAGTCTCGAGGCTTGGGGTGTTTGCAAAAAATGGAAACACTCCTAATATAATTATCGCTGTTAGTACTTAAATTCTTTATAAATTATTTTTATAAGATTATTTATTTTTTGTATTTTCTTATTTAGGGTCCTCCAGGGGTTGGTAAAACTACGACTATACTCTGCCTTGCTCGAGCTTTGTTGGGGCCGTCGATGAAAGAAGCTGTTCTAGAACTAAATGCCTCCAACGACCGTGGGATTGACACAGTCAGGAACAAAATTAAAATGTTTGCACAGCAAAAGGTCACATTGCCTCCTGGTCGCCATAAAATTGTTATTTTGGATGAAGCAGACAGGTACAAAAAAGATTACAAATCCTGTGACTGTTTATTTAACTATTTGACTTTAGCATGACTGACGGTGCTCAGCAGGCTCTGAGGAGGACGATGGAAATTTACAGCAGTACGACTAGATTCGCACTAGCATGCAATAATAGCGAGAAAATCATCGAACCAATTCAGTCACGTTGCGCCATGCTTAGATATGAAAAATTGAAAGATTCCCAAATCCTGGCGAAATTATTGGAAATATGTGACGCTGAATCTGTAAGTTTAAATTAGTCTTGGATATTTAAAATTACACTCTTATCCGTTGTCGTTTTAGATTTCGCATACAGACGATGGGCTAGAAGCAGTTGTTTTTACAGCCCAAGGTGATATGAGACAAGCCCTCAACAACTTGCAATCTACGCACAATGGTATTGTAACTAATTTTAACACTCTGATTTAATATGTTAAAAGTTATAATTGATTGTAGGATTTGGTCATGTGAATAGTGAAAATGTCTTTAAAGTGTGCGATGAACCACATCCGTTGCTGGTTAAACAAATGTTGATGCACTGCGTATCCAGCGAAATTACAAAAGCTTACGAAGTAATTTCAACTACAGTTTGAACTTTCATAAAATGCTAATTTGTCAAACTTTCAGATCCTTAACCATCTTTGGAAACTGGGATACGCTTCGGAAGACATAATAGGAAATATATTCCGGGTGACTAAAAATCTGAACATCGAGGAATGCTTAAAATTAGAATTTTTACAGGTAAATTGATAAGTTTAACAATATAATTTGACTTTTTTCTACAATGTGCTTTAACTTGCAGGAAATTGGTCTCACACATCTTAAAATTGTCAAGGGAGTCAGTTCTCTCCTCCAGTTGAGCGCTCTGTTAGCAAAACTGTGTAAACTAAGCAAACCAAAATAATCTTTGTAACTTATTTTCAATTTTGTACATAAATAGTTTTTAACTGATTCTAATTTTTGTTTTAAATGATTTTTTTTTTCTTCTTATCTTTACCATTCAACAAAAAAATTTATAAAGTGGTATCTTGAGATACGAGTTTAATTCATTCTGACAGAGCTCATAAGTCAAAATGCTTCTCTCAAATCAATTTTCTCTGTTGAAATTAATTAAAAATGAGATTAATTTAACTCACAAAACAACTTTTTTTAAATAATGTATTTATAATGAACAAATATTGTATACAAAAAAATAAAACCAAATACCTAAGAACATACGTTTGCCGTAAATAAAGAACGTAAATAAATAAACAGATTTGGCAGAGCCAATTAGCTTATACAAAGTATAAATTAAATTACTTAATTTCATTTTTATGTACCTTAATCATACATATGCAAAATAACTGTAGGCACATAAATAATAAAAGAAAAAACTTAAAATTAAACACAACGGAAATGCTTTTACAATGGGTAAACATGGTAACTGAACAAGCAAGTGTGTGGGATTCCGAGCAATGTGGTGGTTGTGGCATCCTCAGTAGGCTCGGATCTCAAATTTTGGCTTGCAACTTAAGACATTTTGACCTATGGATAGCTGGTATCTTAAAAACATGGGGCAATTTTATCTCAAGGAACCTCTTACTGTAATTTGATCCTTACCGATCATTGGTCTGCCTATTCAACCCGGGTTCCCTGTCGTTTTAGCATTTCACCTTCTTCAGTGTTGGGTCTGTATGATTTTTGTGAATCAAGTCTCTTTTGAATGGGAGCATTTTTTTTGTGTTTTTATTTTATTGTTTTTGCCTTTCATTTTTCTTTTTAATTGGCAGTGTTTTTAATGGTGTAAATGACGGGCATGAACTGTTGTGTTTATAAGGTTTTTAGTATTGTGTTGTGTTCTTTCCAATTTTCAAAACATAATTATAGATGTCCACATTAGGACAACATTCCTGATGCACTTCTACAATTAAACAACTGTTGGTTGATCACTACATCCTTAATGGTTAACACAATTTACAATCCATTATATTTAGTGGTCTGATTGATAAAATTACATCTTTCAATTAATTATTCTTTTTATCTAAGGTTTTTGGCTGAGATGAAAAATTAGTGTCATGAGCGGGTTTCAAACCCATGACCTTCGGCTAAATACGCTGCTGTTCTAACCACTTGAGCTATCATGACTAAGATCCTCTCAGACACCAACTTCCCATCTCAACCTACAACCTTTCGAATTTTTCCTCCTTTTTGGCATTTTTCAAATGTCATGTAATCAGGATTCGATTCTCGGCGACATGAAGTTGCCACAGGGAGCTGTTAGTGAAGTTAAACTTCATTTTACTTATTAAATTCATTATATTTAGTGGTCTGATTGATCAATTTACTTCTTTCAATTAATTAATTGTTTTTATGTAAACTTTTGGTTTGTTGTTTTTGAGGTGAAGTGTGGATCGAAGTCACGATAGCTTAAGTGGTTAGAGCAGCAACGTATTGAGCTGAAGGTCGTGGGTTCGAATCCTGTTCGTGACACTAACTTTTTCATTTCAACCAAAACTTTACACAAAAAAGATTAATTAATTAAAGTAATTTGGTCAATCAGACCACTAAATATAATGGATTTAATAAGTAAAAAGAAGTATAACTTCTCTAACAGCTCCCCGTGGCCACTTCATATGTCACCGAGAATCGAGTCCTGATTACACGACATTTGAAAAATGCAAAACAGGAGGGAAAATTCGAAAGGTTGTAGGTTGAGATGGGAAGTTGGTGTCCAAGTGGATCGAAGTCATCATAGCTCAAGTGGTTATATCAGCGGCGTATTTTGCTGAAGGTCGTGGGCTCTAATCCCTCTCATGGCACAACTTTTTCATTTCAACCAAAACTTTACACAAAAAAGATTTAATTAATTGAAAGAAACAATTTACACTACACTGACTTGTAGATCACCATACAATTTTTTAATAAGAAAACCACCATTTATTGTGTTAAATGTTGTAAAAAGTGTTTTGGGTAAAACAAAAGAATAGAAATATGTTATTAACTTATTTAATAGAATTTACAAAGTAGGAATAATCACAACAGAAATTATTTCCCTTCACTTTTTTTTTCTTTTTATGATACATATAATTTTTTTTGTAATGAAAATTTTGAGTTTGTTATTTTACATCTCAATATTTTAGAATTTAAGCAGCTGGCTATAAAAGTGCTCTTTATTTAATAAAAGAAGCAGCACATTGTGTGTATGGTTCTCTGAAGATACTCAATATGAGCCTCCAAGCATTTTCTAATAATTTTCCGTATGAACATTACCATTTACCATAATAAAAATATTTCAGTATAAAATAAATATGTAACCTAAACGATAAATAAGGCAGGCTAATATGCTATCACCCTCTATTGACTAGTTCACAAGCTAAGCCTCAGAATATGGCGCATTTCTGATTTTAATCAAACTGAAAGGAAGACAAACAAAATGCAAATAAAACGTAACAATCGTAGTACACAACAAAAACTAATACAAAAGAAATAAATGTTTTATAAACATAATATTAACAAATGTATAATTGATTTTCCGATTTTTGTGAACTCAAGGGTAGTTGAACGGATAGCTTAGCAACTTGCCTTTATTTCTGATGACGGTGACAGATTAGATTAAAAGTTCAACTCTTACGAGATTGCCTTTCGTAAATCTAGATAATTAACGAAGAGTGTAGAAAAATGACAACAGAGATATTTCTCATGAGGCTGGATTAGCCAATCCCCCGAGTAGGTAATGCAGTCTTGGAATAGTATGTCGATCAGATGAGCAAGGTGTCATCCAACTCCTCGTACTTCCCCTCTGGTTGAACTGCAACCTTTCTCAACACTTTGGTTATCACATCACTCAATGCTTCGCTTGCACCAGCATCGAGAAGCTGAATTGTTGCCTTAAAGTAAAAATGTTTGTTAATAACATTTGAGATATAAAATAGTAAATTGATCATCTGATCATCCTGGTCTTACTGCAATGCTAAGAGAAAATCAATGAAAATAGACTATGATCAGAGATGATCAAGTTACTATAACCATCAGGACTTTAATATTGTTACCTGCAGCTTATCGTCTCCCTGTCTTAGCCTAAGTACATTGACCAAAGAGAATTCTGAATTGGCCTTGACATAGCTGTTTTTCTCTTTGGTCCCATTCACCAACATTGGTATGGCAGTTTTGAGAAATTCAGTCGATGTGATTTCACGAGAGTGGGCTAAGAATGAGCATACTTTTGCTACCAATTGTTTCACTTCATTGCTGCTATGGTTCATCGCCTGAAATTTGAAAACGCTTGTTTTTGTTTAAGTTTAAAGATTTTTAATTTGTAAAACATACCCTGACAAACTGGGATAACAAGGGTTGGGGAAGAGGATCCCCTTTGTTCATTAGGTGATCAAAAAGATAACCGCAACCTCTGACACCATTCATTACAATTTGTACCTAAAAAATATTACAATTTAACCACTTTCTTTTATCGATTTATTTGTTAAATGTATACCCTATCCGCTGCTAAAAAGCTTAAAAGAACTTTATGAACTTTTTGCTCGTAAGCAGGTACAATAATCCTATTTGGCGCTTCCTTCATCGCCACGAACAAAGTAGCACTTCTTCCGTGTCTCAAAGTCCAATCAATCGATACATCATCAACTGTAACAATTAATCATTATATAAAATTAAACAGAAAGGGGTGAAATGACTTCGCACCTAAAAGGGTGTCGCTCATCGTCGATGGTAACATGTCATCCGGAAGCCACCTAATGAAGGCACCAACACAACCAGCAGCACCGGATCGTGTGGTGTCCTCAGAATGGGAAAGCATCGACAGAAGAGAGACATAAATAGTTTTGAGTACGGATTCTGACATTTTGTCTCCAGCAGCACTCACTACCCCTCGTAAAGCCTGCATCATCGTTTCTCTAAAAGCATTTATTAATTTTATTTGTGGAAATTTTTTTCTTTTTCAAAATGTTTCTCACCTCACAGCAGGCTCTTCAGCATTCTTGACAGAATTGTGAAGTTCGATGAAAAGTGGATCTGGCCTTGTGTGTATCGTAATGAGGTAGCTAAGCGCTGTTGCTGCTTTGAGCCTTACGAGCCTGTTGCTATCGTTTAGTGCTTTCAAAAATGTTGTTTGCAGTTGAGGTAAGAATTGTTTCAACATCATGCCAACCTTTAAAAAACATTTATGTCATTTACAATAAAAAACATATATGACATTGTACCTTTCCAAGAAGGATGGCAAGTGTATGAAGTACTGCAGCTTTAACTGTTGGTGGAAATCTATCTCCAAGGATACGGATTAAAGGTCCAGTTATGTTTATCACTGACGGCTGAAGCGACTGGGCAGTAGTTAGAGAAATGACTTCTCCCAGACCTTGAGCTGCTGCCTCTTTGATTTCTGGAGAGCCATTAAGAATAGCTTCACGGAAAAGAGGAAGGACTGGGGTAATTCCCTAAAAATGCATATAGTTAATAACAAAATAAATAAAATAATTTTAATTGAAAGAAATTACTTTAGGAAGACATAAACCAGGTAAAAGGGTTTCGCCGTTTTTGAGATCGCTGACTGCAAATTTTACCGCTGTCCTGATATCAGAAACATATTGAATTTGTTGCGAAGCATCTAGAGACTATAACAAAACAATACTCATTTGTTTGCCAAATTTGAAAAAGTATTTTGTTAAAATTCTATTCAATTTACTTTTGTAACAGCTGAAAGTGCTTCCCAGGACATTTGAAGAACTGTGGCATCATTGTCAGTAAATGAGATGATAAGTCCCCTGAGTAATTGTGGAACGTGCTGACTATAGTCAGCTCTTGTGTGGGTACAAAAAGCACAAATGAGAGTTGCTGATGCTCTTCTCGTTTCTACTTTCTCGCTTCGAATCGCTTCCAATAACTGCGTTATTATTGCACAGATACCAGCCTCATCAAGTACTGAAAGTACGACAGTCTGGCAAAATTCTAATTCCTTAAAAACCAAAAACAATAAAATTTTATTTGAACTGTTGGAAAAAAGGTTGAAAGAACTATAGACAACCTGAGTAGAACAGTCAGAAGCTGCCAGAGCAGTCAGTAAAGCCGGTAGAATTTTGTTAAGATATTTTGTAAGGGCTTCCCCTGCGACTGAAGCGAGGATGGAAAGCGCTTTTGTGTTTATTGGTGGAGCTGTCAACTGTGGCACCAAGTAAGGCAGTACGACTCTCGATTTTATAGCCATCACCTGTCGCAATCCGTCTAGTGTCCATTCAGCAACCGAAGGGTCTGGGTTATTCTGGAAAACAACTATAAATGTCTTATCTTGTGAATTTCATACGAGTCCAACTTACAAGTTGCTGCAGCATTGGTGGCAAAATGTCATCAAGGGCCCGGACTCCTACGGTTGAATGCAAACTGTCAAAGGTTTTCGCTGCAGCTTGTCGCACTTCAGGCAAAGGATCGCACAACGCTTTTCTAAAGTAAAATCATCATTTTATAAACATTTTACGTGTGTTAGTCTTGTTTAGAAACATTATAAATATGAATAGGTGAAGATGAAATAACCAAAGTTCTATGTTTGTGTTAAAAAGCTGAATTAAAATAGCTTGATTCATGCTATTTGGAGTACAAACAGTTCATTTTATTTTTATAAGTGTTTGTCTGCTTGAAATAGTTTGGCATAAATAATTGAAATTTAAGAATGTATTTCTTAATAATAACTTGCAATACATACCTCACAGTAGGTACGAGACTGTTGACGAAAGTAAGAATCATATCTCGTGAAGTAGATGCCATCATTTCAGATAAACCAATACAGACACCTTGTCTTTGATCTGCCCTTTCCGATTCAAGCCCTTTTTCTAAAATCGGAATAATTTCTGGCAGAACTCTTTCCCCTAATTTCCTTACCAAATCTCCAAGTGTTTTCGCAGCAACCTAAACAAACAAGGAAAAACTCATTTAGTTTATAATTATTAGTTAATAATTTAAATAAATATTAACCTGTCTTTTATCGTGGCTTGTCGAAGCTAAACAGCCAAGGAGCAGGTTGAAAAGTGTGGGAAGGATTTCTCTCAGTGTTCTAGGCGTATTTGTCACGACGACTTTCCAAACGTGCAGGGCGGCTTGGCGAACCATAAGAGCAACATCGGACCTCCCCATGTACAAACCGGCAAGGACACGATTTCGCCTTTCAGCACCCAAAGCCCCGATAATAGCCTACAAAAATATTACTTGTACAATCAATAATATATCTTTTTTTTTAATTATTACCTTATGAGATTGTTCAGTGCCAAAATTGTCATCCTCATTGGCAGTTTCAGTACTCATTTTACCTGAAACTCCTGATATCCTGTACAGCAGATCACCAAGGAGCTGGACAGAGCTAGAAATTTATTTTGATTTAAAGAACAAATAAAAAACATAATATATATGTCACATTTCAATTGATTTCAAAGTGACAATGTTATGATTTAGATTTCGTGATTAGGCCTAGAGAAAAAAATAAAAGAGAGTAGGGAAGAGACAGTCGAGTCGGAGAGGTGAACAAGATTCCGTGTAGATGAGAGACAAGAGAGGTGTGCGATCCTCAAAAGTGTTGTATTCCCTAAAATAGTGCTTTGGTCCACTGCGAATTGACTGGAAATAGTGAGTACATATCCACCCTTGTTCTAAATGGTCTGGCAAACGCTTTGTAGGAAATTACTGTTTATTTAAATTTATAAAAAATTTTAATTGTTTAAAATTTAAAAGGAAATTTATTATTTTCTTGTGTGTTTAATAAATTGTTTTTTAAACTTTAATTAAATTTTATTTTAAAAAGGCACCTGATCGGCTGTATTCAGGTTCGATCAAGACCTCTGGGGCTCTGTTTCTCATAAAAAGGATTCAGAGTTGGACCCGTCTTGTTGAATCGAGAACAGGTTGTGACATATATAGGAGGGATTTTGAGAGATTTTCGCTATGGGTTATGTGAACCTTCTGGGTGTCGGTGTTTTTGAAAGAAGCCCACTTGTAAGTATGTATTTAGCTTATAGAGCTGAGTGCCATGTCAAAACCTAAACCGTGCCCACCAACGCACCTTCATCTTTAATCATCCCCATAATCATTTTTAGAATTCATTTACCTATATCGAATTCTCCAGTTTTCATCAAAAAGCCCCTTTTCAAGTTCTGGCAGGAGAAGAGTTATAGCAGAATCTGCGTAAAGGTTTACAATACGCTGGCCGGCCTTTAAAGCCGTATCCCTTACATATTCATTCTCATCTGCTAACGCTTTCAAGATTGGAATTATAATTTCACCAATGTAAGGCGTAAATTCATTGGTAAAGACGACTGGCATGTATATGAACATCATGATGTAGCCATCTTTGACATGAGGGGCGATGTCGGCTCGAACAGCAGTACTGATAATTTCTGAAGAGGAAATATATATTATAATGTTATAATCAGATTATGATAGGATGTTGTGCGTACCAGGCATAAGTTTGTGAAGTTTTTCTACTCCTAAACCTCCTACGACTTCACTCAGCCCTTGTGCTGCACCAGATCTGTCTACAGAACTTGATTCCGATGTCAGAGTCTTCATGAGCCATGGTAGAAGATCTTCGAAACTGGCTTCACCCATACCCCTGACCATAGCCCCAAGAGCTCTTGCTGATACACTTCGTACCTGAAAATTATGGTAAATTAATGTTCAATTGGTGTAATTAATGTTTTATTTTCGAAGTTGTTAATATTGTTTACCTCTGGTACAGGATCAAGAAGGGATGTTTTAAGCCCGGGTATTATTGTTGGTAGGTAAGGTGTTAAATCTTTCTGATCTGTAAGTGAATACATATTTCCGATAATCTGAGCTGCCATCTTTCTTGTTTCAGTCGAACGGTCCATAAAAGCCCTTTGGACTACTGGCATAATCAAAGCTAGTGAAGGTGCATCGATGAAGTGGACGAACTGAGTGTCCAACAACGTCTGAAGACACATGGCCGTTTTGTTAGATGGGTCTTGCAATGCCTCAAGAAGAATTGGGACAATAGCTTGAAAAGAAAACAAAAATTATAAATTAAAGAACAATAAAAAAAAATAAAAAAATGAATAAATAAATTACCTTGAATTTCAGGATTACGTATTACGCTTCCAATTTGTTTAAGAGCTTCGGTACCAGCATTTTGTACTTTTACATGGGAGTCGCTCAGAACTTCAATTAGTTTGGGTACAATACTCGGAAGGCATGAAGATAACTGTTTTGGGGCACAGAATGCCATGGCACCCAATAATTCTACAGACCCTATAAGAAATATATAAATTTATAAGAAAACGATCAAAATTAAATTTAAATTTTATTAAATTCACTAGTATTCGTGGTCCACTTGACCAATTAAATTTTATACATTCCACCTGTTTTCGTCCTCCAAGAATCTTTTTCAAGCGCTGCGAGAAGAGATGGAAGCACGAGCTTAACACCGTGGGCTGATAGTTTGCTCATTACAACTTTGGCGCAATCATCGGTGGCATCGCGAACGTACTGACTGCTGTCTCCAAAACACAGCAGGAGATGGGGTAGGACATGAACAATATAGGGCTCAAAAAGCCTCCCGAGCACACTACAGAGCATCTCGAAGGCAAATAAGGCTCCTTTAAAATATAATATTAAATGTGAAATCATGAAACTTTAGAAAATGTAAAATTTACCCTCTCTGTGTCTGTAATTTTTCTTGTCCTGGATCGCAGTTGTCAAAGTCGTCATTATATCGAGTTGTTTTAAGACTAGAATACCCATCCCTTTAACTATCCCTGCCAGTCCATAAGCTGCGCCTTTCCTTTGCCCATAGGATTCAGACTTCAAAAGCTGATCTAAAAGTCTCTGAACGAGCCCTGGAGCTTCTTCTTTTATGCTGGGCACAAGTGCTGGCAAGCAGTTCGCAACAGCTTCTTGCACCTAGTTAAAAAAATTCTATTTATGACATATCAGTTATAAAATTAAAATAGCATACCTGCTGGGAAGGTGTAGAAAGTGCGTCTATAAGTTTTGCCACAATAGGTTTAATTTTTTTATCATCTTTATCCAGATGACGAGCAAGGCTTCCCATTAAGATGACAACTGACTGTCTCACAGCATCATAACTACTACAATCTGGGCCTTTATCAAGAACCGGTTCCAAAATTGGCAACAGAATGTTAACAGTATCCTAAATCAAATTAATCATTATTGAAAGTTGATTTTTTTCGGAAAATAGAATATTTTTTTAAATTATACAAATTATAATATATATTAATATATCTATCCTCTTCCAAAAAAGTTTTTAAATTGGGGTTATTCCAAGAAGCTCGTGGCTTTTGATTTTTTTTTGTTTATAAAACATTAGTTTGTTTCAAAAACATATTTCTGTTTTCTTCTACGTTTTGGGCTATTTCTTGCTCATCATCAGGAACTCCAGCAGTCTTAATTACTCTCCTAGAGTAGTAAATTGAGTAGATGAGTATTAAAAAACCTTCTTGTAATAACCCTAATTTACGGACGATTTTTAGGAGGAACAAGACGAAATTAGAATAATAAAATTCACCTTTCCATGCAGGTCAACAGCAGCTAGAGCAGCAGCAAGCATGTTATTGCGAACAGTGGCATGCCTATCGCCAAGGCCTTTTCCCACGTAGAATTTTGCCAATTCAGAAATATTATCTGTTGAAAGTAGTGGTGCTAATTTAGCTAGACCTAGTGCCACACCACTTCTTGGCTCCCAGGTATCAATAGGCTGATCAACAACTCTACCAAGGCTATCAAGTCTTGCAGGTATCATCTAAATGCGATTAAAAATTACCTTAGAATCACATAACCATTTTGTGAATATGATAGATCAACTTAACTTACAACATTCTTTTCATTGTATATATTTAACAAGAGAACTATGACTGCATCGATTTCAGATTTGTGTGAGTCTTGGAGGATTGCGTGCAACGCTTCAGCTGCTGCTTGTTGTATATCCACAACCGGATGGACAATATCTTGTAATAGTCCTTCGCTTAACCCTTGTAAGTTGGATTTCAGTTTTGCCGCTTCCCACACTTGTTGAGCGATAGTTCTAAGAATCGAGACACATTATTGCTTATTATTTATACACAAGAGAATAATCAGTACCTGTTTTCCACAACGATATCAAACTGAGCTGCCCATAATCTTTTCGTTATGTTGAAAATCTGGTCGGCATTGTTTTTAGGTTTTGGAAATACTGGGATGAGAACGAGCAATGCCTTAAAACAATATATACTCTCATAAATATAATATAAATACGTTTTTAACGATAAATTATGAATAATTCTCACCCTTAGAGCAGCATCTCTAACATGGTGGGAAGAGTGTTGTAGAGCCATTAGTAGACATTCTATTTCGTCAATTGACGCAACAGCACATCCTTCAGCACCACATGAAGCATTTGCAAGCTCCAATAAACAAGCACTGGCCTGCTGTTGTATCCTTCCTGTTGTTGAACCTGGCCGAACGTTAAAATCATCATAATAATGATTCACAAACAGAAATGTTAACTGACTTACTTATCATTTCGATGCAAAGCATCATTATCTGCTTTCTAGGGAGTAGGGTTGGGCTGTGAAGATTTGGCTCGGTTCTGTAAGTCCTCAATTTACACTGAGTGCTTAGGATGTGGATGCATGTGGTTAAAAGAGGGTCAGCGGATGAAACGCAATTCACAGTACATTGGATCATCGGAAGTAAGAAAGTTAGAGCTGGCGCTGTCACTTCTTGACTAGCCTTGTCGATCTCATTTATCGTCCATTTCATCGCTTTACCTTAAAAAATTATTAAAATTACAAAACGACATATTTTATGATTTGACATAATATACCTAAATCCTCGTCCTCCCATGATGGATCGAGTTGGCATTTAGGCTTGAGTAATCTTAGCGCAGTGTGTGTGATTTTGTCTATTGAAACGACAGGAATATTAACTCCGAGGAAAGCGGACTTTCTCAAATAGATGTACAAGTCCGACAGGTGTTTGGCACAAAGAGGAGAATTCAAACCTCTAATAATTAAAGGGATTAAAACCGGAAACTCTAGAGAGAGCTCCATAGGGGCTCCTTGGCACGCAGCTAGTAGTATGTTGTAAGCTTTAACTAGCTTGTCTTCAGCCTAAATTAAATAAATAAATTTTAAATAAATTCAATTTAAAATAATGCAAAAAATATTTTATATTTACCAATCTGAGTCTATTTCGGATAAAGGCTTCTTTTTCCAATTGGATCTTGACCATTTCTTTTTGTTTTGGAGTCAATTCGGGTTCAGTAAGCTAAAATAATTTCACTGCTTTATATTTGTAAGCAAAAGTTAATTTTATAGTTTGTTATCAACATCAGCATTAATTAACAAATAAATAAATAAATATTTCAAATTACCTTTCCTTCTTTCCGTTTTTTATCTTCCAGTTCTTTCCTTAAAGCAATTTCTTCCTGCTGTTCTTTATAAGAATAAACTTTACTTTCCCTCTTCATGTTTTTAATATTCAAAGATGAATCGTTGTCTTTGCTGTTGAAAATTTATAGAAACTTAAGATAATAGAAATTTTTCGGGTCATAAAATAAGACTGTAGTGTTTTTTATGGTAAATTTAATGAACATTTCAGGTATTTTTAAACAAATTTAAACAATAGATGAACTACTTTGTTTTACTACTTGTTACCGTCTGTGCCTTTTTGTTTATGCCGCTCCTAAGCCATTTACTACTTGTTACCATCTTATGTGTAATTTTGTAATTCCCTACTCCAAAAATTTCTCAGGTTTCTGAGTGATGAACTCCTCATGTGATTTCTGAAGTCCTCGAGTGAAGTAAAGTTTTTACCTTTACTTTTACCATTAATAGAGGTTTTCAGAGTCTTGAATGTGTTAAAATTTGAAGGAGCAATACGAGGCGAATACGGTGGATGGAGTAGCATATCTCAGCCAAACTCTAACAATCTGTTGTGTGCCCACAAAAATTCGCTGGGCCTAATGTCACCCTAGTGGAAAAGAATTCTCTTGCGATTACCCAATGCTGGTTATTTTTAGTCAATTGCTGACTTCACTCAAATTTTGTACAGTAGAATTAACAGCTTAGTTGGATGGAAGAAACTCATAAAAAAGCACCTCCTTTAAACCCCACAAAATGGCCAACATGACCTAGGATGTGATCCGGATTTTTGAATTTTTAATGGTAAGTAGCTACATTTTCCCAGGATTTTTCCTCTCTGAACATTGTTGTAAAGGACACATTTTTCATCCCCAGTTATCAATTGTTTTTAAAAGCGGTTGTTAACATTGTGTTTTAGGAAGGAATTGGAGATGGCGATGTGGTCCAATATAGCGTAAGTAGCGTAAGTCAACGTATTAACTCCGACAAACATATCCAGCTGCTCTCAGATGTATTGAAATACTTGTATTGATATATGTTAAGTTCTCTGTGATGTCTCGTGTTTTTGAGTGTAGGTTATTTGTTGCAAAATCCATTATATTTTATAGTCCGATTGACCAAATAACTTCTTTCAATTAATCTTTATGTAAAGTATTGGTTGAAATGAAAAATTTAGTGTCATGAGCAGAATTAGAACAAAAAAAGGAGGGAAAATTCCCAAGGTTGAGATGGGGAGTTGATGTCCAAGTGGATCGAAGTCACGATAGCTCAAGTGGTAGAGCAGTGGCGTATTCAGCCGAAGGTCGTGGGTTCGAATCCCATTTGTGACACTAACTTTTTCATTTAAACCAACGCCTTACATAAAAAGATTAAATAATTGAAATTTGTTACAAAAATTGAATTAGTCATCAACAATGATTTAAGGACGACCTGAGTGCTTTGAATCCTCCAACTCAAAATTTTCAGTTCTGAACCAAGCAAACCACCAATGATCTTTTGGAGAATCATATCCATACAGATCATAAATTTTCATAGCAGTCTGAGCTGCACATTTACCTTTGTGGTAATAAAAATAAAATGACAAAAATGCACATTTTCCCTCCAAATTAGTAAAACACCTTGAAAAATAAGAGATCTCAAATGAAACTGATAAATAAAAACACCTTAACTTATCCTTTTTCAGAGGGTGTAACCAAACATAAACATTGCCTCAAAACACTAGAAGGAATCCAATTATTTAAAAACACTACGAACCCAATAGTACAAATCAAGTCAAAGAAAATTGTTATAATTACTTGGAAATGACTGATTTATCGTAAAGCTCGTTCGGTGGACACAAGAAAATTTCGTATTCGCGGTCTGATACGTTCAACAAATCTTGATCCGACAGGACATCCTTGATCTTGACCAAAAGAGGAGGAAGAATGACTTTGTGGTTTAATTTAGTCACTGTCCTTAATGCATTCACATAACTCTAGAATGGTAAATGAGAGATTATTATTTTTACGTCAAAAAGAACATCACAATTAAACTAGACAAAAATTACTGGATGCGGTGTGAAGTTTTCAATTAAAAGTTTAGTTAACTGATTCACGTGCTGCTTTATAAATTTTTCGGAATCTAATTTAAAATATTTTAACATTTTAATCCATAGACTACTCTGTGCAGTTACTGTAAAATAAAAACAAAAATGCATATTTAACAAAAGAAATATTCAGAATAAACCACATTTATGGCATATTAGAATAGGAAATAAATACCAATTATGGGATGATGACAGGCAACTAATAAGTGATAGGCCAGCAAATTTTTGTCATCTTTGGACAGATTTGTTCCCGAGCATAAAATAGTAATCGCTTCTATTAAATGCTTCGGTTTCACTTCTTCATTGTTGGATTCTTCAGTTTCCTTATTCTTTTCACTCTTTTGTCTTCCAGTATTCTATCAAAACAAAAAAAGAACAATTGTAATAATTAAAGAATTGATTTAATAAACATGGTATTGTATTCACAGCAAATTTATTCGAAATGAGTAAGCTGGTGAATTCTTCAAAAAGCGCGATGGCTATTTGAGTCCCATGGAGAGACGAAAACATCCTTTGTAGCATCGGCTTGCATTTCACCTTCACAGCTCGTGTAGTCAGGCAAATAACAAGTGCCCTATAAAGTGGCACCGGACTTCCGATGACCTCAGACATATGCTCCATGAGTATTTTTTCACACAACTTGACAACATGGCAAAGTGCTATAGGGCAAAAAAATACATTATAAATTATATTTCTTTTGTAGGGTTTTTTTTAAATTTAATTTTACCGTCAGTTGAAGCCTGGGAAAGGAACTTTTCAGATAAAAATATCTGTTTTTCCATATCAAGGATAATGCTGTATAATGAGCCAAGTTTTGATTCTAGAGAATCATAAGATGACAGTTTTAATAATAGACATGCAGCACTCAAACCTTCAGTCACAACAAGTGCCTAAAAATTTATATTTTTTTAACTATTGCTCCATCCAAAATCTAATATTATCTCTGGAAAAAATGACATTACCTGAGTTGGTTGAGTAGCAGCTTTCTCGACACTTTTAAGGAGTAAAGGAATGTACTTAGACGTTTGAGATGCAGTCGCAGAACGACAGCAAACGGACATGGTCTCAATGTACGATATTCTCACAAGGAGTGTAGAACTCTTTAGACCAATTCCTTTTTCAAGCCAGGCGATAACATTATCTGGTACGCTTGTTGTAAACTTGGCGCACCATAAAGACATCATTTCTAAGCAATGAACTAAAGTTTTCTCATGAACTGAAAAACAAATATTAAATATATTTAACAGCTTAGACGAGAAACACTAATGTAGACCATGTAATCAATTATTTAACAAAACTGTAATTTAACGTTACCTTCAACTTCCAAAATTTTGACAAACTGCTCGGCCACATTTTGGGCCAATGTTTTAACGCTGCCTCCAGTCACTGCATTGAAACTGAGATTACCTATTCCCTAAAATTTAAATTGCAATAAATCTAGATATTCAGCATGATGGGTGGTGCTGATAAATACTCCTTTCTTTTACATGAACTTCTTAAAAAAATAACAACTAGACCAAAAGTTAATGAAAAAGAAAGGAATAAATATGAGTGTTAAATACCTGAAGAATTGTAAGCTTGTGCGATGCGACAGTAATCTTCCCTTGGGACCTGCTGAAATCTTGAAAAAGATGTGTCGCAAGTGCACTAATTGAGTCTGGATCGCTGCACTGAGTGGCGAGGGCTTTTAGTCCTTCAGACGCTTGATGTCTCGTCTCATCGTCATTACTGCACAAATTGTCTGAAAATAAATTAATTTTTTAAAAAACATATTAACAATCATAGTTAATCTGGCAAAGCCGTACTTGCGATGGTTTTTCCCAAATCAACCGCATACTTGCTAAGATCAATCGATACGTTGGCAAGCAGTTTATCAAGAACGTGGAGAGTCAATTCAGGATTTCTGAGCAAAGCCTTTTGCAGAGATGGAAGTAACACTTCGGAAAATTCGCTGTGATTGACAAGAACCAGAAGAGGCTTGCAAGATGTGACGACATGAGAAGGAATTCTAGTTTTACTTCCGATTACCGTTTTCACCAGTAATTCAACTAATCTTGCCTGATAAAATAAATAGAATTTCAAGTTAGTTTATATAATTGTTAAAATATATTAAAAAATGACCTTTAAGGAATTTATGGTCTCAGTGTGCTTTTCTTTGTGTAAATAATTCACAAAAATTGAGCCAAATACGACTGAAGATGGAGATTCAGGAAGTGCAAGAACTCCTTTCTCGTAAAGTATTATCATTTTATCATCTGACTTCCATATTGATGATAATATATGCTGAGCCTTATATGATTTTCTAATAAGGACAAAAAAATTATATAGAATCAAAAACAAATATTTTTTTTTAAAAATACTTCTGATTATTAGCAGCAAGTATAGATGTTAAAAGTATTGCTTGGGCATTGATGATATTTTTTATTTCTGATTTTAATTCTTCTTTAACTTTGTTTAAAGTATTCGTCAAAAGTAGAGCACTCCAAGTCAATGCGTACAGATTCGACTGGGCCGTACTTTTCCTTGAAACAAGACATAAAAAAATATTTAAAAAAAATTAGTATTTCAAACATAACATTTCTTTAAAATATTTACGTTGGGACAATAGATGCACTGCCATTGGCCACTTCTGTTATTATCGGAGACAAGTGCTTCAAAGTCCATTCGGGGTGAATTAGAGAGAGAGAACCGACAATAGACGTAAGATAACTTTGGGACATGGAGTCCCTGTATCTCGATAGTGCCATTTGTACCACCTTGCATAATCCACGAACCACATTTTCATTGAACCCTAAAAATAAAGAAATATATGTTCTTTAAAATGTGTAATTTCCATTTAATTTGGTTAATACTCCATGCTACAGGAGGCAAGGCTGATTAAGGTCCGGGACAAAATGATAGGCCACCCTAATATTTTGTCTATATACTACAATTGTGTTTTCATTACTTTTTTAAAACATAAATGACTACACAATTAATACATTTTTTAAAATTTTGAAATGAAAAATTGTGCATAATTAATTGAGTATATATACAATTAAGAATAATTTGATAAAAAATAATAAAAGTTGGTATAAATGACTTTTTCAGCTAAATTTTAAGTTAATCTTGTTACTTAATTGCAAGTGAAATTTTAATCCCTGGAAATACTTGTCTTTGAGGTGGGACAAAAATATAGCACACCTGTTGTTTCTAAACAAAAATAATAACTAAATCCAATTGTGTACATTATGAAACTCAGCTTGTTGCTACTATCAATGTCAACTTATATGTGTATGTAATAGGTCATGTTAGTTGTTTGACTTTTTATGAACATGCAATTATTGATTTATAATTTTTATGTAAAGTGTGGTAGATGATAAATTACTGTCACAAGCGAGACTCGAAGGTAGCCAATGGTCGTGGGTTCAAGTTCTGCTTGTGACACTAATTTTTCATCCAACCACACTTTACATAAAAATTATAGATCAATTTAAATCATTACTTTAGTTAAATAGGACCAAATAAAAAACATGGATTAGCTGTCAATGTTTAAGTTATAATTCAGCTTATGTTAGCTTATTATGCTTTATTCATGCCTCAAAACATTGATATAAGATTCATATCATTTTTGAATCTTCCATAAATGTTAAAAAGGAAATTCTATATATAATTGCTTCATACTTGAAAGTACTGATTTTTATGGCTGAAAATGATGTTTATTGTCACTCCTAAATCAAACATCAATGCTTAAGTTAAAAATGTAGCATACATTTGCTCAAAACAAAAATATTTGGTATCCCATGCCAAAAGAATACAGATAAATTTCTTGTCCCTGCAAAATCGACTGTCAATGCTTAAAGTTGCAAATTCACCATATTTTTACTCAATACTTAAAAGTACTTTCTTTTTTTCCCCTTGAAGCATTTGAATCTGTTTGTCTCTTCCGGATCGGTTGTCAATGTTTAAGTTGGGAATTGAGCATATGTTTGATGAACATTTGGGTTTTAGGTGGAAGTACCTGTATTTTCTCATATTTTGACAAATTTGTTTGTCTTGGCACAAATATAAAAAATGAGAAATGCGTTTTTACAATAATGGGGTACACATCCCATGCTGCACTACATTGATCAACAACCTACATTACTGAAGTAACCACCTGCAGACCAAGTCATCCAGTAAGTGTCACCGTCGGTTCAGGAATGATCTCACCATCCACTCTGCAGCAAATCAGCTTTGGGATATTCTGTATATTGAGAACTGCCCGTTGACTTCAGACTTGAAGGACAAAGGTAGCCGATGTATTCAAGCCCCGTTGGTGGCATTAATTTTTCATCCAACCACATTTTACATAAAAATTATAAATCAATTGATAGTAATTTGATCAAGATAGTAATTTGAACTAAAATTTATTGCCTTGAATAAGACGACATACTTTCAAGCATAAAGCATAAATACGCTGAATTTCCTTTTTTAAAACATTTATAGATTCAAGAGTGACAGGAAACTTATTATGTTTTCAGATATGAAGCAAGGTGATTTCAACTATTAAGCAAACATATGCTGAATTTCCCACTTAAACATTGATAGTAACTTTGAGAATTACGAGAAACTTATCTCAATCTTTTCAGACATGAATAAAACCAGTACTTTCAAGTATTGTGTTCTAAATTTAATCTATAATTATTTATTTTTTATTTATTTATACATATTAAATTTCCTTTTGTAAATAGTGACATGAATCTTTTATCAATGTTTCATAGCATGAATAAGGATGGTAACAAATAAAAGTATGGTACATTAACATTTACAATTGATTCAAGAGTTACAAGGCACCCATTTAAATATTTCTAGGTATACATAAAGCCAGGTACTTCCATATATTAAGGAAACACATTTTGAATTTTCATTGTAAACATTGACGCTTGATTTTTGAGTGACAGGAAACTTATTTCAATGTTTCCAGGCATTAATAAGACCAGTACTTTTAAGTATTGGGCTCTATTTTTTTTTTTTTTTTTTTTTTTTGTCAACAGCGATATGAATCTGTTATTAATGTGTTTGTGATCTGGTTTCTGGTCAGGTAGGTCAGAAGTAGACTATGATCACTTGCCAAGCTTTCGGCCTTTATAAGACCATCATCAGGGCAGCATCCTATTTCTCATATTAACATTACAGAATGATGATGAGGTTGGTTAAGTTGAAATTAAGACAAGTTTTTTCAAGGATAGTGGTCTTCCCAAAATACAGGTCCAGTCGATAACGAAAACGTTTCGTCATTCTGTAATGTTAAAGTGAGAAATAGGATGATGCCCTGATGATGGTCTTATAAAGGCCGAAAGCATGGCAAGTGATCACAGAGTTTACTTCTTTCTCTACCTGACCAGAAACCAGATCCTAAACACATTAATCATCATGGTCGATTTCTTCTTCATCTGTTACTAATGTTTCATAGCATGAATAAGGCTGGTATTAAATAAAAGTATGCTGTATTTCCATTTACAATCTATTAAAGAGTTACCAGGTACCCATTTAAATATTTCTAGGCATGCATAAAGCCAGGTACTTCCATGTATTAAGGAAACATGTTTTAATATTCATTGTAAACATTGACGCTTGATTTTCAAGTGACAAGAACATATTTCAATGTTTTCATATGCCAATGCATGAATAAGACCAAGTACTTTCAAATATTGTAGAAAAATATAGCGAGTTTCCTTTTTTTAAACATTTACCATAGATTCAAGGGTAATGTGAATCTGGCATTAAGTATTATTATTTAGGTATTGAGAAAAAATTATGCTGTATTTCCTTCAACATTTACGGTAAATTCAAGTTGCAAGTACACGTTCAAATTGTTCTAGGTATAAAGCCAGTTACTTCGGATCCATCAGTCACAAAATTCTTATTAAAATGTTTTGAGGTGCAAATAAAATCAAGAATTGAGTGCTTTAATGCTGAATATGGGCAGTAAAAACAATTCACGCAGAATATTGTGCAATCCTGCACAATTTTCATAATAATGCTTAAACCATTTCAGCTATAAAAGTGTGCAATACTTATTCATTTTGGGTTAAAATAATACAAATAAAGAAACATTTAGATGAGGTAGAAAGAACTGAATTTTTTTAGATTTCCTGTGGAATTAATGTCTGTTTAAGATTGGGTTTTAGGTGTTGGGGAAAAAAGTCAAACAGTTATTTTTTGTATGTTAATTTAAATGCAATATATTTAAAACTCTCATAAACAATCATGTAAAACTTGTAAATTAGATTAGACATGTTGAGAAACAAGCCAAACGCTGTGTTACTCTAACAAGTCTAATACTGTACGCCCGTGTTCAAAAGAAAAGCGACCTGATCAAAAGAGAAGAGACAAATCTCGAGCAAAGCCTGATAAAACAAAGCCGGTAAACTAACCTGGATTTGTCAAAACTGACTTGACGTTATCAAAAACGTTCTTTCTCTCGGTCAAGCTCGCCGTCTGTATTTTCAACGGGAGGTCCTTGAGGACTCTGGCCAGCTGCGGGAAAAAAGATTCGCTTTTTTAAAAACAGGCTCGTCCCAGTTGAAATTAGTTTCCACGTGACAATTACTTACTTCCTCGGTCGTGGCCATGTTTAGGTGTTGCTGCCAGTACCAGTACCGGTGGCCCGTATCCTCTTCCAGCTTTCGCACTCAACTTGGGCCCGATCGCGCTCTGGCGAATACGTAATACACTCACAGTATCAACATATTTTACATCACGGAATCAAACGTACTATGGCTTCAAAAACAATGCTAATACTAACTTTTAATATTTGTTTTATTCAATAAGAACAATATTTGGAGAAATATTGTTGAAAATGTAGCTTTTGTTGGTTTTCAATACCAAAGTTGACAAAAACTAGACTTTTGCCAATTTTGTAAAAATTACTTTGAATGAAAATATCCGTTTTTTTTAAATCTATTGAAATATTACTACTTCTACAAAACAAATTAATTGCAAAGCGTAGTAAAAAAAAAAATTATTTAAAAAACATATATTGCAAGAAACGTTAAATATTACAGTTATATATAAATAATAATGGAAATAGAAATATAGAAATAAAAAATATTTTTTATAAAAAAAAAGTAAATAAAAACATATTTTCACAATAGGTCTTGGTCCCTGCAGTGAGTAGGTAGCCGAAAGTCGTGGGTTCAAATCCCGTTCAGATACTAATTTTTCTTTTAAACTGTTGCATAAAAATTGGAAATAATAATTAATGGATAACTAATTAAATAATTATATTTTGTAACCTTTTTGTTACTTAATTATATTTTTCTACTCACTAAAGAGACTTAAAGATAGTCGAAGGTCATGGGTTCGAATTCTGCTTGTAGCACTAATTTTTCTTCTCAACCATCTTTCCAAAAAAATTGGAAACAATAATTAATAACTGACAGACAACTAATTAAATAATTATATGATGTAACCTTTTTGTTATTTAATTATTTTATATTTTTCTACTCACTGTAAAGGGGCTTAAAGGAAGCCGAAGGTCATGGATCGAATCATGCTCGTGACACTAATTTTTCTTCTCAATCATCTTTGTCATGATTTTGGTATGCTAATGTCATGGTAATTTTTCTTCTCAACCCCTGACCCTGCAATTCGAAATATAACGTTAAAGGTTTAGAGGAGTGTTGAAGGCATAATTGTATATGACTGGTGCATTTGGATAAGGAATGAGGTAAAAAAAAATTCAAGTCATATAATACATGTTCCAAAGGTTTACACCTTTTTTCGTAGACCTTTCTATGGCTTTTGACCATATTGACCAGAATTATTTAATGGAAAAAATTAACAAAAAGATAAAACATATGACCCTAATCCAAAAGTAGAAAATTCAAATTTTGTTTCTTTGTACTGGAATAAAGAAGAAAAGCCATGTCCAAAAATATAGGCAGTGAAGGAGGGCGAAGCAGAAGTGCAGGCAGTGCAAAGCACTCGTCAACACTTGCTCCAGCCCAGCAACGGTAATATTAACAAAATGAAAATATTAAGCAAAATCAGTTCTTTTTGTTTAACAAGTTTTTATTAATTATCTTTTAAAGGTACATTAGAAAATAATTAAGCATCTGTTTAAGGGATCCTCCTCCTCCTCCTCCTCCTACAATAATAAAGGAAAGACAGACAATTATCATTCAAGAAGGAGCAAAGAAGCCTGGCGTTTTTGGACAGATGGCAGCAACCTCAGCAGGCGTATCTCTCGGTTCTTCTGTTGTAAGTTTTAAATTTAAAGTTAAATAAAAATAGTAATAATAAATAAAAAGACTATCTAATATTTGAAAAAATAACATGTTTCAGGGTCGTGCTATGGGAGAGAAAATAACAGAAGGGTCCCACAAGGATCCACCGCAGCAGCAGGTGCCCCCTGGGCCATGCTCGAATGAAATCGAGCAGTTTATCCAGTGCACGCAGAATAATGATGACATCGGTCTCTGCCAGGGTTTCAACGAAGCAATTAAAGAATGCAAAAGGAGAAGTGGTAATCATAATTACATTCTAACCTGTGCTTAGGTTATGTTATTTATAAATAGAATAATTGCGAAAAGTAATTGGATCAAAAATACTGTTAAACTATGTTTAATGTTTAATTAATAAACATACAAACATAAACCAAAAAGGATTGAAAAATATATGATATGTAAATTTTGTTTTAAAAAAAATTAGCTAGTAGCTCAATCTAATAGATGTTTATTTTTCAGGCCTGAGATAAGCTTTCCATGAGCAAAGAAACAAAATTAAAAAATAAATTAAAACAATTGTGTTAACTACTTGCTGCATTAATTCAAGAAATTCACATAAAAGAAAATAAATTAAGAGAACTAGGAAAAGAAATCATCTTATCTTGGATCCCCGTGTGGTTGTTGGCATAGACTGAAATTAAAAAACTGACAAAGTAGCCAAATGAACTGCAGGGATGCTACATGATCCGGTGAGTCCAGCAGACATAAACAATGATCTTAAAAACCAATGGTATTGCTGCTGGAATCATGGTCCGTATAGGACATAGGGAAAAAAGCAAGGACCATGGACTCACCTACAGGTAGACAACACCAGAAAATCAAATCACCAAACCCACATTAATACTTTTCACAAAAAGAAGGAAGTTTAATCTAAAAGCACCCTCTTAAAAAATAAAATAAAAGTATGACTTTCTCCAGGGAAATGAAGATCTAGGAATAACCCTATATAAACATATCTGATAAAATGAAGTTAAAAAAAAATTGTGAGACCCTTCCAAATAAAAATAACACCTACTGACGTTTGGAAGAATAAAAACTCTAAAACCAATATAGGGGATTTATTATGGTATATGGATAGATGTAAAATGGTACGTGGATTGAGGGCGGGAGTCAAAGGCCTAGATTTTGGCCCAAACCACCAATTTTCCAAGCTGAGATCCATGCAATAAAACTCTGTGCACAATAAAATAATTTGCACTTTTTGAGGCTACTTTAATTACCAATAACCCTGAGAGAAGGAAAAACTATATACTTACTCAGACATAACCTTTTTTTATACATACTATCATCCTTATAAAATTTATTAATTATTTTTCTATACAATCTGATCAGCATTTTACCACATTCAGTAGCTGAGTCTAGAATTATGAGGGTGATTGGTCACAGACTCCTAAATAATTAAACTTACAAAGGTTTTCAATCAATTGTTCTAGCTTAACATATTTTTCTTCTAGGCAATGCGAATTGTTTAAAGGTGTTGATTGTTAATAATAGTTTACAAGACAAGTGGGTGCATTTAAAAAAAAAATAGCAATAAGAAAAATAAACATATGACCCTAATACAAAAGTAGAAAATCCAAATTTTGTTTCTTTGTGCTGGAATAAAGAAGAAAAGCCATGTCCAGAAATAAAGGTAGTGCAGGAGGACGAAGCCACAGCGCAGGCAGTGCAAAGCACTCATCGACACATGCTCCAGCCCAAAAACGGTAACAATAAACAAAATGAAAATTCAAATAATGAATATTAAATTATGAGTAAATCATATCTATGTACTAAGAGAAATTCTTTGTTTATTCCTTTAAAGGTGCATAGAAATTAATTAAACATTTGTTTAAGGGCTCCTCCTCCTCCTCCTCCTCCTCCTCCTCCTCCTAAAGTGATAAGAGAAAGGACAGTCATCATTCAAGATGGAGGGAGGAGGCCTGGCCTTTTCGGACAAATGGCAGCAACCGCAGCAGGTGTTGCTGTCGGTTCGTCTGTTGTAAGTTTTAAATAAAAAAGAAAAAATGACTGTTGGCTCTTTGAAAAACTAATTTATCTCAGGGCCATGCTGTGGGAGAGGCAATGACAGGAGGGTCCCACAAAGATCCGCCGCAGCAACAACAGCAGCAGCAGGAACCTCCTGGGCCATGCTCGAATGAAATTGAGCAGTTTATCAAGTGCACTCAGAATAATGATGACATCGGTCTCTGCCAGGGTTTCAACGAAGCAATTAAAGAATGCAAAAAAAGAAACGGTAATTATTTTTTACATATCAAACTCTGTTTAGATATAATAAATTGACAAAAAAGCAATTAATTATAATCTGGACGGAACAAAAAGACTGTCAGTCATATGTTTAGTTTTTAAATTAATAAACATTGACACAAAACCAAAAAGAAACAACAATAAAAATTATTATAGATATCACTGACATGTGCATATATTTATCCATTTTACAAAACAATTAAACAAGGGTTCGCAACAGCAGAGTTATATCAACACTCGGGGTGCCGGTGTTTTTGAAAAAAAAACCCATTTGTGTCAGGTTCGAATGCAGGGCCGCTGGATGCCCGGGACCTTTACCTTACAGTGATGAGCACCGTGTCAACGCCTAAACATTTGCGGCCACCGATGCCCCCTTATGCTTTTGTTAAAATTAGTTCTAAGTTTTGCTTGTATCACAATCTAATAGATATTTATTTTTCAGGCCTGAAGTAAGCGTTCCATGAACAAAGAAACAAAAATAAAAAATAAAAAAAGTAAAACAATTTTGTTACTACTTGCTTATTTTAACTAATTTCACAAGGAAATTTTAACCTGAGCAGTGACTAGTTGGGTAAGTAGTTTTGGCCATCTACGATCATCATGGCCATTATATGCTTTTTCAACATATATCTTCAGTGGTTGATCAGGTATAAACAGGTGGTTCAAATTTTTGATAATTTTGCTTGTGTCAAATTTAAAGTATGGAAAGGCCCTCCGACCACTGAAGATAGTGGAATAAGACAAGACCAGCAAGCATAGGCAGACCATTGATGATTGAAGAAAATCCATCACCTTGCAATTTAGTTGGATAAGGATAAAAAACAAAAACAAAAGGCGTGGTTTAAAATTACAAAACATAGGCTATTTTTACTGTTTATTTATATTAAAATTTGTACAGTTGTGAGCAATTATTACAATAAAATATAAAAATTGAAAATAATAATAAGTTAACTTGTAGGATGTTCCATTCCTCTAGGATATCTTTTGCGAAATGCATCTTTTAATTCAGGATCGACTAAGCGAACTCCGTCGACCTGATTGCCCAAAGTAATCCTGAAAAACAACATCGTGCATTTTATTGACAATTTATATTTTAAATTTATTTACCAATTGGGTTGGACATTGTGAGGCCTCCCGAATAGCTCGATTTTCCGAGTCCCTGGTGAAAGCCTTTCGATGATGCCATAAATCTCATCAGGTTTGTGGCTTGTCGCTCGTACTTCTGCCACAATGACATCGCAGTCGAGACCACGGTTTAGATGACTAACTGAGCCTTTCTTTCCAACCTGAGAAAAACTTTAGATTTAAATCGCTTTCTTAAATAAAAATTATGGTATTTCTTACTAGGCAATGCTCCTTTCCGTGATTGAGCCAGTGGCCTGTCCTTCCGGTCCTGATTATCCTTTGTAATTGATTTGTTTTTACCCAGATCAACTCGTCTACACGTTCATAGCCCCAAAGCTGGAGGCATTCTCTTCCAAGTTCCATGGCTCTTAAAAATTGTCACATAACGAATAAAATATATTAAAAACAAATTATAAATAAAATCTACCTTCCGGTAACCCATAAAAATATGACTCCATCATCTTGAAGAGCAGGAACGCCAAGTTGTCTCATTTCATCATCTGACATAGTGCCATAAGGAAGTTCCATATGGATATCCCAAGGCGGATCTGCCATTATCACAGCAAATTTACCTAAAAAAAAAAAAAAAAAAACATTGAATAACATGTCAGTCTGCAAAAAAGAAAAATACAACTCACCTAAAACCGTCATGTCTAAATATCTAAGATCACATTGAATCCATTGTGGCGGGTATAAAATTGTTTTGTCTGTCAACATTCTACCTTCTTCCTTCATAATACGATGCTCTTTTTGTACGGGTGCCCCATCGACTTGATAATGTACATATCTAAAACGTAACTTTGTGAATATATTGATCATTGAGAAGACGGGCTATTTTCTAATTTATATACTCACTTACAACTATCCATGTGGAAGCATGTGTTCAGGAAAGAACAGTCTCCTAAGGATTCGTCAGTGTGTTTTTGAATTATTTTTTTGAAGTGAAGTTTATTACAATGTGTTCCTTTATTTTCCTTGGTACACTCAGCGCGAGTCCCATGAGCACAGAACTCTGTTACCTTTAAAATCGTAAATTTAATAGTTAGTTTTTGTTAAAGTTTTAGTTAATAATGTTTTAATTATAGTGATTTATTACTTGGGCACCATTTGAACGAAACCTTTCAGCTAGGGATCTTTCTTTTGCAGTTGGTTTACTTAAAAGCTCTAAAATCTCTTCTCCAACACGTTTGCTTTCTTTTTCTTTAATGGATGGCATTGATAATAAAGACTAAAAAAAAAATAAAATAAAATAAATAATAAAAATTATTTTATTTATGAGAATAAATATAAAGGTATACCATGATATCTGTAGTTTTTTTGCCAGCTTTTCTCTCATCTTTTTCAACAATCTTCGCAACTTTGGCCGCAGGCTCTTTTGAAGCAGAATCTTTATCGGCTATTAAAAAAGTAATATTGTAAATAATTAATAAAAACTTATTTCAAATTAGTTTCATACTTGAGCTTTTCCGTTTGATCTCGATTCTACAACTGTTGGCACTGTTGACGTCGTTTATCATAGCTTGCAGCTTTACATGTTCAGCCGAAAGAATTTCCAGCCCTTTGCCTTCTGCGCTCACCTCCACACTTGACAAAAATGTTACAACTTCAGTTAAAAAATCTCTCTGACAGGTTAAATTTCAGACCTGATCAACTGCTGTGTGGACAATTTTTGCAGCAAGTTGTCCAGATTTTCCTCAGTCACATTCCGACCGAGTTTCTTGTTCAAAACAGGAAGCACTAAGTGTGAGCTGCTTGGTAAATTGGGCGATATCTCACAGAGAATTTCAAGTAAGCACTTTTCAAGCTCAAGATCTTGTTTGTTTTCAGTTGACTCTTCTCCATCTTAACAAAATAATTAATGTACTTACATTTGTTTTATTAGAGTAAAATACAAAACAACATACCTTTCTGTGTTGCTGATTGTACTGCCGATGACTCGTTTAACGTTAACCCACTCTCTAAACATAAGCAGCATGAAAGTTAAAATTTAAAGGAAAATAATTAAGAAACATAATCTTAGCAAGTTTAAACTTTGGTTGATATCGATCATTTTAGTCTGCGAATCCTCGCTCTGTTGGTCTGTCAAATGTGTTTTGGCATTTCGCCATCATCAGCGTGTAAAATTTGTCAAAAATATAGTTTGTAAATTTATAATTTGACAAACTTTGAGGTAGAATTTTTTATGCTAATTTAATCTTTGTTGTCAAGATGGAGTTGGGTAATAGTGAAAAAGCTCTAAAAGCTTTTTAAAAGCTTTGCTACCTTGCATCTTTAATCATTTCAGCCTAATACTTTTTAAAATGTCTGATATACCAACACTGCACGGATGGACTAACCAAAATAATCAGTAACAGCAAATTACAGGTTCTTCATCCTACCATCAGACCATACGAAGAAATCTCAGAAGTTTACATTATTTTGTCTTTTATGTTTTTCTCAACTGTACAAAAGATTTTTTTTTCAATCTTTACAAACTTCTTTCAACCGCTAGGAGTCTAAAATTTCCAGCCAAACACAGACCAGGGGCTGTGGAAAGCAGTACTATTTTGGAAGCGCTAAAATATCTACAGGATCGACCAAAACCAGAAGTGTATCGTCTCTCGACAGTGCCCTGACTGGAATAAAACACTTGTTGCAACAAAAACACCCCCTAACAAATGATATTCTTGATATCATAAACACTCTAAAGGAATACAACGTTGACGTACACTTTATTTGGGTCAAAATCCATCACGAGAACAAATTTAATTATGATGTTGACTAACTCCGAAAACGACTAAATAGGGAGTTAAATAATTTCGTGGTAACCGGTGATATCAATATCCATTTGAAAAGAGGCTAGAATAAATGGGCAAAATGAGTATGACACCTCTAAATTCTCTAGGGGTCAGCACTATGGGATGTTACATCCTACAATACAAGGACAGTCCTCATACCATCGAATATATTGTCCAAGACAATTTTTTACCACCATTTTTACAGTGCGGTTCAATCACAACCACATATCCTTTCATCTGGTAAAAATTGGTATTGACCACCCTAGTAACTGCTGATTTCGACCACGTCATCCTGGTGTTCTTGTTTGTTTTGTCATTGTTCTTGATCCATATAACTGCAGAATAACATTGCCTAAAAATATTCGAAGTATATTGTCGAACACAAAAAATATTGAGGCTGACTCTCATCTTTTACTGAGAAAAATGACATACCTTAGCTGACCTACCTAATTTTTAACATGTCAACCAAATTAATGAGAAGGAACTGTCTTGTGTCTGGGTGTTGAAAGCGGCTTGGGCATCCCCCCCCTGGGGATCCCATGTGGATGTGGACTTTTCCTTAGAATTATAAACCGTTTTTATTCACTTCCCTGGAACTGTGATTTGTTACTACCATCCTTATAATAATTTATTTCCCCCTTAAGTCTGCCTGCACACGTCCACGTGACCTTGCTAGCCTCATAGGGTTTCGAGCTTTGTAAATGCTGACGTGTTAGCTGCAAGACTTATACAAAAAAAGTGAGAAAATTAGTGAGAATTTTTAGACAGGATTGGAAGATGACCAAATTACATATTGTGTCAATGTTTAATATATAATATTTTTGTATATCATACACTGATGCTGGCAAAATGCTGATATAAGGCTGACAATGATTGTCAAAACTATTCAAGAATATACATAACATTGTATTAAATATCAAATACAGTCTGAACTTTCATCCCTGCAGTATGTATTTAGTTAGAATTAAGTGACAATATTTTTTATGAGCACAAAAAATTGTCTTTGTAATAACCTGAGTTGAGAATGTCCTGCCTCTCTTTCTTCCTCTTCTGCAGTTTCTCCCTGAGGCTGTTCCTCTTCGTCTTTATCGCCTGGATCTCCTGCCAGGCATCTGATTCAGACATAGCCGGTTTTATTACTAAGCTGATTTACGAGGTAACGTCGAAAATTCCGATCAGGTAAATACAACAGGCAGTATTCAACATTTAAAACTTTACAGCATCTTTATATTCAGTTGTGATATTACACTATTACAGGAGGAAGAATTAATCAACGGAAATAATCAAAAGAGAAGGAGGTAAAATCGAGAGATCAGCCTTGAAAGGTTTCAGTAATACTTTCCACAATTCCACCTTTAAGGTTCCATCCAATGACATCATGCAATAACAAATCGTAATATCCGGTAATATATTTTGCTCAATCATATATAAAATTGTTATATTTCTTTTGAAAGTTCAACTCGTGACATTTAATAATTAAATTTATCATATTACTCTACGACAGTTAATTAAATGTTTGTACAAATTATATTTAGTAATTAAATTGAGAAAAAAATAAAATTATGGAAAAAATATTCCACTTTGTGGTTTTTTATAATATAAATATAATCAACTTCAAACTAACTGAAGTTAGAATTAAACCTATTTTTAAATATGATCTTTTTTCCATATTTATCCAATCATTGATATTTTCTCTCATTATTTTTCTAGTAAATAATATTTGCATTCTTATTAGGGGTTTTAATTTTTTTATTTTTCTAGTGCAAATTTAAACAAAAAATTATTACTATGTTAATATTATGGTCCTTGAACATGTACAGTAGGTTATTATTATTTTTTTTTTTTTTTTATACCTCCAAGCTCACTTGAGGTACTCAGAGACTCGGGTGCCTCAATCCAGCCTAACGCTGACCGAGACTGGGTCGCCAGTAGAGGAAACAAAAGTTGGGGGCATAGGAAATTAAATTTTATTTATTAGTTTGATATTGATGAAGAAGTTAAAAATCTTGTTTATTGGTGTTGATTTTAGGACTTTGTGGATTTGATTGAGGGTTCTTATAGAGGCGTATTAAGGACAATCAACTATGACGTGGGAAATAGTGATAGATGTACTGCCAAAAACGTGAATCCATTAGACAATGGGTTAATAATAAGTCCTCCGCTTAATGGGAATGTAGCCCGGGACAGAGGCATGCGAAAAGTTTATCAAATGACCATTGCAGAAACTAACAGAGGAACTATTAAATCTAGAACATGCTAGGATTAGAATAATAGTACTGCTAACTGGACACTGCAGTCTCTGGAGGAATATGTATAGACTCGGAGTGGCAGAACCAAGCCTGTGCAGATAGTGCTAAGAAGTAAAACAGTGGAGCAAAGTCCTCTGTTGGTGCAAAGGCTTATGTAGGCTGATTCCTAATTCTAGGAGCGGAAAAGCACAAAGGAAGGATACACATGGGAGCCCTTGAAAAAGCTTTGGAGTCTGGTAAAACCTAAAGCTTAACAAGGTGCTCTAGATTTAAACATGTACAGATTGGACATATACGTTTAGGGGTTCTTTAAAGGAGGAAACTATGGGTGAGCCTGGAGCTATTCTTAGCCGGGTTAGAATGGTTTCTTCTTTTCGGGAGGGTTTGGAAGAGGATTCACAACCCTGTTCAAGCCTCAGAAGTGAGCTACCTAAAGTGAAAACAGAAGTCAGTGAAGCGAACCCCATTCCAAGAATTACCATTTGAGGTGGCCTCTCTTGCCATTCTGTCTGCGTTTTCATTATTATTTAATTGCCTTGCATAAACTTCTCTTTGGACAACTGCTTTGAAGAATTGCATTTCTTAATTTATAATTTCTTTACTAAATGGCCTTCAATTTTTAAACTTTTGCGGTGAGTTTTAAATAGTTTAGTTATCTGTGAGCACTTTTATTATATCAAACAGAAATGTAACGGGATGGGTTAGAAAGTAAAAGAAAGCTAACTTTTATATTGGAATATTGTTTTTATTATTGTAATCAACATTGCATTTACAATTTTCTCGAGGAGAGATTGAGGAGTTGCAGTGTTCAACTGATACATATACGATCTATACATACAACTATACAGTATACAGAAGACTAAATCATATATAATACTTTTCTAATATTTATATACAAATAGAATTATTATACAACAAAAAACTGAACTTTTTACATCTTTTATTTCTGTTTTTAAAACATGAAATTGTAACGATACATAAAATTAAGGGAATGTGAAGTATTTTACAAATTAAATGAAGATTGGTTTCTAAAAATGTCTACAGATTTTTTTTTGTTGATAAAAAAACCTTCTTTAAAAGGTTTTTGATCAATGGCTGGGAGGTGTATTAATTAAAATCCATCAGATAGTATTATATTTATAATTTTAAGTACTTTTCACCATACTTATTTTCTTTAGTTAAAAATCATTATAAGACAACTTATTTGCCAGAGACGTTCATTTTAATTTTAGACGTCATATACATGCCGACGATAAGGCCAAAGAGACCGATAGCACTGCCAAAAATTTCGACGATGAGGATTTTAACAAAAAGAGAAGGATTGGCCGCATCTGAGAGGGCTGCACCAGAGCCGACGATGCCAACTGCGATGCCACAGCATAGATTGACCAATCCGACGGAGAGGCCAGCCCCAAACATGACATAGCCAGAGAGCCAGATGTACTGCTTGGCATTATTTTCAAGGACTTTGTCCGTATCGAACTTTTCCAGGTATCCGGAGAGTACGATGGCCGTGATGAGGCCGTAGATGGCCACCGCTTCACAGAAAATGACTGAGATGAGGTTCTTGGTCTTGATCCTAGGTGCCTTCACACCACCCCCGATGATGGAAACTCCAGTCGTGTGGATGCCCAGAGCTGCACCCACCACGGACAGAGAGACGGACAAGGCGATCCCCAATGCGCACCACATGTAAGGGGATGTGGCCTCGAGGAACCACCCGATGCTGAGGGTTTCCCCTTTGCCCAGGATGACCGTGTAAAAGAACGCGATGACGACCACGGCGAACGACATACCGCCTACTAAAGTGTTCAGCAAAATATACCTCATTTTTGGCGATTTACGGAAAACTGGTTGATTCGGAAAACTGCGGTCGAACCGACTTCTGCTCCGCCCCCTTTCACTCTGTTTCCAACTCGATAGGCGTACGACTCTCGCCTAACGTACGACAGAAGGGTACGGGATAAAACTAAAAGTGCCCAGCCCACTTTTCCCAAAACATCTGTTTCTCAATCGGACATGATCGACAACAAGGTCATTTTATATTTATTCAACTATAATAAATAATCGACCTTCGTAAAAAATGAAGCAACAAACAATTCTTTTTATCAGAAATCTATAAAGTAAAAATTTTTTGATTATAATTCGGTAAATCTGTAATAGATGTATAACAAGACCTTCGATAGAATCAAAAGAAAAAAAATCGATTGCCGCTGTCAAACTGGCCTTCAAAAGATAGACCGCGATTTACGCTTTGCAGATGGTGAACACTATACTCAAACACTTTACAACTCTTGGATAATATTTTAAAGAAAAAGCTTTTTTTTTTAATTATCTGTTTACTCACCAACTAACAAAAACAAGAACATAGCTATCATATCAGATAGGCAAGCAGCCACCAAAGCACTAAGCTCAAATATCATTAGTTCAAAGATGGTGTTGAACTGCAAAACCAAATTAAATTTATTAGGTACTCAGAACAAAATCGGCCTCTGCTGTGTCCCAGGACACATGGGAGTAGAAGGTACTGAGAAAGATGACACCCTTGCAAGGAAAGGAGCTGCTATACCGCTATAGGACCAGAACCCTTCTGTAGGAGCCCACACTATCAATGAGTACCTTAGATAGAAGGACAAAAAGAAAATGAAGGAATAACGGAATTCACTCATTGGACACAAACAATCCAAGAATCCTAAAAAATTTCAGAAGGAAAGAAGTTACATACAGAAGGTGTCAAAGGAAAAAAAATGTGAATCCTAACAGGATTCTCAACAGAACACTGCAAGCAAAATGGACACTTAAAGAAGATTGAATAATTAATCTAAGACGGCACATGCTGATTCTACAAAGAGTCAGAGGAAACACCAACACACCTACAAACAAACTGTGGTGCTACACTTGCCCCGAGGAGGAAGTGCTTTGGGATGTACAGTGTGACCATAGAAGAAATTCAACCACTGAAATCGAACCTACTAATCAAGTTCCTTGATGAAATAGGACTCACCGGTGTGCTTTAGGCAGAGAATGCAGATACAATAGCAATGAATCTTTGGTTTGCAAAAAGTTAAAAAAATGATTGGTCACATCTTGGTCCTTTTTAGTTGTATTATATAAAATATTATATAAAATGTATAAATATAGCTTATTGTTTATTATTATTAATGATTGATGTTGTTTTGTTCTTGTTATTTTATAAATTTTGTTTATATACTATTTAAATTGTTTAGAACATCATGATTTATATTCTTTGTAAAAGGATTTTTGCTCCGTATGAATATATATATTTATATATATATTATTATTTTACTTTGTTTATAAAGCTAAATTTATTTCTAAGATATGTACATACATGTAAGGGAGTTAAAAAAAGCTTATTTGTATCTTTAAATGAATAAATTAAATAAAAATAAAAAGGTAAATTTATATCAGTTATATTTGTTAAAGGAACACAGCGATCAATCTATATACATTTCATTCTATAGCAAGTATGGTACGTTAATAAATAAAATACGGCTTTTCTTAATGTATTTATTTTTTTAATTGCTGTTACCACATGGGACATAGTTTTATTTTTATTTAAAACGTTTGATGTGTGCTTTTAGCATTTTCTTTCGTGAGAATAAATGTACGCATCTACATTTTGTTATTTTTTGTTTGTGCTATCAGTAAAACTTACTAGCTGTCCTAGGCAAATTGTTTCCTCTATCCATTTTAAATAATATATTATTGTTTTGTATAATTTATTTTATGTTTTATTACTATTATTGCTGTTATTATTGTTGATATTTATTATTATTTTACTATGTTTATAAAGCTAAATTTATGTCCAAGATATGAACAATGTAAATTTACATCATTTATATTTATATAATAATATATGTATACAAAAAACTAGAAACAACCAATCTGTATATATTTCCTTCTAGAGCAAATAAGTACGTTAAAATAATAAAAAATATGGCTTTTTATGCGTTTATTTTTTTAATTGCTGTTACCACATGGGACATAGTTTTATTTTTATTTAAAACGTTTGCTGTGTGCCTTTAGCAATTTCTTTCGTGTGAATAAAGGTGCCTACATTTTGTTTTTGTATTGAAAATGTATATTAAATTTTTATAGTGTAAGTTTTTCCTATTCAATACGATTTGTACTTTTTTTTGTACAAAGTCCACTAAAATATAACAAATGCGTCGATTGATTTGTGCGTTAAACAAAGTGAAACAATTGTCCTTGCAGTAATATTACGTAAGTGAAGAAAAAGTGAGTCAATTCTTATTACGGATCGACATCGATGAACAATAAATCGATGTACCTCTCTTGGAAGGGATGATCGTAGATCCGTTCGGCAGTTCGGCGTTCGTGGCCCGTGCTTTGGTCCAATAAAATGGGTGAAACCTAATCTCGGGCTTTTAGTCTAGCCTTTTCACGTCGATTAAAAGTTTGTTTTTTTCAACGTCCCAATAATTATTTGCCGTTGATTCGGAGAAAAGTGAAAGGGCCGGAGATTCGGCGAGTCGGGATTTACGGATACTCGGGTTGGACTTCCTTTTCGCTTCAGTCACTCCGAATCCGCAGGCGAGGAACGCGTTTCTCCACAAATTTTGGACGCAAATTTCGAAAAATGGGAAGGAAAAAGAAGAAGCAGTCGAAACCCTGGTGTTGGTATCCTTTTGAAACTTTTCAAATATATTATTCACATCAGCCCCGACGCCAATCTATTTTAAAAACCGAAGGTGGGTAATTCTCAATATTGTACAGTCTATTTTCCTTAATTTAGCAAAACAGGTATTGCAACCGAGAATTCGACGATGAGAAGATTCTCATTCAACACCAGAAAGCCAAACATTTCAAATGCCACATCTGCCACAAGAAGCTGTACACCGGCCCTGGGCTCTCGATTCACTGCATGCAGGTAAAAAGAAAAAATCTGAACTTTTCCTTAGTGTCGATTATTCATAAATTGTTTATTTCAGGTACATAAAGAAGCGATTGATAAAGTGCCGAATTCGATGTCGACAAGGTCAAACATTGACATAGAAATTTATGGAATGGAAGGCATCCCCCCAGACGACCTTCGAGAACACGAGCGACAAAAACAGGGAAAACACGGTAAATTTTATTTCTTGCTTACATGAAACAATGCTTGTAAGTTATATAACAATAATTATATTTTCAACCAAGGAAATGTATCCTATCAGGCTCCATGGTTGATTACCGAATATCATTTACTCAACCAGGCTGTTACACATTTTCGATTGCAAATAATCTTCAATAATCAGGACAATTAAGGCCAAGGATAGGTGTGATAGAAGCTCAATACGACTGATGTAGACTATTCAATCCAAAAGTCAACAAAAACAAGAAGAAAAAGACAACACGGTCAAAATGTATTAACTCAATAACAAATCATTTACAACATCTAACTATAAATCAACACAACACATCACAACAAACACACTAAAACAAAACAAAAATTTTCAGAAATAATCTTGATATATTCTTTATGCTGATAAAACAAAACGGACAGTAGCAATAAGCAAAAAAGAGTACAATGAAAAAATTATCAACGACAAAAACACATACAGCAAACTTAAATCAGATCCTACTCCATCTCTCATCAAACCGACCAACAAAATCCTTCAAGAAACATTAAAAAAAAAAAAGAAATTGACATATACACCTACAAATAAGTCTGAAACAATTCTCCAATGCTCCCGAAACTAGACAGATCTGCCAAAATTCATAAACCTGAACACCCTCTAAGACCAATAATTTCATCTGAAAATTCCCCTACATACGATATGACAAAATACCTAACTAATATACTTAGCAACATCACAGATAACACATATAACTTAAATGTAGATGTATTAGTCGGGATATGATACACTGGGCCCTTTTAAGAGCTATTGTATCCCCCGTTTTGTGCCTAAAGCACACTGGTGAGTCCTTTTTCATCAAGGAACTTGATTAATAGGCCTGGTTTCAGTAGTTGAATCTCTTCTACAGTCATCCTAAAATACTTCCTCCTTGGGGCAAGTGTAGCACCACAGTTTGTTAATAAGTGTGTTGCTGTCTCCTCTGCCTCTTTGCAGAATCTGCATGTGCCGTCTTGGATTATTCCAATGTTCTTTAAATTCAGAATTCTTCAAATCCAATTTCGAACATTTTTTCCAACAAATGAAATAATTTTTTTCTTAAAATATTTCATTCTCGTGTGTAATCATTATTCAACTTAGTTGTTAATCAATTAAATTTAAACAAAATATGTCGTAAGAATGTTCAGTTTATGAGTAATGAGTCATGAGTTGAAACTTGTAAACATCATAGTTGATTGTTTCCTGTTCGATTTACTTGCGTTGTTTTGTTTTTTGTTTATAAAATAGTTAAATACACATAAATCAAACAAGTAGGAGTGAGTGTATCGTAACTAAATTGGTCAAATATTAATGAAAAAGTAAGAAAATTTTGAAGAAAGTTAAAACAAAAATTGGCCTTGAAATCCTATTATACACTTGTGAAAGTCTATACTTTGCTAAAACAAGCATTTTTTTGGTGTAGGTTAATTAGGAGGATATTTTCCGATGAACAATCCATGTGGTTTTTATTTATTTTATTGTTTAGATATTTTCATCATTTAATGTTTTGGGGCTATTTATTATAAGGGCTAATTCATTAAGACGAAAAATGGATTTTGTCTGACATAATATCGCTCACCAGTCATCGCCTCTGGTTTGAATACGATTGAAAATATATCATAATCAAGTCTTGTTATGAAAAACTTTAATATTTAGTCAAAGAAATCGACGTGAGGTAACTTCAAAACTCAATTTATTCAGAATTTGGGTAAAATCATTCCAAGTGAAGTGTAGCAGCTTCTTATTAGAAGGGAACTCAGAAACTCATACAGACATACAGCCCACCGAAAACTCATTACAGTTAAACTTTGTTATAATTCTCTTCTGAGGTTCAAAGTAAAACAGCACAACTGGGAAAGCACTATTACTGGGAAATCATAAAAACAGCCTAAAATGAACAAAATTTATTTAAAAGCATGGACTGTATATGGTAATTAATGTTTTAATATGTGATTAATTAAGTTTTTTAGTCATAATAGCTCAAGTGGTAGAGTAGCAGCGTATCAAGCCGAAGGTGGGTTCGAATCCCGCTCGTGACACTGACTTTTTTATCTCAACTAAAAACCTTAATTAATTGAATGATATTAAATGGTCAAGCGGACCAGGAAAACTAGTGAATTTAATGAGTTAAAATGAAGTATACTTCACTAAAGCTCTCCATGGCCATTTCATTTGTCGCCGAGAATTAAATAGATTACACGACATTGGAAAAATGGCAAAAAGGAGGGAAAATTCAAAAGGTGGGTTGAGATGGGAAGTTAGTACCCAAGTGGATCGAAGTCACGATAGCTCAAGTGGTAGAGTAGTGGCGTATCAAGCCGAAGGTCGTGGGTTCGAATCCCGCTCGTGACACTGACTTGAAACTAAAAACCTTAATTAATTGAATGATATTAGATGGTCAAGTGGACCACGAAAACTAGTGAATAAAACTAGCTTGAAGTTTTGCAGATCAACATTTTTTAGATGTGCAACACTGTTGCCTTAGAGCAAAAATATCTTGTGATCTTTTAGTTTGACAGCCCACTTGTGTAGCCATTGTGAAAACCAGTCTCCAGTCATCTGAATGATTATATNTATATATATATTTGTATTTGTTTATTCTCGTTTTTTTATGACCTATTTTGTGTGTATGTATTTAACAATTTTTTTAAAATCTCAAATTGGAACATTATAACCGGGCGATCAGAGTATTAAAATGAATAAAATTTTTGTTGAAAAATCGTTTTGGGACTGAGGGTAAAGAGTGTTATAGCTGGGAAATTGTTATAAGCGGGCGCGTTATAAGGAAATTTAACTGTATTCTGGTGCAACCTTGACATGTCTCCTCTGCTGATGATTCCACACAAATTGTCTATTGTTGTCTGGGTTCATCACTGCTAGGGTTTCTGGTCTTGGTATGGGGTTGAAAGGTAAAATTGTACTTTGAAGGGATGGTAACACAATAAAAAGAACGGTTTTAAGGGCCAAAGTGTTAACAGTAGCTTATTCTCCCAACATCTGGTAACAAAAACCCACTACTAAATGATATTCTTCATGCCCTCTCATAGAAATGAAAAACAAGATATTACTAGCATGAAGACGAATTAATTATGAAAGGTGATGTTATTTTTTATTTTTGGACACCTCCTTAATCATACACACTGAGTGCCAGCAATGTCTGGCTCCACAAAACGTGTTCTACCGGTGCAGTAGTTGTGCTGTGTGATACATTAATCATGTGTACATATTTGTATAATATACTATCATGTATAGGTAATAAATAAATAAAAAAAATATAAAATATTTTTTGACACATCAGAAATAGAGTAGAAAAGTACATTTTATTTTGATTATGTTGTTGGTAATTTCATTTTGTCAAACTGGCTAAAGAAATATAAATAAAAAATCTTATTTGAACACAAATAAAATTGTAATCTTTAATGACTTTTGTTTTGTAACATATAAACATTAATTAATTATTAATGTATTAACAAAGACTAATGTTTCAGGTCGTGCGGGTTCACCCAGCAGTGGGGAGGACGAACCCACTCCAAAGAAAAAGGCAGACATGCCTGGTGTGATGGCGGGTGCACCATCAATCCCTGGTGCCATGCCAGGGCACCCTGGTTTTCCTCCAATGGGACCATTGATGGGCCCCATGGGTCCCATACCACCCTTTATGCCTCCTGGGTGAGTTATTTTTTCCAATGCGCTTTTGAATGCGTGTTCATTTTGTTTGTTTAAATGTTCAGACTTGGTATGATGCCTGGTGGACCAATTCCATCTGGACCGCCTAATGTTCCATCACCACATCTACAGAATAAACCACTCTTTCCTAGTGCTGCAGCAATTGTAAGTATTTTGTTTTATTTAAAATAGGTTAAATAAAAATAAATAAATAAATAGTTTTCGCCCTCTTCAAAGCTAATTAAATTAATTTATTTTTTATTTTATTATTTTTTATGACCTTATTGTTGCATATTAGCCAGAATATTGTAATGTGTAAATACCATATTATTGGGGCAGCAAAAAATTTTTGGGATTGGGACACATGATCATGGGGTCTCTACAAGCTGAAATTTTATCACACTGACCACTTAGCTACTGCAGTAACAATTGCATTTAATAAATGATTTTATTTTATTTCAAGGCTTCAACATCGAGCCATGCAGGTACTAGTGATTCAAAAACCACTTCAACTGCAACGATTGGTCCTGTAAAACCAACATTCCCAGCATTTGGGTTTGTAATTTTATAATTTATTAACATTATAAAAATGCAAAAAATTAACTCTTTTTATATACTATAGGGGATCCAATTCATCCAGTGGACAGTCTGAACCACAAAAAGTAGCTCTTATTAATAATGTCGGTGGTTCGAGTAAAATCATTCATCCCCCTGAGGATATTTCAATGGTAATTATCCATATTATTAGTAGTATTTTAATTATTAATATTTAATAATCATGAAAATATGACATTTTCAGGAGGAGTATAAAGCTAAAATGATCAAATCACAAGTCAGAACTCCTAGTGAGCCAGCAGACGAAACTCCCACTTCGTCTCCATCACAAGCAAGCTCATCTCATACTAATACACCATCACATTCACAACAACAGCACCAACAGCAACAGCAAGCGACAGAGGTTTGTGTTAAATTTTTTAAAACTAAAATTATTTGTTTTATTTATTGAGTTTTTTTGTGTACAGGAACGAAGGTTACAAGTAGGTAGGATACCAGGACTTTCAGTCCCAGCTTCTGCTGGGATGCTCCCTCCTGCTTCTAGCGTTGCAATAATGTCGATGGCAACATGCCCTCCGCTTATGAGAGCACCTCAAACAATACCTCTCATATCTGCAAGTATGCCTATTCTTAGGCCGCACCAAATGCCAATTCATCCAGGTAATTTCCCTTAATTCTGTCCGCAAATTACTCTTAACATTTTGTACTGCTTAAAAATCCTGTAAGTACAATTTGATTTTTTCTTTTAGCTAAGTAAATAAAACATTGATTTTTTTTTGCTTCGATTATTAATTTTACTTTGGAATTATCATCTATTTCGTGCAAATGGATGTGACGGTTTATGTATTTTCAACATTGAAATTTAGCGAGGTGAGGTAAAATTGTTTTTTTTACAGGTTCTTTTAAAATTTCACTTCACTCTCTTTTTGTTTTGTTTTTAAGCCTTTTTTATAAATATAAAAAGGGTCTTGACTACTTTAAACTTTAAAAGCAATACTTATATTTGTACAAAATAAATATTCAGTAAAATTAATTAAAAGCAATTTGCATTTGTGAATTGAATTTCTCATGAGTTAAATGATCACATAATGAAGTTAACATAAAAATATTCTGAGAGAGGTTAGATTACTTGATACTGCTATTTAGCTTTGTTAAGGGACATATCGTGATAAGGTCTGTTAGTTGATAATGTGATTCTCTCTTGCTTTGTTTCTCGCTGGTTTTTGCTTTTGGTTAAACTCAAAAAGTGAACTTGTCTCATGTCAATACTTTTCACAGAAACACTAATGAATGTGTGATATATCTAACAGAAATAAAGTTAAGCACAAGAATTGTCAAGATTGCGTGAGACCTCTTGAGGTTCATCATGGGTGATATTTGCAAGATGCCTCATGAAGTGAAAGTGAATGCATCATATTTATAATTCTGCCAGAGACTTGCAAATGTCTTGAGGCGTTACTGTCCATTGTATTAAAACATTAGACTAGAACTTAAAATATTAAATTTAAGTCCTTAACGGTGCTTAATGGTTTTTGTTTTAAATTAAAATGTGTCATATGCAAGATACAATACTTTTTAAAAAAATATTTCAGTAATTTTTCTTCTCCATATTTCAATGGGATCATTTCCAATTCTTGGGCTTTTTATGATTTAAAGAAATCCATGCCCACTGTGACTTAATCAGGTGATTTTAACCCTACTTTATGACCATACCAATTTGAAATCTTTCCTAAGGACCGTTTTGCTAATTTCCTTAAGTATATTACTGCCTTTTGAAAGTGGCGGTATTTGCTCGCTTTTCATTTCTGTCAGGCCAGAATCTGTTTCCCTCTGATGAACCTCTTGATCATGATTGATTTCCTTTCGATGATTTTGGTCAGACTTCATATTATGCTGGCTTTCATCAATATTTTTTTAAAGGAATTTTTGTATTTTTAATAAGGTCCATTCAAGTCCCACAGGAAACTCGGGATTTTAATTTGTCATGTGAGGGGGAAGGGACTGAGATGAGAGACAGAAAGGCTCGCTTCATTCCGGTAGGTCAGATAAGTTCAAATTTTTTCAAATTTCTTTTAAAGTTTTTTGAAGGCAATGCCGCGATTAAAACCCAGAACTACTAACACTGCAAACTTGAGAATCGAGTTCTCAAATGACTCAGCGATGTGATTTATAAATCTGAAAGATTTACATTGCCGTCCTTGAAAACGGTAAATTGAATTAAATCTGGGCTGTAAGTACATAATTGTGTGAGTACATATTAAAATTGTGTGGGCATGTTAAATCTATTTACTGCCAAAATTCACAAAAGGATTTTTCAGTTATTCTTGCATATAAGATAAGTAATAAATCGCCAATGTTTTTTATATGAACTTTTCTTTATCCGAAACAATTTGTAAAATTTATTTTATATTAAGGAGTTTTGACGTTTTTGGTTGAAGTGTTCATAATTTGAGTACCTAAAATGTTTTTCAGGTCTTATAGGTGGAGTTGTGCCACCCCACAGCGCCGGAGTTGTCCCGTACGGTGCCGCTGGCCACCCGATGGCTTTTCCAGGCCCCCCAGTACTTGCCCCAATGATTCCTCCTCGCTTCAGATGATCAGGTTTGCTGGGGGCCCTTTGCCTCCTCTGGCCCCAACCCTAAGTGCACTCTCACTCCTGCTCTCTCTTTCTAAATGACACGTTTTTTCTAAATCTTTTGTTGGCAGTTGGTGTAGTTTATGGAACTTTTTATTTATCCACATTATGTTTCTACAAATTAAATGAAAAAATCGACATGCATGTATTTTCCTGTTTTAAACATATTTAGTTTTTTTTTTTTTTTTTTTTATCATGTCCAGAATTATCAATCGTGATGCTACACTATAACACTTTAGTATGATAAAATATCAATATCACACTATCAAACAATCCTTTATTTGACATTCATAATGTAATTAAATCAAATTACAGTAGAAAATATGCACCTTTAATAATGGAATTTGCTAAGGTGAAAAGAGAGAAAGAGAGAGAGAGAGCGAGACAGAGAGAGAGATAGAGAGAGATTTGTGCTAAAGGATAAAATACGAACCGGGGCACAGAGAGTCAGAGAAAGGCGACTGTAGAGGAAAATGTTATCTAATTTGAAATAAGTTGAGGAAAAGAAAATTTCTCGCCTCATAATCTTCTTTACAACCAGCAAAGGTAAGCCGTGATATATATGCATATGCACATGTGTATATATTTGGACATCCAAAGTAATATAACAAATTGGAGAAGTCGGCTATTTTTGTTTGGTGGGGGAATTTATTTTGTGAGGGAACTATTTTGTCCTCAAACAAACACGGATCGTCGACAGAAGGAAAGGAATCCCAGCGAATCTTCATCATTCACATCATAGACATCAACAATTTCAATATAAGAATTATATTTACACCTACCTTTACATTGTACTTTAATTATTTTAAACTTATGAAATGATAGGTAAAAAATTGACGTTTCAAGTTTTCATAATTATTTCATTGGAATAAAAGAAATTGCTTTCAGTTTTCAAAATAAGTTGACAAACGTATTTTTACGTTGATTCATGACAAGTTTGTGTAAATCATGAAAATTAAAATGAAAAGAATGGCAACTACTTGTGAATTATTAAGCTTTAATGTAGGTAGCTTAATATAGAATGGTTTAGTGTTATTGAAAATTATAAAACATGTATTTTATTCCCTAGCTTTTTATCTGTTTAAATGGTAAGTTTATATTTATTAGAATTTCAAGCCACTTACAACCAGGCACCAGAGGGAAACTTTAGGTTTATTCGTTCATATTTCCATAATTATACAAACCAATTTTCCTTTTAAGCAATTTTTTTTTTCAGTTTCTATTTTGAAAAAGGAACTGAACAAAATAAAACTAAAACATCAGTAACAATATAGATACCTAAAAGTTAACTTATGTGCCTACTAAGAACAGGTTGGTTTATTCATTTTATATATTATCTGATGTAAAAATTAATTTAATTCACCCAAGTTCTTTTCTGGTTTCTACTGGTTCTACGGTAAGTCTGCATAAGGCTAATACGTTCAAGTAGTGAATGAACAATTGACCATTGTACATTATAATTCAAATTGTAAATATTGGGAACTTCTGGTATAAAATAGAGAACATGTATGCTAATGTTAGATATTTTTTTTTTAAATTATAAGATTAAAAGAAGAAAACAACAAGGCATTGAAAATGATTTTTTAAAACTTGACATTTGGTTTTAATGTGTCTGTTTTATTGTCTGTTCTTTAACACATACAGTGAAGCTTGTAAAAAAGTTTCTTGTATTCTTAAATTAGTTCTTTGTTTTTCTTTTTATAAATATAATGATTGGCCTGGATTTTGCATAGTTGCAAATTCTAGATAACTTATTCAATGGTCAAGTAAGAACTGTTCACTGTTAGGTTATGGCTTTTACTTCTTGGTTATTGTAAAATCAATTGTAATTATGATTAATGGTCAACGCGATGCAAGGATATTTCCAGTGTCAAAGGTACTATTTGTGTTGAATTTTTACTGAGTTTGTCACGTGTTTGGTTTTAAAATGCAGTTAAGATGTTAGAGTCAGTGGACATTTCTTCTTCAAAAGGTATCTAGCCAATTTTTATTTTTCTATTATTTATTTTATTTTTAATTTATCCTTTAGTTAATTTTTGACGGCCGTTTTTGGAAAATGTTAAAGGTAGAAAACCTAAAATCGCTGTTGGATGATCTTGTGTCGTCCCTTGTCATTGTTCGAGCAGTGACAGGTGAAATTACTATTCACAGCACACCCTCGATTATGCTAACTAGTTATTTTTTAAAATTATAATAATGGTTACCCTATAATAAATTGCAGTTTTATTAAGAATTATGCTTATAGTCCTGAGAGACAAATCACAGCGTGAATCCTGTTGGACTTGATTCAAGTTCCCTGACGTTCTGTTCCTCATGCATAATTAAGTATATTTTTTTTGTGTTTTTAACGGGTTCAGACGTCAGGCGACCGTTTCCTCAAATAAGAGCCAATTTGTTTTAACAACAGTTAAAGTATGAGGCGTATTAAAGGGGTAACGATCACAGGAGCTGTTGGACATGTCTGTCCCTTGTTGGTATTAACAGGCGATTGTCTCTCACTATCTCACTCTTAAATAATGTCAATTTATTTTCTTGTACCTTTTTCATTGAATTAATAAAAAGAAAAAAAGATTAAATTCTAAGACTCGCAATATTTTTTTTTTAAATCTTCGTGTGCACAATATTGTAATTTATAGTCATAATTATTATTTGTTTTGTATACCTTTTTTGCTGTTTTGATGAGATTTTGGTGAATTGTTTGCTTGTCTTAGCTAATTTAATCATCCTAAGGTGCGTATGTTCACCTTTATAAAAAGAAAATTATCTAAACGGTTCTTTTTACTGTATTTTCTTCTCATGAATTAAACAAAAAATTGTTGTTTTGACCGACTTTTTCTTCTAAATGATTGCAGACGCAACACACAAACACAATTCTCGCTTTGAAATCTGCCCTCGTGTCTCACTAGGGACAAGTCGTGTGCCAAAACAAATTACCTGTCAATTTGTAAGTACTATAAATGTTTCTGATTTTCCTTTTTCCTAAATATGTAATCATTTTTCTCCATGTGACTTTTGTGTGGACGTCATGTCCCAAGCTTGGAAACTTTTTATTTCTTTTAGCTATACTGTGCACTTGGTGCATGACGATCGACTAGTTTATTTTTCTTTTTCTTTGTATTAACCGATTTTGTTGCCTAAATGTTGTAGCCAAGCAGCACATTAAAAGTACAAATGTTCAGATAGTTTTAATAATGACGTGTTATTTGTACAACCGTTTATAAATGTTACTTTCGAAATAAATGTGTTATTGACAAAAAAATGGCTTTTTTCTATTCCCAGTACAACTATCAGGTGTGTCAGTTATATTAAGTATTGATAGGTTAACTAGGAATTAAAGGTAGATGAGAAATTGTTTAAAAATGAGAAATATATTTTCTTGAATTTTTGTTTTGTTTTTTAGGAATGTCCTTACAAGATGCATAACCTTTGAGTGAACAGATCAACTTGCCTTGATGTTTTCTGTTTTTTTTCTTTTTTCTTTTATGCCTGGTAAAAACAAAATATGTAATTTTTAATTGAGATTTGATATAATAATAAAAAAGAAAAAATCTTCAATTTTTATTTCTCGAACCTTCCTATTTTTTAAAGTTTTATGTTTTCAGTTATCAAGATGTACAAACAATTAAAATTTGTAATTTATTATATCAATTTTTTTTGAGGATGAGAAATTCTAACTTTGCCTAGTTTTTGTAGTAAAATACTTATTTCCAACCTCCGACAACTCTTAATTTTAAAATAACTTTTAAATTAATTACAAAGTTTGTAATAGAATTATTTTTTTTAAAAGGATAATTGAAAAGGGGGCAGGGAAACCTCATTAAAACTGATAGGAAAATAATTCCAAAGTTGTACAACGCTTAACAAGATGGTTGACATCCCCTTGGGGCTTGGCGAGTTCAACCTGAAGTAATAATCCTCACCTGGATTTCACTAAGCCTATGTGAGCTTTAAAACTTGAAAGTGCTTGTTAAGAAATGTACTTCCCCGTTTCTTATTACCCGAGTTTTAATTAGGTTTGGAATGGTTTAATCAAAAAGAAAATCAATAATAAGAAAGAAATGGCAGATTATAAGTCTGCACAAGTAGAGTAAAAGTGTCTCAAACTTGACATTTATTTAAAATTTTTATAAAACTAATTAAATTTTCAATCTTGAAATTCAAGTCTTAAGTTTATTTAGAGATTTTTTTAAAAAGATAAAAGATTTAAAATAAGTAATGCCCTAATGTTAAAATTAGTTTTTCTATTGGTTGTATTTGATAAACAACAGACATCTTTCTTACGTGTCTTTGAAACCACAAAACTACTTGTAGTTCCTCGCCCAGGGCAACCTTTTTAGCAAGTTTGTCACGGGTCTTAAGTTCTCTTAGCATTAATCAAATAATTTCCATTAAAATAATGTAGTTTTGGTGGTTGTTTAACAGTGATAGGGAGTTTTTGCTATCAGTCTATCAATACAGTTTTCCTCAATTTGTTAGAGTGGGCATTTTTGATCCACTGTTAATCTCTAAGAATCGCAAGAACTTGTGATTGTTATTGCCTCCACTGGCTTCTTTCTTCCCCTCATGTTTTACCATTCCCTGACAAATTACTACAAATGCGCATCCTACCCTGTCCTTGATTCAACCCCCATCTGTCATATTTCAAATTGTTCTCTGTGCTGATTTACTTGATAAGTCTTATGTGATATTTTCTGTTTTTGAATGTGGCCATTCCCGTTTATTTTTTTGGAATATGCTTCTGAGCGAAATCAGTAAAATGGTGCTTGGGAAAGGACAACTAAATGCACAGGAAGTGAAAGCTATGTTAAACGGTAATAATCGGGTGAAGCTCGCCATATATTTGAACTAAAGAATAAAATACTGAAGGTTTCTGATAGATTATTTCAATTATCAACATGCATCGATAATATTAATATTTACAAATATTTATGCAATTTTGAATTGTTGAACTTTTGGGGAACTCGACAAATGGTTTTAACTATTGTTTTTGTATGATTTTTCTTTGGGGAAAACAATTATTATTTTCACTATTTTTCGAGGTCCGCTTGACCAATTATATTTATTTTATTTATCTCAACTAAAAACCTTAATTAATTGAATTATTATTTTATGTGAATAAAAGCATTAATTAATTCATAAAGTACCATGTAGGATGATGCGTACATTTTTCTGTATTTATATTTGTTTTAGCAATTTCAATACAATCTATATGTATAAAATTATATTGACATCAGCTAGCATAATATTTTATTTATACAGTTCTCTTTTTTCCTCTGAAAATACTCTGAAACAGTATACAGATTAAAATTACCTAAATGGTTTTCATTTCTACTCATGAGATATGAGAATCATAATTTTTATGTTTATCTGATTCAGAATCAATCATTCATCTGCATTTTTATAGTTTTCGTTTATGGTAAAGTTTCTTATTGTATTTTTTTGTGGCTGTTAATAATTTTTGAATTGTTTTGGACTGAAGCAATGTGCTTAATTAGTCTAATTTTTTTAAATTGTAACGCCTGTTCTGAATATTCTTAGCTATTTTAGCAATTAGCCTTAGACAATGATGGAACTGTTTCAGCTCTTAGACTCAACATGTTTGTTTTTACACTTTTTAAAAGGATTTTGAACTATTTTAGCAATTAATCAAGACTAACGTTTTATCATTGTGGTCTGTGAGATAGTTTGTCTTTAGACACGTCTTTAAAATTCTAAATGGTTTATATTGCACTTGTTAAATAAATATATAATTTTAATAAACTTCCATCACGAGGATGGTTGCACTATGACGTATTTTCAAACAATCTCATTTTGTGTGCAGTTTTTACTGAATATTAATATTGTTTATAAGAAGAAGAATAATTTTTGAGCTGCTAAAGATGCGTTAATACCTAAGCAGGCCAGTTTTTGAACAGGTGAGCAGCTAAATAATTTTTGTCAAATAGTTTCTTTTGGATGTCTTCCTCGTCTTAGATAGTCATGTTAAGGTTTTAACGATTTTTCACGGAGCGAGAACGCGATCCAAAGATTATTCAGTTTACAATTTTATTTAAACATCATGCTAAATATGTAATATAGAAAGAATTGTGTTTTCTTCGTTAAACCGATTGTGTCAAATACCGCAAAAAATCGTTGTTCTGTAGTTTTCATACATGCTATACAATTTTCATATAATTTTAAAAAGAGAGTTAAGAGGATTTTCTTTAAAACGCTCAATTTTTATCATACTTGTTGAAACGATAAAAATTATCTTCAGTGAGTAATTGCAGCATCGTCGCTTTTCGAGCTCAGTTGGCATAAACAGGAATCAAAAACTGTCTCTGTTCTGACTGAGAATGAGTTTAATTATTCCTTCAGATTAGCGCATATCCGAGTCGAGTCACGTTAATAATCTATAGGTGGAGGAGGACAAGACGGAAAATAAAAAAAGCAAGAAGCACTTCCACTTGAAAGTTAGAAGTGTTAAGTTGCACCTTGTCGTGTATTTGGAATTTTCACCCGTTGATTTAGATTCGGTTTGTGGGTTGAATTTTAATCGAGACTCTTTTCACCTTTTATCTTAATCAGATGTAAGGTAAGTTGGCAAAGTCTTTAACACCAAAAACACATACAAACCAAGGAAAGAAACACGCAACAATAAACAAATAATACGTTCAAAAGAACATACAGAAATAGCATTTGTATTGACTCGGTTCTTTACTTTTGAAATATGCTTTTGATGTGAAAATGTAATTTTTCATTAGAAAAGTCTATAAGTACAGATTGCATAGATTTGACAGATCTATTATACAAGATATTATTTCTTTATTTTCAGAATTAATTTAATGGGACTTAATTTTACTGAGATATAATATGATTTGAAATGTCGTGAATTGAAGTTTATTTTTCAGTCGTAGTACATATTTGATAATATAAGCGTTATAAACAAAATATTCAAACAAATCTTTCACGATTTTATGGTCAAGATTGCTTTTTGAAGAATATGTTGAAATGGACTTAAATTCTATTGTGATTCGAAGTGACTTGATAATTTTTTTTTTTTCAAATTGACATTTGCTAATAAAGACTTGCTAAGAAATAATGTGAAGTTTTAACTCTTTCAAGTAGAAGACCAAACCAGGGATAAAATATATGTAGGTGTTTTTTTAATTTTTTTTAGCAGAGCTATATTTTGGTTAACATTAAATACAAGATTTTATGATAGAATCATTACAAGCATTCCATAACCAAGTATGAAAAACGAAGGGTTGTGACTGAAACCACGAAACAGTCGGCAACGAAGTGATTTTTTATATTTTGAAAGTATTTTCACAGGCTGTGCAAGATGTTTGTACAAATTAAAAAGCACGATCGCATAAAAAGTTTGAAATTTGGTCGAATTTTGTACCGATCATATTGGCCTTATCATCACAAGGTTGGTCTGCCAGAAGCGTTTTGGCTTTCCGTCATCTTCAGAGTGCCTGATTTCTGTCAAGTGTCATTACACACGCACCCCTTCACGACCTCGAGAGACTTGACTTAACAGAAATCACGCACTGAAGAAGGTGAAATGCCAAACACCACTTGGCCGACCAACCAGCTAGAAAGACAGACCAAATTCCAGGTTATCACTCCGCAGACAACATGGAGAAATCTCACAAATTAAAAATTAATGGAAAATAAAATGTGTAGTTTGAGATTGTAATAAAGTTTTTTAAGGTGGTTCTCAAAGAAATATGTCTCACCTGTTCCTGATGTTTATCAAGTATCAAGTTGCGCTTATGATCATGAATGATTTGATTTTTTCTTCATGGATATGTTTTTTCATAGAAAATACCTGTGTCCCATTGGACGCAACATCGTTGAGATTTAATTTTCAAGTAGTAATTGTAGAAAAGATATACTAGATTATAAATTAAACAAATCAGATAAAAACAATTGCATAAAACAATTGTATTCAATTACATCTATTAATTTAAGGAACATTTAGAATTTAAAAAAATCAGAAAAATGACGGAAAATTAAAGGATTAAAATTTTTAAAATAGTGAGCCACAAAATATATTTTCCACTTTTACCCATTTGATTTGGTTCGTCCCAAGGCGATGAAAGTATTTATTGTAGATTGGAAACTAATAAAAAAGTATAGCATTATTTGTAAAAGAATTGGACGTCAAGGTTATAAGCAGGGTGAGGCATGACGCCGATTCCCAGTAGTGAATTTTTCCTGTCAAATGCGATCGACGTTCCCGACCCACTGAGAGCCACCAAATCTTTGGTGCATGGCAAGATAGGATCGAAAGTTAAACAAAGTTGGCTTGTCAACAGGTTAGTGGGGACATTTTCACAATAGCCTCGAGGTTGAGGTGTGTAGTCTACTATTGCAGATGTACCAGGACCCGCGAAGAGGTCAATACTCTGATTTGGAGAATCTGGATTCTTTTCACCAGTGAAGCTGATGACCACGTTTGGCAACCATAGAGCCAGATTAAGGAGAATATAGTAGGCGTATAGTGTCAAGGGTGATGGCTTTATGGATATTGGCGTCATGTCTTTTATTCTGCACCTTGATGCTTGGTCTACGTCTTACACGTGCCTTTGTTTAGTAAATACATAAATTCGCTTTTCCATTCTTCTTTGTTCAAAGAAAATAGTTGTTTTTTTATAAAGTCCTATTTATTGGAAAAATCTTCGTTGTCGTGTAATCATCTGCTGATGATGTCGGCTTGGATGATGATGACCATTAATGCAGTTCTGTTACGTTTAAGTTAGAAACTGAATGGCGTAGTGGGGCCGGCCCACGTGGGCGTCGGATATCCTGGGGGTGGGAGCCGTCTCCATGGAGGCGTAAGTGCTGCCTCCCGGCGGAGTCACTCCACGGGTATCGACCAACCGCTCAGTGGCCGTCACCTCAGCTCACCCTAAACAACCCCCGGCCGACCGTCTTTCAGATGACGGTAAGTCAATTTTCAACTTTCTAAAAATATTATCCGCCCTTGACTTTTCCAATCGGCGGCCTGCCTCGTTTACGACCACTCCCGGCCGTCGTGATGAGTGGGGTGTTGTCTCAAAAGGGGTTCCTGTCCTTTTTTCCTTCTTCCTTTACAAATGAATACCGTTCGTTCCATTCTATTCGAATTGAACGTGTATCAGTTTCTGTATCTCTCATACCGCTTTTTTATGAGATAGTTATGACAACATTTTTTATTCGAATCTTTAACGAAGACACTCACTTCAAACTCATACAACTCAATTGGTTTTCTCACAATTTGATATTTATATTAAATCAAAACTAACCCAGATAAGAATTTTGGTCAAGCATACTAATTTACAATTTAGTTATCTAAACTATAAAATCCTTCCTAAGCTCTTGTAATGGTTTTCGTATTTACAAATGATTTGATTGATTTACATTTTTTCCATAATTGAAATGTATCTTTCGTTTAAATTAAAAACCCAAAGAATAAAAATAAATAGTGTTTTCAAATGCTGAATTGAACTGTTAAAACTTGAATATTGTATAGATTTGTCGGTATATGAATTATCCTGGAAGTAGATAATTTTTTCGTAAAATGTCTGAACAAATTGGAATATAGATCAATTCATTATAACAAATACGAATGGTGATTTTTTGTTGTTGTTGTTTTAGAATAACTTCATTCCAAACTAATAAAACACGTTTGATTTTGTCACAACAATATTTGTAAAATATATCCATTCAAAATTAACCCAATAATAATTATATTCAAATAGATTAATTTATAGTTTACTCTTATCAAAATAAAAACTATTTACAAGACGTCGCTAATCTTTTAGCTAAGATTTTTCGTATGTATAAATAATTTGATCGATTTCTAAATACTTTTGTTTATTAATTTTTGAAATATTCTGGACTTCTCTCGATTATGCTGAAAGATAAAATTACAGAATTGTCGGAATATGAATTATCCTGAAATGCAATTAAACAAATCCGAATGGTGATCTTTTGTTTTTAAATTATAAACATACATTTTTTTAATACATAGCTAAAATATTTTAATAAATAATAATAAATTTGACTAACGAGGGGATTGGATCACCGATTTTAATGAACTTTTTTTGGTGATACTAGGTCGGAAAATAATGTGCACATTTCATCATTTCTAATAATTCACACATGTCCCAGTGCTCTTGCCAGTGGCCTACGAGCCAAGAAAAACTTTAAGTAATTTAGGCAAATTTGGAAAATATCTTTTCCTCCTTTTCTTGTGTATGTATTTCAATGCTATTGTATTTATTTAACGTGTTATCAGAAAATAACAAGCAGCATCGTACAAAATGAGATTAAATATATGAAAAATTCAAAATCCACTACTTTCTAAACAGAGGAAAAATCCCACTATGCCAAAATTGCATTTGGCAGCTAGCATTAGCATGGGAATCGTAGATATTGAAATATATAATTTGTGACCGAGCGACGTAGAAAAAGTAAGTTAAAATATCTTTATTTAGCACAAAAAACAAGTTGGTATTTGTTTTATGCAACCCCAATAAATAGGATTATTATATTTGCTGTACAAATTGCTTAATATATTTATGAATACATATTAACAAATCCGAATGATAATTTTTTGTCGTGATCAGTATCTGTTACGTAGCCAAATGATGATAAATACACACCAATCTTGACATCTGTAATGTTTCCATTTCTGAATTATATTGTTACTTTACAGCAGCTGTAAAAATTTATACAATTATAAAAAAATATATATTTATTTATTTTATTTATTGCTATCTGTACATAATATACGTTAAGCAAATAGTTTATTATAAAACGGTTTTATTTCTTAATTTTGACCCGAATGGTTTTGAGAGAACCCAATTTTTTCTCGTTTATTTTTCTAATTGGAATGGATCAAAGCTGGAAGGAAATCAATTATAATTTTTTCTATCCGAACTTTCTTTTTATTCTTCTGCTAAAAAAAGCAGTTCTTTGATTGGAATTTTTGTCAGAATTTCAGTTTAGAAAAAAGAAAAAAAAGAACGACAAAGTCAGTTTTGGAATTTTATGTATTTGCGTTTCTCCGGTTGATGAGATCACAAATTGCAAGGAAACGAGCGGATCCGATGAAGAATGGGATAATCCGGCTTATTCCATTAATTAAATTCTATCGCTGAAACTCAGAGTGATTCTTCTCGAAACGTGATTGCGAATTTACCTTTTATGAATATCCCTTTTTCCTCAACTTGTATCCCGATTGTGTTGGAAATCGTTAACGATTTTTGAATATTCCTACCGTATCCTGTTTAGAGATAATTTTTCAAGCGTTTGGTGAAAGGGGGATTAAGGTCAAAAAGAAGCTTAGTCCGTCTCGACGTGAGAAAATATAAAGATACGTTTCCCGATTCCAAACGAACTGGAAATGGCATAAAACAACCAGATATCGGTTATATAAATATCTATATAAACCGTACAAACTCTTATGCATTAAGTTTTCCAGTAAAAATATATGTATATAAATTTGTTTATTTATTGTATATTTTTTATGGGTATGTCGCTTAAATACCAAATGCCAAAGGACAATTATCCATCCAAAAGCGAAAAATTATCCTTATT